GAGAAGCTTGGAAGGACCAGTTGGAGCGAGGCCAGGCTTCCAGTCTGCGACAGCCGTTTGCTTGTCAGATGTCCGCGCGGGTCCTGCCGCTCCCGCCGCTCCCGCCATCTCTGCTTCGCGGGGCTCCCAGGAGTCTATGGACTCGCCGAAGTCGGGGCGCGTTCGCAGGCGATCCGGCAGCCAGACCCCCACGCTGCTCTCAGATACCGTGAGGGCCATGCGGTCTCCCAACGAAACGCAAGACTGGCACAGCTGTGACTCCTCTGATAGCTTCGCGACGGAGTCCGTTCAGCGCTCTGCCACACGGCAGAACACCGCCAGCGATGAGGAGAGGATGGTGAGCAAAGCGAGCATGGCGAGCAAACGAAGCCGACGCAGCACGAAGAGCAGCACCAAAAGCCGCAGTCTCAGCCCGGTGCGCGCCTGGATGCCGAATTTGCCCAACGGCGTGCTGCCTGACTCACCCTGGGACAGCGTCACCAGCCCCGGCAAAGCCATGCAGCCCCGCTGCAGCAGCTGCCCGCTGGAGGGCGCGGACGGCGAGATCTCCTTCCACCTGGGCCCCACGCTGCCTATCGGGCGTCACCGTAGGGGCCGTCCGAAGTTTGAGCCAGAAGGGCCGTCAGACTTGAAGCAGTTGATCAAAGAGAAGGACTCGGCGCAGCAGTCGCCGATCTCGGCGCAGCTGCAATCTCCGATGTCCCCGTTCTCGCCCCTGTCTTCAGAACCCCCGTCATCGATGCCCTCGCCGTCTCCCAGCACGTCACCCAAGCCGAGCACGCCAACATCGCCGGAGAAGGTGGAGCCCAAGCCCGAGCCGAAGCCAGAGCCGAAGAAAGAGCCCAAGCCAGAGTCAAAGAAGGGGAAGGGAGGGCCGCCAAAAGGAACCGGGAAAGGCGAGAAAGGAAAGGACGCCAAGGGCAAGGGCAAGGCGAAAGCTGAGCCAAGGACAGTTTTGGTCGTAACATGGCTTTTAAATTCAAGAAGAGCCGTTTCCCGCAACCCTTTTGCAACCCGTAGTTGTTTTATTTTCTTCGAATGAGGCATTGAGCAGTGTTTCGGGTGCCTCGCGGGTGCTTGCAGGAAGCCCGACATCAAGCCGGGGGTCCAGGTGAAGCGCCTTTTCTGGAACTCCTTCCGGGTGGACTCCGAGCGCAAGACCGTGTGGAACGAGATCGAGCGTGAAGGCTGGGCAGCTGGTGGGACAGGTCCTCTCCTGCAGATGGAAATTTGGGGCTGTTTGTCAATCTGCAGCATTGTATAGAGAGTCCATACACATGTTAGTTCTTTTCGGTGGCTGTCCACTTTCCTGCACGAGAAATGCACACGTGAGTTTTTGCAGCTAGTTGATGCTTGGGAGCCGCAACGCAGTGTTCGAGTACAACACAAATTGCATTGCAAGGATGCAGGATGCAACATCAGCAGAGTCACGTCTATCGGATCCGTCACTATAGAGGCGCTTACTTGTTGCCTGAAGGTTCATTCTCAGCTTGTCCAAACCTGCATGGCCCCGAAAGAAGGCGACCTTTCCTGGGTGGAATCAAAACAGCTCGGAAGCGAATCGTGAGGAGCGCCGATTGATACCGACCAGCTGGAGGCGGGCAGTGGGCCCTGAAACGAAACACTGCAATGAAGTCGCCATTTTGGGGTTCAGTGTTTTGCCTGAATCAGGTTGTGCCTGCCTCAAGTGGAGCAGTGAAGCATGAACAAGGCTTTGTTGCAACATGCCCAACAGTTGGGTCCCAAACCCAGCAAATTCCTACGTTGCCCCATCTTTCCGGCAGCCCCACGAGAACTTCTTTGGCTTGCGCCAAGCGCTCAAACCCGTGAGTGAGACGCCCACTCAGCGGCGGCAATTTATCTACCTTTCTGTGCAACAATTGGACATGTTTCGGAGGCGTCCTTTTAAGGGACTCCGTAAACCTGGTTCCGCCTGGTTCCGTAAAGGAGGCTCGCTTCCGGGCGATGTCAGCTCCTTCGGGTGGACGGGCTCGGCCGGGCGACCGGCGCCCGTCAGGCGCTCTTCTGCGATGAGCCCAACAAGCGAATGGCCTCGCCATCCCCAGAAGCTGAACGTGGCGACTTGGCATCGAGCGGTTTGACGGGTCCTTTTATCAGGCCATGCAGAGTGATCACTTCCAAACTTGGGATTCGTAGGTTTTGTCCTTCCAAAATGCAACGAGGATGAATCGGCCTGAAAAACCATGCGAAGGGAAAGCCTGCATTCACCGAGGGCGTTCCAAATTATGTTTGCACGAGTGCCACACAAGTCCTGACTGTCTCATGGGTACCGTTTGGACTCTACCTGTACCATACAGTGCCTCCAACATCCCAACAAGCCTATACCACTTTCCTTTTTTTCCCAGCATGACTCGTCTTTTTGTTCGCTCCCCCCTGACAGTTTATGATGGTTCTCATTAGCATTCTCATTTTCATTATAATTATCACTATCAGTTTCATTATCATTGTCACGATCATGATCACTATCATTATCACTATCATGTTCATCATCATTATCACCATCATTATCACCATCATCATTATTATCATTACCACCATCGTGATTTCTTATGCCTCACACCCGTCCTTTTTTCCATTTCCCCCCCCCAGTTTTTTCTCCGATTTGGCTGTAGCTCAAAAACATGTAGTACAGTGGCACCTTGGTAAATGGAAAAGACTAAACCCAAAGACTAACCGCTCTGAACATTTTTGAGCCAAATTTGTCTTTGAGGCGTGAAGAAGATCCAGGTGCTGGACACGCAGCGCCGGCGCCAGGTCTGCGTGATGTTGGCGCGGCTGCCGCCCGGCCAGGCGGTGGCCCAGGCGCTCAGAGAGCACCGGGCCCTGGACAGCGAGCAGGCGCTTCGGCGTCCTTCGGGGCTTCGGGGCCGCGTTGGTTTTGGCATGTGTGTTTCTTTGGGAAGGGGGTTTACAGTGGTTTTTGCTTTCTTCTTGTTTGGGAAGGGGGTTAGATTCTTAGATCCTTGTTTTGGGGGGTGGGGGTGGGTGGGTTGGGTTCTGGATGCTAAATGGGCGCGACTGGAGGTTTGTGGCTGCTATTCAAAGGGAGTTGCACAGGAAAAACCTGTATTTTTTGGCGCCCCTATTTTGACACATACCACACGACTACGCATTTTAAGAGTTGGAGTTTACCTCAGAAGTGGTTCTCTGTTTTCTCTTTACTTTCGCAAAGGAAAAGGGGATGTTTTTTGTCCACACCCTCTGTTGAACAGCCAAGCCTTGAGGTTGGGGTTTGACTTTTCGTGGTGGGTGGGGTTCCGGGGGTTGGAGTGTTTCCCTTTGTGTTTTTTTTTTGTTGGGGGGGGGGGCTGGATGGGCGGGGCATGTGCTGGCGTGTTGTCCACTGTCAAACTTCCGCGATTGTTGGAAGTCACGGTCATGAGATTGGGCCCACTTCATGACACCTTACTCTTTTTCCAACAATCATTTTCAAAAGGATGCCAGTCTTTCAACCCGCTCTGTGCACTGCCCATGGCTGTTCTTCCATGGTGGGCTTGCTGGCCAGAAACTTCACGTCGTGTTTCCCTGGGGGTACCTCCAAAAAGCCGGCGTCCCTCAAACACCAAAGAGTTTGCAGCTCAGGGACTCGTGTGCAAAAGGACCTCGCATGGACCGAAGGTGGAGCTGCTGCTCATCAACGTGCCCTCGCCTGAGGAGCTGAAGCTGCTGCGCAAGGCCCAGGAGGACCCGAGGGACTTTTCGTTTTGGCTCGGCGCGTTTTTGTTCGGGGTTCCTTTCAAGCAGAAAAGTTCCGACCCTGGACTCAAGGTTGGTTCGCTCGCAACTTCGCTTGACAAGTCGGGCCACGCGGCGGTGTGTTGAGATTCTGGCGGGCGAAAAGGGGACATGATGCGCGCTTTGAACCTATCTCTCTCTCGGATGGTGGTTCTGACCGTGTGGATACCTTTGAGATGTCTGGGCTGTGATTTTCAGGGACTCTCCAACCTTGATTTGTTTTGGCAGATGCAGCTCCTGGCAATAGAAGGATCCTCCAAATGATAATGTTGAGGAATTGAAGGGTACCAAACACAAGCCAGTCCACAACAGTCATCAGCTCCCGATGCCTCCTTCTTTGATTCACCCTGATTTGTCCAGCAGAGTTTCTCCCCTAGCCTCCGAATTGAGAAGTCTCCCTGTGCGGTACACCCGAAGGAAGCAAAGACATGGATTTATCTTGTCATGTCTTTGAGCATCGATGCGCCCCTTGGGGGCGTACATGTTTTCCAGTGAGAGAGGGAGAGGGGAGAGAGTGCGAGAGGCCGAGGGCGAGGGAGAGAGAGAGAGAGAGAGAGTGTGTCTGTGGTGCCGAGAGGAGCACACCATTGACGAGTTCCACATTTGGGACACTGCGGAGGACCGCGTTGCATGTTACTTAGAAACCTTCGATCTTGATTGCGAGCAAGATCCTGACTTTGAAGGCAGGCCTTGCGGATAGTCAACCTGACAGCAGCAGCAGGCATTTGGCGAACTGTTTCGTGTTTGGGTGACATGTCAGAGAGAGCACAGCTGGAGATGGCGTAGCTGTTCTTGGCCTTGATTTGGTCCTGGTTCAACTGAGGCCCTGAAAGGCGATTCCCCCAAATCGGTGCTGCCTACAAAGGAAATCAACCAATTTTTCAGGAGACGCTCCCATAAGCAGTGTCCAACCTTAGAAAACCTTTCACTGGGTCCCTTAAAGAGAATAGTTTGAGGGGTTCTCAAAGTCTCACTTCGGGGTGGCTTCCCTTCAGCTTCAACGGACCAAGTTTTACATGTTTTACGACCTCCCCTGAAGTGGAAGCGTTGGGCTCGTTTCAGCCGACAGCCATGAATCCAGGAGTTCCTGCTGCTGCTGGTGCAGGTCAGCAACAGAAGCGGTCGCCCTGGGCCTAAGAGATGCCCCCAGCCTCCAGCCGAGAAATGAGGGTGTTGCAAAGGAAGGCAGCAATCCAGGGACCCCATCCGGCTGGGCGATTTCAGGTTGATATTTTTGTTTTAGATTCCAGCATGCGCACAAAGGGGAAGCTCGAAGTTCAATGTAAAGACATACGTACTCAGACGACTTTAGCTGGCGCAAATGGCGACCTCAAGTCTTCATTCATGATTGCTTGCCTATGAAGGCGGAAGTCAAAGTTGAGTGCATTCTCGCTGCAAGCCCGGGGAAGTCTCCACTCTCCCAAAAGGGCATGTCTCCGATCCTTGAATTCTGTGAGCTGGAAGAGGCTCAATGCCTTTGTCGCCCATCGCGTTATTCCACCCGTCCCTACAACACTGCCCTTTTTAGCTCGGTCGGCCAGTCGGTCGCTTGTGCAGCCCATCCATGGCGCTCGTTCGAGCTGGCCCGCTCGGTCGCTTCAGTCGGTCGCTTCAGTTGGTCGCTTCGGTCGGTAGGTGCCGCACTTCGAGCTGCGGCTCAGGGCCTGGCACTTCCGGAACACCTTCGAAGAGCGCCGCCCGGAAGCGAAGCGAAGCGCTCGAAAGGGACGCGTCATGGTCGGCAACGGGTTTCCTCTTGGCGCTGGATCAAAGGGAGGCTAAATTTGGGGGTGCCATATTTAGAGAGACCCAGTAGGGGTTCTTTAAATTGGCAACGGCTTTCTTTTGGTTTTGCCCTCCATTTTGAGCCCTCTGTGGATTTGATCCCCAAATTCCACGCCTCATAGTTTTGTGGTGTCGTTTATTATCCTCAAGAGTCCAATGTTTGAACCCCTGGATAAACCCCAGGACCTGGTCTCATAGTTATAGGTTAAAATTAAAAGGGCGCTAAACATGGTTTAAAATTTGGTGGTCGGTGGAAAGCACTTGGCAAGCGAACCGGTTTGCCCTTTGACAGCGTTGAATGCCACGCAAGTGTGGCTCGATGGAGGCGGTTTGGCATCCGGTCAGGGAAAACTGGCCACTCAGTCATGTGTACATCATTAGCGCTAGCGGGGAACTGCCTTTGGCCTGGCACATGGTGGGATTTGGCGTTTGGCAAGCGTCTTCAAGGTTTTCGGCGTCAATCTGGGCTACCAAACTGGGGTTCATACAGGAAACTGGCCACAAATTGTGCCCGAAAACCCCTATGAACCCCAAACATCTGTGGCCGAAATCCCCTATGAACCCCAAAATCTGTGGCCGAAAACCCCTATGAACCTCAGCCCTTTGATTATCTGTGGCTTAAAACCCTATAAACCCAAGCTTGTGGTTTGAAGACCGCGCGCCCCTTCAAAAGTTGCCAACACCAACTTTGACTTCGCCATTTTTGCAACATCTGAAGGTGCCCGTTCTGACTGTAAGCAGCTCCAGCGATTGATTATCAATCCCAGCGGGCAGAACCACCGGGGGCGATCCGCGTCGCAGGAATTGAACCTTGAGGGGGGACTCTTGCGATGACAAATGCGAGTTTCGGAATCAATCAAATCATGTATTTCTCTGTATTTTCAGGGGTCCTTGCAAAAAGGCCTTTGGAGACAGAAATCAGCGAAATCAAAGGTAAGCCTCAACCAGGCCTTAATTAAGGCCTAGCTAAGGATGAACATTCCTGGGGTTCACCCAGGGGTTCAAACATAGTCCTTTTGATATCCCTTGTATCTTTCGGGTATCTTCCATGTTGGGTGGGGGGGCTGGGGGGCGGTTTGAAAGAATCACAAAGAAGCTTGGTGTGTGGAAGTTTGCATTGATTTATAACCGGCCCCGGTTCATGCGAAGGACTGAAGCCGTGTGTTGCACCCAAGAATGACTTGAGCACGCTTGGACAGTCTGTCCGGGCCGCTTGTTGGAATCCTTTTGGGCTCTTCCACAATGGGTGGAACTGCCCCAATACGGTCCTGTAACAGACCCGCTCAGGCCTCGTTAGGCCCTGTAACAGACCCGCTCAGGCCTCTTTAGGCCCTATCAGGTGCAGAACAACCCTGATGAGAGTCACCTTGAAACAGGTCAACCCATTCAACCAGGTTAGTTGGTCAACCATGAAATACAGGTCAACCACCCAGGTGAACACCCCTTACCATGTTCAATCAAAAGCGGTTGACAGGGGTTCTTCTCGGTTGCTATTTTGAAATAAGTTTCCCTTTGTGTTGATGTTCAATTGGGACCCTCCGTTGTTGTCCTTTTGGTGTCCCTTTCAACCAATCTGGAAAGAGTACCAACTCACACAACACCTTGTTGACGAAATCCACCATTAGATTCACCATGATTTTTTCAGCGGTCCACCATAAGATACAGTGAGCGAGCCCTGGTCAACCAAATATGCGAACAATCCCTGGTCAACCAGACACGAGAACAAGCTCTGGTTGACCAAGAAAGCTGAACACCCAAGGGCGAGAGGTGGGTATGTGTCAAGCCGGAGGCGGTGTTTCCTTTGTTTTTTTCTTTTTTACAAATCAACCCTAAACTTGCTGGTTCTGTGGGAAGGAGGGAATTGTTTTTAGGGAAAGCAGACGGAAACCAACCACCTGAAAGTTCTTTTTTAGTTGGTACCCTTTTACCTTGTTTCACCATGAAATTCTCCATGCAGTTCAAGTGGTCAGTTATCTTCCAACCTCAAAAAGGGTACCGACCACTTCCCCAGTTCCTTACAATTTCCTGGGTTTCCTTGTGGGTTCCCTTGAAGGTAACTGGGCACCCACTCCAAAACAGGCTTTTTCCCTCAAGAGAAACCCAGAACAAAGGGTTCCAACTGCAAACGACCCTGTCAGGTGGATGAGTCGTTTTTTTTCCCCGTCGAAATTCGTTTCGAATCTCCGAGGCTTCCAGGCGCTGGCGCAGGCGCTGCGCTGCGTCTCCGAGGGCTGCCAGCGGGTGCTGACCTCCCCCTCCATCCGACGCTCGAAACACAAGAGTGGCACTAGGCGTCGCCAGGTGCGTCGTGTCCAGTTGACTTTGAGGTTGGCCAGTCAAGCTGAATTTCATGGTGAATTTGGTCATGGGATTATTGGGGTTGGTACTCCTGTTTGGGGAACTGGTTAGAGAAACCAAACAGACACCAATCGTCGGATAAGGCCTTTTTTGATTTGGTACCCGGTTTGGGGAATCGGTTCAAGGGAGACCAAAATGAAATCCGAATCCCGATTTTGGGATCCAACTCTCCATTTTGACACATACCCATTTGAGCCCGTGCTGTTCGTGAGCATACCCTTGTAACGTTCTCAAAATTCCTTCCCGGTTTTGGTGTTTTCCCCTTTTCAGCAAGCATTTAGGGGGTAGTTTTGAGGATTTCATTTGAGGGTCGGCCAGAATTTCCAGTAGTCTATGTTCGATTTGGGGGGACATGGCAGACTCACTGATTGTTTGCCCCCAAAACCATGTCCTTCAGTAAACTTTAGGGTAAACATGTCATTTTTGAGCATGGCTCAGATGATAATTCATGTATATCATAACATGTGTGTACACGGTTTATGCCATAAGTTTATGCATTCCCTTTTTGTTTTGTGTATCCACATGCGCAAACATACACATATGTACCTATCGCAATACACGCAAATCCTTGCGATACTTGGGCACCTGCAATTCCTGTTGGCTTGGTTTGCCATCGAAGCTCCTCAAAAGAGTTCGGTTTTGGCTTTGTCGCACAGCTAGTTGTGCGCTAAGATTTGACACGCATTCTGTTTGGTTTGATAAACTATTTCTGGTATGAATGGGCCCTTTGATCATGATAGGACTCCGTTGGGGCATGAATCATTAGGCCAAATCTGTTCTGCCGGTGCGACGCCTATGCTTTCGTCCCTAGGCCACTTGCTGGGCATCGTTCTCTACGTGGGGAACTACCTCAACGGCGGCACCCCGCGGGGCCGCGCGGACGGCTTCGCCCTGGACACCCTGGTGCTCATGCGCACGGTGAAGATGCGACTCTGGCGGCAACGGGCTGGGACGAGTGAGACTTGTTTGTGTTTCCTTCGGCTCGGCGGGCAGATTTGCACCAACAGCCTCACCGATGGAAGGCGAATCTGCTCGGGGGGTTCTGCGGCAATTCGGGCGCCATTGGAGCTGTGTAGGTTCCAAATCAAATATTGAGCCTGGCATTGAGGTCTCAAGGAGACAAGCCGGGCACCTTGGTGGACTACGTCACGGGGCAGATGGAACGCGTCTACCCGGGGGATTTGCAGAGCGTCTTTGCACCGGGAGGCCGAAAGTCGGACGAAAGCCGGCAGATTTGGGAAAATACCAACAGCTGGGCCCGACTTGCGCGGAGTCGAGTCGGCGCTGTTGACTCCTTTTGGCACGTAAGGGGGGCAAACGGAGGGTATCTGCATTTTTCCCGGGCAAGCACATCATGTTGCGGCTCGAATGCATATTCTAGAAGCCCCCATGTCCTTTCGATGGCGACTACAGAACCCCCGCCTTGGCAGGCGACTTTGAGCTTCTGAAGGCGGCGGCACGGCACAAGGGCCCAGACCTGGTGGACGAGTTGCGGGCCTTCAAAAACCTGGCAGTGCCTTGGGCCTCGAGCTGTGTTCCAAGGATTGCGAGCTAGGATTGGGGACCTCCATGTTGAACAGCCCGAGTTCTGGGGTTGGGCTGAGGCGAAGCTGAAGTTTCGAAGTTTGGCTGGAAGATCCTCTGAGGGTCTCGCAGCGTTGACCCCATCTCAGGACGAGCTGCAGAAGAAGATGGGATCTTCGGAGGATGCGAGCATGGACGAATGCGCGCAGGCCATGACACAGCAGGTCGAGGCGGGGAAGGGCTGGTGGGGACTGTTCTGAGGCTGAAGACTGTATCGGATTGTTTGGTTTTTTGCTCGAGGTGTGGTGCTTTGGGGCACAAAACACTTAGAATGGCCCGAAGCTTTGAGAGCAGACCTTGACCGCATACTTGCGAGCTGTTTCGCCCTATGCGTTCGTTAATTCATGGAAGCACCTGTGACATGTTGGCAAGCTTCTGGAAGATGTTGCGATCCGACAGAAAAGGTCAGAGCGTTCTCTGAACTGGTTTGTTATTGTCATTTTCTGAACTGGTTTTGCTCAATGTGAACCTTACACTCGTCCTCGTGGTCACATTGCCCGGTGCTGAAGTCGCTCACCCCCCCCCGGGAAGCAAGAATCTTGCAAAAGTTGAGTCGTGTTTCAGCATGTATGATTCAATTAGTGTCCCCTACAAATGGTTTGGGCTTGCTCACGTCTCGCAATGTAATAAAGAACTTCAAAGGGCAGGCCCCACTACTTGTTGGTGCCTCCCATCCAAGCGGGCGTGGTTGCTTTCGAGGCTCGCTATTTTTTTGGGGGGGTTGTTTCAAACGCCAGCGGCTTTTGTATTGTGACCCCTGTTGGGCTCCCATATTTTGAGCCTTTGGAACAGACCCCCCGTGGCAGGTGCTGGCGGGCTTGGAGGCGGAGCAGCGCGAGCTGGAGGCGAGATACGAGGAGATCGTGGTGTGGTTCCACATGGAGGACGGGGCTTGGGGGGGGGGGGGTGGGGGGCTGGGCTTTCCAGACAAAGCAATCCTCCACCCCCCGTCGCTCGGAAGCTGAATGCATCAACAGTCGTTCATACGGGTTTAGCTTTTTTTCAGGGTACCCCCACAACGGTGGTGTTCCTGTTGGTTCTCCTTCACCAACCCACTCACCCACCCCCCAAACAAAAACACATCCGCCTTCAGGGATTTTATGTAGGTCTTTTGACTTCAACGGCGATGTTGTGGACCCAGAAGTTCTTATTGAAGGACCCATGGCCATGATTCACAATAAGGAGTATTTTGACCGTACCCACATCTTGGCCAGGCTTGGGGCTAATCAAGAAGATTTGCCGGAACTTTCACTCATTGCCTCTATTTCTGTTTTGTTTGCGCTAGATTTCCCAGTAGTTGCTTGTTTTGAGAAGGGGAGGTCTGTATCTCAAGGCAGGACATTTGCATAATAGGGCCAAGCCTGGGGGATAAGTCTGGCGTATTACATGGCGCAGGGATGGTGGTTGGCCAGTGGCGACTTTTCGAGCCGATGCCAAGCTTTGGAAAGCTCATTAGACATGTTCGCTGGGAAGGGATGGCAGCTACCTGCCGCTCAGAAGCGGGTTGTGGAAGTCGACCAATCCTGACGGTCCTGAACAAAATGCTCATTTTCGGTTGCAAGAATCCTGACAATCCTGGTCAACATGATCAACCTGACTATTTTGGGAACCGCCAGCTTGTCGCCTGTTCTTGCCGCCAGGACAAAGGCATCCGCAAGCCCACGGATGAGTTTTTCGGCATTTGGGCCAAGTTCTTGGCAGATATCCAGACAGCCAAAAAGGCGGGAGTCGCCGTCAGCCGTTGCTCCGACATGGGTGTGCCTTTTTTTTTTGAGGCAGCCCTTTGCTAGGGTAGTTCAAAGGGAAAGCAAAGGAAAAGCACTGGCGCGATTCTTGATGGTCTGGTCTTAACTTCCATCCCCCGGGGCCTCACTCCAATGGTCCAATGGACTTTGCTGAGTATTGTAGCACCTATGCAAAGCGCGACGCATGCGCAGTGAAGATGCACCGGTCTGCCCACGTTGACCTGGCGCACCTGAAAGGTGACGGATCCCATGTCCATTGAACCAGCTAAGGTCAACATAGAGTTCCCGCCCGTTTCATGATTTTCCTTTCTTGATGTGAGGCCTTTAGGGCAACCAGATGGAGGCAGATGCTTCGTTTCAAGAGCAACTCCCAAAATTGCTGACTCCCAAATGAGCAGTTTGTACATTTGCTGGTCTGACCGCTTGGTTGCCGTTTGTTGGAGCCCTGATTGCTGGCAGGACTGCTCGCCCTAAGTGTCAATCCGCCATGAAATGGCCATCAGCCCTCTAGCAGAAACTTTCCGGACAGAATCACTCCTAGAAGAAGCACCGGTCCAGCACTCGTGCCGAAACTCGAAACTGACTCCGGGCAAACCTTGCGCTCGCGCCTTGCGCGCGGGGCTCGTTTGTGAAACTTTGAGTGTGTCGGGATGTACTGCTCCCAAACCAAGATGGCAAGAGACAGAGCTCACCTTGCAAGAGGACTCGCAAGAGGACTTGCAAGAGGATGCGCTCACCTTGCTTTTGGATGTGCACCCTCCAGCTTCGCCGGTTTTACCGGGGGCCTGGATCCCTTCGAGGCCTACGAGGAGCAGGCGCTCCGGGAGAAGCGGAAGAACTCCATGCCCCCGCGGCGCAGCTCGATGGCGGTGCCCAAGGCACAGACGAGTTCCACGGGCGGGTGGTGGGGGTGGACAGGGGGGGTCTGGGGGAGGGGAGGGGGTGGATGGGTGGACGAGGGGGGCTCAGAGAGTTCGGGAAAAGTGCCTTGGGGTTGAGGTTTAAACGCTCAATGTGGCCGTTTCCGCGACAAAGGGGGAGTTATTTGGTAGGAGTGGGTAGTCAGGCCGCCGTTCCCACTGAAGGTCCTCTGCAATTTCGGCATGTGACGAATTGTCTTAAGTAGATTTACCCAGGTGATGCGGGAATCCAACCGACCTTTCTAGGCAATTTCCGATGCTGCACGCTTTTCCCGCTCGGAAAAAAGCGTACTTGTTCGTGAAAACCATGTCGTTCGCTGTCCTCAACACGGAAAGGAAGAGGGACAGCAAAAAAAAGCCTCTTGAAATTGCGCCCGTTTGCGCGAAATTGTGCCCGTTGTGCGGCCTAGTTATTTGGCCCACACCTTTCATGACTCGTTTCCAAATTCTTCAAACATGGTCGTTTTTCCTCAAACAACATACCAGCAGACACTAAAGCTGCAACAAGCGCAAGGAGTAGTCTTCGGATTCAGACCTGCACTGATGGTGGATTGCTGCCTCTTCTCTTTAGTCTCTGAATCCATATTCTTGGAAACTGCCCTTGGCCCTTTATCTATTCTGATGCATGTCCATTGCGCCTTTGATTTTGGTGGTGCATCATGGATTCCCATATTCCTTGTCCAGCTTCCTTTTGAAGCGCCTTCGGCAGACATCAGACGAGAACCTGTCCTGGGAGAGGGTCTTCAGGTCCTATTGGTGCACCCACATGTCATCTCAAGAGGCCAGGGATTCTCAATACCGGGTACAACTAACTTCGACATGAGTGACGCACCCATCTAATTCACCCTTTCTTGGTTGCTCGCCCGCTCTGCGGCTCTCCGAGGTTTGGATCCGAAGCGCATTGATCATCCCCTCGAGCACCACAATGAATCACTTGTCCACGGCACCAAGTGAGCGCCCACCAAAATAGGAAAAATGATATCTGTACTTAGGGAACACGTTTCTATGGATTCATTCTTCCCTTTAAAACAAAAACCCTGATCGAACCCAAGCCCTGATGAGACGTGCTCACTCGTGAGCTTTTCTGGGCCAGGAGGCGAGGAGCCGCCGGAGCTTGACGCCCCGCCGACACACGGCGGGCAATCCCGGCTGGGGGAGGAAGGGCGGAAGTGATTTCAATCCCCGGAGAAATGGCAACGGTTTCTTTTGGTTGCCCTTCAAAACCACCCAAGTCCAGTTTTGAGAGCATGTGCCCAAGTTCTGATGCTTTCTCCGGTTCAAAAGGCATGGCCTTTGCAAGCAAGACACATGCAGAGTCGTTCGCAAGGGACGCTTCCCTCGCAACGGCGCCGAGTCAGGTGATGGTGTCGCCGATCCGCCGGGAGATGGGGGAGCTGCCGATGCGGCGCGAGGCCACGGAACCCCAGGCCACGGAATCCCGGCCCCAAGCAACCATGGAAGTGGAGAAAGGGATTCCTCACAAGAGCAGTCTTCCAAATCCTGTCAGCTTCCATGGTTGGTCCGAATCCCTATTTTTGACGGACTCATGTGTGCCCAGTCTTCCGCCAGATGAACAGCTGGCTTTACACCAGGGCCAGGAGATGTTCTCTGCTATAGTTTTTCGGGGCGGGTGGATCCCGCATTGGCATTTTGGGGCCGATGGTGACCTTGTGCTTTGCATCTTGAGTTGGATGGCACCAGGCGGAGGAGATGGCGGTGCCTGATGCCTGAGGTGCGAGACTTGTCAGAAGGCAAATTCAGACCCGTTTGACAGGTTCTAACGAACGGATTCCGATCGCGTGCACCAAAAGGACACTTAGGTGTCTTGCGTCCGAAAGCAATCCACTTGTTGGAACCCATTTAGGGGTCACCCAAATGACTCTTTCCCAGACAAAGCTTCTGGGCGAAGAATTTTAAACTTCGTTTGTGAGTCGGAGCGGGTCGGCTGCGGCGCTACGAGGTGCTTTGCATTCTCACTGTGCCGGAGTTGGCCTGGTTGGATGGCAAGGCCTCAGACATCTTGAGTGTTTGCCTTGGCGAAATGTTTGCTGCCAACACGAAGTGACTGGCAGTGGATCGATGCGCTCGCATGCGCATGAAAATGCCGCAGGTGCCGGGAAAACGAAAACGCGCCCTGGTTGATCCCTGTCCATCGACACATCGGCTTTTGACTTTCACGCTTTCTCAGCTGCAAGCGTTTCTGCCCGCCTACCCACCGACCGACCTGGTGACATGCTCGCCCTTTCCTTTTCGTCGGCGATGCTCTGGCTGTGGCCATCGGCCGCGCTGCCGGCGCCGGTGCCTTGCCCAGCGGGCTACTTCTGCCCAGCGGCGGGTGCGCCGATCCTCTGCCCGCCCCGCCACTACTGCCCCGCAGAGAGCAGCGAGCCACTGAAATGCCCGGCCGGATACAGCGCCTTGGCATGGGAACGGGATGGGGGGGGGTGGGAGAGGGTGAAGGGTCAGGGTAGCAGGATACCGACCTGCGGGCTTCAGAGAGTCGGACAGCTTGTGGCCAGGAAGCTGACCCCGATGGAACGCGTCAACGCCAGAAAAGTTGGTGTCCCAGGCACGAGTCCGTGGATATTTCTGGAATCATTGGCCAGTGACCACAATGTGGGATACAACTTATGATAATTTCATTCTGGCTTCACCCCAGCTCGCGCCTCACTTCGCCCGAGGCTGCTTGAAGAGCCACGGCAACCTCACAGACTCCAAGGCAGAGATGCACTTGAAGCAGCTGCTGGCGTTGCCGGGCGCGTCTTTCTTGGCTGCCGGAGGCAGGGATGGGCAAAGATCGTTGCGGGCGCTCAATGAGGAAAATTTGGAAAAAGGCAGCTGGGCCCTCTTGGCGCAAGAGAGAGCAACCGAACAGAAGACGCCCTGGAGGTTCTTTGCTCTTATCAGAGATGCACCTGGCATTGGCCTGGGGTTACAATGAAGACGGGCAGCTCGGCATTGGCAGGACTGAGAATGAGAATCGCCCAGTGCGAGTGAAGTCCGTTGAGAAGTTTGTGGCTGTGGCCGCTGGCGACGCACACACTGCGGCTTTGTCGGCAGACGGCCTGGCATGGGCCTGGGGTTACAATGGATACGGGCAGCTCGGCATCGGCAGCACTGAGAGGCAGAATCGCCCAGTGCGAGTGAAGTCCGATGAGAAGTTTGTGGCTGTGGCCGCTGGCTACTGGCACACTGTGGCTTTGTCGGCGGACGGCCTGGCATGGGCCTGGGGCCACAATGGATTCGGGCAGCTCGGCATCGGCAGCACTGAGAGGCAGAATCGCCCAGTGCGAGTGAAGTCCGATGCGAAGTTTGTGGCTGTGGCCGCTGGCTACTGGCACACTGCGGCTTTGTCGGCAGACGGCCTGGCATGGGCCTGGGGCCGCAATGGAGAGGGGCAGCTCGGCATTGGCAGGACTGAGAATGAGAATCGCCCAGTGCGAGTGAAGTCCGATGAGAAGTTTGTGGCTGTGGCCGCTGGGCGGCACACTGTGGCTTTGTCGCCGGACGGCCTGGCATGGGCCTGGGGTTACAATGGAGAGGGGCAGCTCGGCATCGGCAGCACTGAGAATCAGAATCGCCCAGTGCGAGTGAAGTCCGATGAGAAGTTTGTGGCTGTGGCCGCTGGCTACTTGCACACTGCGGCTTTGTCGGCGGACGGCCTGGCATGGGCCTGGGGCCACAATGGATTCGGGCAGCTCGGCATCGGCAGCACTGAGAATCAGAATCGCTCAGTGCGAGTGAAGTCCGATGCGAAGTTTGTGGCTGTGGCCGCTGGCTACTGGCACACTGCGGCTTTGTCGGCAGACGGCCTGGCATGGGCCTGGGGCCGCAATGGAGAGGGGCAGCTCGGCATTGGCAGCACTGAGAGTCAGAATCGCCCAGTGCGAGTGAAGTCCGATGAGAAGTTTGTGGCTGTGGCCGCTGGCTACTTGCACACTGCGGCTTTGTCGGCGGACGGCCACAATGGATACGGTCAGCTCGGCATTGGCAGCACTGAGAATCGGAATCTGGCGGAGCTCGTCCTGGGCCAGACCTTGAACAGATCGCTCTGGCACGTCGTGGACGAGTGTTTGAATGCGGAGGCTCGTTCGTGCGAAGCTGCGGCTGGCAGCCTCTGCGATGCTTTGCCGGCGGCTGGTAGCGCTCTATGCGGTGGCGCGGTCGAAGCGGTGCTTTGCAGCGCTGGGACCTACTGCCCTGGCGGCTTTCCGCTGCAGTGCCCCGCAGGTCACTTTTGCGCCTCAGGATGATGTTGGCACCGGTGAATAGAGCTAATACAATACGCAGTGACCTGAAAACGGGAATGCCTTTGAGTTCGGAGTTCCGTCAGGCAATGAGAGGTGATTGGCTGCTGAGGCAATGCTGGGGCAGCACGCCCAGAACCCTGCGCCGCTGGTTTCGCCTGCGCGGCCGGCACTGCAAACCTGAGCGAGCCGAGTGCTGGTGAGAAAGGCCGGAGGGCAAAGCGGCAAGATGCAAAACGCAAGAGTTCCCGGCCACAGAACTATGCTGGAGGTTGGGAACATATGTTGGATTCAACGATCTGGTAAGAACTTGTTGCAGCCAGCGAGCAGCCCCAAAACTGTCGGGCGCAGGCGACATGTCGCAGCCCGCGGCCAAGCGCACTGCCCAGCTGCACTTTGAAGGCCGGCGCTGCTTGAGCGAGCGGAAACGATTGAGTTGGGTATGTTTGGCTTCTTTCCCTGGGAGCCATTTTTATGCCAGTCTTGAGAGGCTGCTGATTGTGCAGGGCTCATGCCCGTCAATTTCCTTTGCAATCCTACCTAATTCACGCTTGTTGGCATGGGGCTGCTATTTGTGACAATCTCACTGCTGGAGGTCTCATAACGACAGAAGCCTTTGGCTGGCTTGGCATGCTTGGCTCCAGGCCACGTTCCGAACGCTTCGGCCAACTGCGCCATCGCGCCGAACTCTGAAGGCAGGAGCTCAGTTGGAAGGCTTGAAGGTTCCAGCGTGGCAAACCAACAGGGCTTGCCTTGGGTCTTGCTCCCACGAGCGATGGGCAACGATGAAATTAACACGTATTTCGCAGATTCGAAACCGGTTAAAATTCTATGTTCAGCCTGCTCAGTGGTCATGCCTCTGCAGCGTGTCGCTGTGTCACCCCCCCAAAAGGGGCCATGAATTGCCTGCGCTGGTGGCGTGCATTTTGAATCCCCTGATTTGTTTGGCCCAAGTCGTGAAAACAGGCCCGTTTTAGCCTTGTGAGATCCAGAAGGCGGACCTGACGTTCGGAATGTGCTTCCGAGGCAGCATGGAGGAGTTGAAAGCAGAGATGTCCAACCTCAAGCAGAGACTTGCAGACGTGCAGGACTTTATCTCGGTGCAGACGGAGGCTGGTCGTGTGGGAAAAGACGTGGTTCGTGCGCGTGGTGCTTGACATCAGCACCAAAGTTCAAGCATATTGGAGTTCTATCATGCAGCTTTGTGCAATGGGCGGAGGCAAGCAAGAAGGATGCAGCGACTGGTTCTGGCACCTGGGATGCATCATTTACCAATTGTGTCAGAGTTCTGCCGTTTGGCGGGTGATTTCTGGTGCGGATGCTGCCTGTGGCAGTGTGGAGTGACACTGCATAACATGCTCATCAGAAGTCCGCATTTCAAAGCGCATCCCATTGAGAGTGTATGGGGCAGGACATGTGGGTTCGTGCTCTTTGCATCGCTTGCATAACTGGCTTAAAGGCTGCCTGTTCACTATCACCTGCAAAGCGGGCTATGAATTGTCTGCGCTGGTGGTATGCATCTTTAATCCCCTGACAAATCTAGGTGCTAGTCATGAAACAGACCCAAATTGAAGCCTGCGATGTTGGATGCCGTGATCAGAATTCACATTGTCGTTGAGCGTGTGGGACTTTCGATCTGGAAAGCAAGCCCGAGAAGCGGACCTGACGTTCGGAATGTGCTTGCGAGGCAGCATGGAGGAGTTGATAGCAGAGATGTCCAACCTCAAGCAGAAACTTGCAGACGTGCAGGACTTTGTCTCGGTGCAGACGGAGGCTGGTCGTGTGGGAAAAGACGTGGTTCGTGCGCGTGGTGCTTGACATCAGCACCAAAGTTCAAGCATATTGGAGTTCTATCATGCAGCTTTGTGCAATGGGCGGAGGCAAGCAAGAAGGATGCAGCGACTGGTTCTGGCACCTGGGATGCATCATTTTTCAATTGTGTCAGAGTTCTGCCGTTTGGCGGGTGATTTCTGGTGCGGATGCTGCCTGTGGCAGTGTGGAGTGACACTGCAGAACATGCTCAGCAGAAGTCCGCATTTCAAAGCGCATCCCATTGAGAGTGTATGCGGCAGGACATGTGGTTCTTGCTCTTTGCATCGCTTTCATAACTGGTTTAAAGGCTGGTTTCAGCCTGCTTGCAGTTCATGCTTCTGAAGGGTATCACCCGCAAAGAGGGCTATGAATTGTCTGCGCTGGTGGTATGCATCATTAATCCCATGACAAATCTAGGTGCTAGTCATGAAACAGATCCAAATTGAAGCCTGCGCTGTTGGATGCCGTGATCAGAATTTACAGTGTCGTGGAGTGTGTGAGACCTTCGATCTGGAAGCAAGAGCGGACCTGACATTCGGAATGTGCTTCCGAGGCAGCATGGAGGAGTTGAAAGCAGAAATCGCCAACCTCAAGCAGAAACTTGCAGACGTGCAGGACTTCAACTCGGTGCAGGTGGAGGCTGGCTGTGCGAGAAAAGACGTGGTTCGTGCACATGGTGCTTGACATGAGAGCCAAAGTTCAAGCATATTGGAGTGGGGCACGGTCTGTGATGCAGCTTTGTGCAATGGGCGGAGGCAAGCAAGAAGGATGCATCGACTGGTTCTGGCACCTGGGATGCATCATTTACCAATTGTGTCAGAGTTCTGCCGTTTGGCGGGCGATTTCTGGTGCGGATGCTGCCAGTGGCAGTGTGGAGTGACACTGCATAACATGCTCATCAGAAGTCCGCATTTCAAAGCGCATCCCATTGAGAGTGTATGGGGCAGGACATGTGGTTCTTGCTCTTTGCATCGCTCTTATAACTGGCTTAAAGGCTGCCTGTTCACCGTCGGCCGGCTCGTGGGAGCCGGTGGGAGGTTCGCGGAGTGCGGCCGCCTGGCTGGAAAGACTGTGCGAATCAAACTTATGATAATATATATATATATATACATGTGCTACATGACGTACAGTAGGTAACCGGGGGAATCACGCGAACCCCAGAGGTAAGAAATTGGAGGCACTGGAGAGGGGGGACGCGGGACGTGGCGGATTCGCTTGGCAAGACATGTCCTGAGGAGGCGGAGAGCGATGCCGGCCTGTGTTGAGAGGCCGGAGCTTTCAAAGATGTTCGCGCCCAGCTGTGAAGCAGCCTGCTAGCTCCGGACACACCGCAATCTTTTGCAAGGCCGTGCGGAGAAGCGGAACGAGCTGCGCACGCCGCCACTGCTGGTGCGGGCAGAGGCTGGGCACGCAGCTGCGAGTGAGATGGATGCCTTCCGAAACTTCCGTTCTGCCCACTCCTCGTTTCAGAAACTCAGGCATGTGACATGTGTCAAAATAGGGGGATCCGCAAGATGGGTTTCAACCAGCCTCAACAGGGTACCCTCAACGGAACACAAGTTGGAACACCCATTTGAGGCATCCTCGTCGGCAGGCTCCTGGGAGCCGGTGGGAGCCTCGAATGCAGCCGGTCTTCCGTGGGCACTTTTTTCTGGATTTTCCCGTTTCGAGCAAACATAACGCTCATTTCATCCAAAAACGCTCAATTCGAAAGAAAACGCCCCGGTGCGCGTCCGCACATATCCGCTCATTTCCCGCCGATGTCCGCTCACTTCCCGCCGATTTCCGCTCATTCCAAATCAAGATGTCCGCTCAGATTTAGTTTTTCCGCTCAAAATCTGAAACGAGCAAGAAAAATGCCCAGAGCCCCAAATTGAATGTGGCCCTGTCTCTGTCTCTCTCTCTCTCTCTCTCTCTCCCTCTCTCTCTCTCTCTCTCTCTCTCTCTCCCCCGCTCTCTCTCTCTCTCTCTCTGCATTGCAGCGTCACGTCCCCCCTGAGTTGCCTCGATGTCCAGGCACTGCCCCTTCATGACCCTGAACTGTCTGCTTACTACTGGCTTTCCCCTTGATTTCCCCTGCATGTCCTTTTCACGTTTCCCATGATGTCCTGGTCATGTCCCTTCCATTCCCCTCAACTCCCCCTTCATGTCCCTGTCATTTTCTCGGTATGTCCGCTTCATTTTCCATGTATGTCCCGTTCTTTCGTTGCGAGTCATTTCCCTACATCTCCTGTCGTGCCGATTGGTTTCCTTGTCCTTCGTTTCCCTTTCATTCCCCCTGCACTCCCCTTGTTTTCATTTCTGTCCCTTTCATGTTCCTTTCAGTTCCCCTTTGTTTCCCTTTCATTCCCCTTGCTTTCCTGTCATGTCGACTTCCTATTTCCTCCCCTCATTTCCTTGCACTTCCTTGCATTTCTTCTTTGCTCCCCAGTATTTCCCGCGAAAAACACAGGTTTTTCAGCGTTTTCGCAAAGAGGACGTCAAAAAACACAGAGTTGAGGCAGGAAACTCAAACCAGCAAAGAGCCGGCAGGGGGATTCGAGCCTGGGACCCCTGTTTTGCGACACCGGCTCCCCGAAGACTACGTTTAGTGGAACGTCATCAAATTACCGCGCGGGGGGTTAGGGGGGGGGGGGGGGATCCTCTATCCACGCTTAGGTGTCCGACACGCCTTATACTAATATACATATAGTAGGTAACTCGGGGCAATCATATAAACCGCCGACCTGTTCTGAGAGGCCGGAGATTTTGTGATGCACGGCAGCTGCATGACGACCGTCTTAGTCTTGGTGCCAGACATTCTTTCAAAGATGCTCGGATCCTCAGCTGTGATTCAGTCTGCTAGCGTTTTATTCCAAGGCGTCGATGCCTTGAAGCCGGAGGGCTTCAGCCTTGCGGCGTTACAAGAACTGGAGCGGAGGACTGAGGAGGCTCCACTTTCCTCACGCTCCCACCATGGCGAGACCTCTTTGATTTGTTCTCAGGACAGCCTGACTTGCCAGGACTCGCAATCAAAGTTAATGCAACTTGAGAAGGTTCATTCGCCATAAACACGCGCGCATTCGGCAAGAGACGTTTTTCGGGGTTGACTAGCAGAGGGCTGCCGATTTGCTGCTGTGAGGGCTGGCCGGAGCGTGCCATCAGTGCATCAGTGAGAAGCCAACAGGTAAATTTCATGTGCGACGAAATTATTGAGCCACTGACGGCAGACGCTCCGCGGAATAGGGGTCTGTGGGTCTGTGAGCTCCCGGTTTCACAGCACATGCGGGGAGTCCCCGCTTGGAGCCACCGCAGGCTTTGCGCCAGGAGAGCTGCTTGCCCGACCCGCGCTCTCGAGATGCGACATTCGATGTGTCTCCGAAGGAGGGCAGAAGGGAGGTTTGGCGAGCGCGGGGTCCATCTTTGGCCGAGTTCCTAGGGCAAGGGTCAGGGCAGTTCGGGATTAGGGCCTCTGCAAGAAGACAGCGGCAGTCGAAAAAGCGAGTCAAGCAGCTTGCGGGATGAGGAGTATATTGAAGGGCCTCAACTGGAAAGATGATGGTTCTGCAAGGCTGCTGTGTGTTTCAAGTCTTCCACTTCAAGGGTTGGCATGAAGCGGTTGAGGCCAGGTATGAACCACACTGTCGCAGCGCCACAATGTCCCGCCTTGCTTCACTTGTTGGCAACGTAGGGAGATCACTGACAAATGCGCTGTTGATTCAACGCGAACGGCATAACGGGGTCCCGCCTTTGCTTTGCCTGTGCGCCTGGAACAGAAATGCAATGACCGAAGAAACGGCGGGAAGGCATAACAGTACTCCTTGACCTCCCGCAGAATGCTACGATTGATGCCTGGATTGTTTACAACAACGAGTGTTCACAGTGTCAAGCTCGAATGCCAAGAAAAGCTAACTCGGCGGTCTTTGAAGGTTAGTTTTGACCTTCCCACCAAGCGATACACTCGAAATCGATATTAAACAACAATGCAAAGAAACAATCTGAGCAGTGCAACCCGGGCATCAAAGGCCATGGCTCTCAGAAATGACTCAGAAATCTCTGGCACAAATTCTCGCATACCATGCACCATGTTGATCTAGGCGCATGGTGATGCTGGGTCGCTGGGCAGTTGGCTCAAGGTGACGAAGCGCCCAAAGGCAAGCCCAGATACTCATCGTACCAAAGGTATCTCAGCCTTCCCGTTGGAGATGGGCAGCTTTAGCCGAGGCCAGTCCGGCTCTCGCTTCCCTTGAGCGCTGTGAGACGCTGTGAGACTCTATAGCAGCGGCATGTTGATATTGGGTTGATGGCCGTCAAAAGGGCCCTGGTAGGTCTACCCAGCAACCCCTCTTGGCGGGTTCCGTCCTGGATGCCGGGTGGGCCGCCGGACTTTTGATTGGCTATCGGCGGGTCAACAGGGCTAGAGTGAGACTTTTCCACCTCACCTTCACTTTGGGTGGGAGCGAGTCGGAACGAGAGGGCTTCGCAAAAGGAACCGGAGCCGAAACTGGGCTGCCAGGTGTGGTCTCATGATGCGGCTGAGGCGCACTTCTCCTTCTGGGTGGGTTGTTCCGGAGGCGTCAAGTTTTGCAGGGATCTTGGGTTTGAAATCAATGAACAAGGTGGGTCTTGTGTTTGCAAGTTTTCCCTCCCCAAGGCCATGAATCCACGCTCCCTCCGCGCCAGCCTTGCCCTCGCCCTTGCGGCGTCGGCTGCGGCGACATCGGCTTCGGCCGCTTTGCGGCGCCTGGACCTCACGGAGTACCGGTCCTGGTCGCTGACCCAACCGGCGGCGCGCCCCGGCCAGATCTGGCGGTTTGTCGAGATGGCTCAAAAAGGCAGTTAAAAAGATAGTCAAATGGGCCTGCGTTTTGGGGTATGCTTATGGGACCCTGCTGCATGTGAGTTGCCGCTGGGGCGAGTTTAATCAGGGCAAATACCGCGCCTTGCCTCATCTTGCACTTCGTTGATCGCTTTGGGGTTGGGGCATTTGTTGGATGTCTGTTTTGCGGTTCCATGGCATTGTCATGTTTGCATGCCAGCATGCAGCTTGGAAAGGGAATGCCACCGGGTCTTGCTCAGCCAACTGAGGAGCAATGCGATCTCCTACGTCCAAGAGAGCAATGCGCTCTTTGTGCGTGCGGGCGTGCCCTATGCAGAGCTGATTTTGAGCCTCGGCGCATTTCAGCTAACAGAGTCCGGGCAAGCCAAGTGCACGGCAAACCTATGGCCTCCTGTGTGGAAGGTTGCTGGACGCAGTGTTTTGCGATATTTGTTTACAACCATCTTGTCGCGCTTCTTGCAAGAGCGACTTTTCCAGCTTTTCCATGAATTATTGGCCAAGCTCTGAACGTTGGCAAAAGTTGTGCGGTTCTCAATTTCCTTGATGTTGTACTTGTTTCGAAATATCAATTCAATACAACAGCATTTTTTGATTGTCGTCGTGGCCTTTACCGTTTGAGTGTTTTTTGCCGGCTGAGTCTGAGATGTGTCTGTGTTCGGCATCTTGTTGGTCGGTTTTTTAAGCTCTTGCTTTGAACTTACCTTGGACATGTTCTCTTGCCTCTGAGTGCTCTGCGGCGGAATTTCGCATTGCTCAAAACTCACTTTTGTTTGCCTCTGAGTGGGAGGTTTTCTCTTTGAACAATTTGGCTCTGAGGTGGAATGGTTGCATTGCTCCAAATCTCTCATGTGTTTGCCTCTGAGTGTAAGCAAACCTTCGGGCCAACGGAAGAGGTTCCAAAAGAGGCTCATTGTAGACAAGCCTCGCACATATCTATATAGCGTGCCCTGCCACATGAGCATCTGGAAATCTCATTTGTGGTTGATTGGTGGTCTGGTAGCACAGGGGTTGAGTCTGCCTAGCGCATGCCCCTGAGAAACCAACAAAGGGCGATGCCGTTCGGGATTCGTTTGACACCAAGGTGAAAGTAGATGGCATTCATTCCTTTCTTTCGGCAAGTCAAGGGGATGGCTGAACCCAAACGGGTTCTTTGACCCAACCTCGAACGGGCTGACTCGCAACCATGGCTAACAAACTTGCAAAGCAAAACATGTTCCCTTGCAGAAGCAGACATATACGAGTCTTGAAGATTGAGCTTCCTGGGTCAGCTGGGAGGGAAATCCGCGGCCTAAAGTGAGTACCGCCCAAATTTGCCGAGGCATGCATCCAACGGCCTGTCCACCAACACCTCGGAGAGCCGCATCAAGCGGGGCCGCCAAGTTTTTGGGACCCGGGCGCCGCGTGTTTGCAGGCTGATTTAAAGGGGATGAAAGGGAGGCCTTAGCAAGCTGTTAGCCGATTTGGAGTGGGATCCCCTCAGGAACAAGGATCCAGCTTATTTGTTCGCCGTCTGGGGGTGAGGGCTCGTGGCTCCAGAGATTCTCCAACATGCTGGTGCGGTGGGATGATGAAGCAGTTCGATTGATGGCTGAGGCTGAAACACTTGCGGATGTTGCCAATCCTGAGCGAGATTGATTGCCGGTGTGTTTGGAATGCTACGGAACTAACCTTGATGCAGGGAGTCGACATCATCCAATATTGTCCACGTCCTGCGTTGCGTACAGGCAGACAAATTGCCACCAGAATCCAGTGCGCCATGCGTCACGCGGCGAAATGTGTCATCAAGCGTTGGCAAACATTCTGCTGACTGCGACGCGGCGCCCCCACCAACATCACTGCTTATGCGATCCCAAACCAGATTCATTGCACTTCATAACCAGCTGCCTCGGATGACCACATGAGATCACGGAAATCGTAGGCTCCCGGCACATCCACCAAGTCCAGGTCTTGAGCATTGGGCTTCGCCAGCCTTTCGTTGGTGGCCCGCGATCCCAATCATGCAGAACCAAACGCAGCCAACGACCTCCGATCTTGCCTACGCTACCCTGGCTTGGACAACCCATCCAAAGGCTCCTGAGCGAACATGACCTTGCCGAGTGGTTCATCTGGCTGTTGCTCAGCAGGGAATGAGGGAATGACCCCTATAAACCATCCCTTGTGGTTTGCTTAAGGGATCCCTAGGTCGATTCCCAGACCGCCTGTTGGTTCACTACTGAGAACTGGCAAGTCACGTTCTCTTTGTCTGAAGAAGACTTGACGCGTGGCGCTCGCGGGCGAAGGCTGGTCCTTAGCTCCGCCTTTGGCGACACCGACTGCTTGCCCGGCGCCCACGAGGCGAGAAGCCGATGTTGTCCGGGCTCCAGGGCTCTTTATTGGCTGCTGGCAGGGGCCCTCCCAAAATGGTGGTTTCCTGTTAATTTCCCTTTGAAACCACCAAACAAGGGAGACCCTTAAAATATGACACCCTACTGGCACGCTCGAGACATTCACCAAAAGCCGATGTTGTACTTCGATTGCAGTTGACTTGGGGAGAGGGCCGCCTTGAAGTTGTTTTGAAAAGTGTTTGGTAGATGAGTGTCCCGACGCCATGAAGGGGTGCTAATTCCAGCCACGGATTTCCGGGGCACTAAACGGGATCTAATACAAGGGGTCCGACCGCTTTCAACAGAAGGAGCCCATTTGCCAGAACCTATTTAGTCCCCCAAGCGGCAGGCCTCACAGACTCAGAACCTCGCATCAATGTCGGGTGCCACATGGTCACTCATATCCCCTTCCATTTGCTTTGGAATACGTTTTCATGTTCCTCTCTTTGTTTTAAAGTACTTGGTCAAGCGGGGCGTATTCGGTATCCATTTTAGGTTCAGAGTTGGATTCGCAAATCGAATGGTTTCAAGCCAGTCCGCATGCTGCAAAGCCAATCACCACCTATCAAGCAGGTGCGTATGTTGCCAATGATAAGATTGGCTTGCTTTTGACCCACGGTCTGAGTTCATCCCCTTCCCCTGCCCTTTCCCCGAATCCCCCAAAGCCCACTGTGGGACTTCAACCGCCAGGTGCTTGACATCGTTTGGCCCAATGCACCGGTGCCCACGGCACTGGATGGGGAGACCTCCGCGCTCAGCGCGCTGGCGGGGCTTGGGAGGGGCCCTGTTCAGGGTTTCCTCCATTTCCCTTTTTGGAACCAACAGTGGCAGTTTCAAGGGAACCCACCAGTAGCTTGCAACTTTTGAAGGGAAATCCGGTTCTCGGGGGAACCAACGCGAACCCACGCGTTTTGTCCCGGGAGGGGGCGGGGGGTTGGATTGAGAAGTTTCCATCCCGGTGGGCGCTCAAGCCCAGAAGGATGTTGATCCACATGCGTGTTGCATAGGTGATTGTTGTGTCTAGTTACAAGGGTCCGTCGCTGTTTCCAACTACAATTCTTCATGGTCTTGTGGAGACATTGCGAAACGTGCACAAGCCTGAAGCAGCAGGTTTTTTCAACTGTTCCAAAGGTGAATGTGTCATGTTTTGCTCCCATGTCTGAAAGCCGGCAATTATGTTTTCAGAAGTCTGGGTGCTAATCACGGACATAGAGATAGCCAACTCATATCCTTCAGATGCACAGCCCTGGGCCCTGCAAGGATTACCAGAACAGCTGGGCCAACGCGCGGCTCCTCTTCTGCAGCCGACATGCCCGTTCTCAGGAGATAAGCCAGCTTCAAGAGTTGCAGCCAGCTTGTGTAACGGGGTCTGTGCCTGTTGGACTGCGGATGAATCTTTCACAGGCGGGCTCAGAACCAGAACAACAAACTGAAACAGAATCAACATATTTCCTGAATTAAAATCTTAACCCGTGTTAGGTTTAGGGAGAAGCTCCATGTTGAGGTCCTTCGCCAGTGCGCTTGCCAAGGTTCCCACTCAGCGGCACCTTCAAGATGTGCTACATGGACCCTGCAGTGTAGCCATGCGGCATGTCTCGCTTCCCGTGTCCTTGTTGCTACATTTTGCTTAAGGCTTGAATCCGCAGGGAAGGCAAGTCTGGGAGAGTGCAAGGACAGCAAACTGCATGCTCGAGCAAGTGTGTGATTCTGTTGAGGGTAGCCTGTTCTGCCTTTTGGGGCTTAGTTTCAGGAGCAAACCAAAAGGACGCCCGCCTTTTTGTGGGTCCAAATTCCAGCTCGAATTTTGACCCATATCAACCGGCAGGATCTGTCCCTGGGTTACTGGCGGCTGGTGCCGGGCCAGTTCACCGCCACGGGCGCGGACACCAACTCCCAGATGCCCCGCGCTGAGATGGCTGGAGACCTGCGAGATGGCTTCGCATTGCTTTTGGGAATCCCTAAAAGGGGGTGGTCTCCCTAAGGAGGCTCCCCACCGCGGCGTAAGGTGCCTACCTCCCGGATGGGATTGCATTGACTCCGAACTGAGCCATTCCTTGGGATCCCATTCCGTTCCCAAAGCCTGGAATTCCCTACAGATCTCCAGCAAGATGTCGATCAAAAGGTCCTTTACGTGGGATGACCATTGGGGGAAACCGCTACAAAAGCTGACGTTTTCCACTACATGGGAAAAGCAACTACTCATGGTCATTTGGGTGCCAGGAATACCCCTACGGGGTGGTGCCCCCGAGTTGTTTTTGTTCTCTCTTTTTTCGGTGGCACAACATGACACCCGCGCTAGCAAGCGCAGGGGTATGACAGACCAGGGGGCTTCAAGCATCGCGAAGCACTCGTTTGGGAGATTGAAAGGCACCGGATGACTGGAAATCCTCTTACATAGGTCAGTTTGGCTGAACCGTGATGGCGCTGGTTTGAGTTTGGCTCTCATGATTCACCAGGGGCACCTATTTTCTAACCAGGACCCCGAATTTGAGGGCTCCAGATGAAAAAAGACTTGGTGGATGCTTCGGAGTTTCGATTTGGATCCCCTCACTGGGACATCTCCCTATGGCTTTAGGTCCCCGGATTGGCCCGTCCAGGTTCCCATTCGGGGGTTGGGTCGATAGTATCATAGGTGGTCTCCCGTAGCCGCCGTGAGGGTCGATTTCCGGATGTCGCTTTACTGGACTTTCAATTTCATGGAAGCGAAGTTGTGTGTCTTTTTTTCGGGACCCCCAAAAATGGTTAGTTTCCCTTTGGCTTCCATGTTCTTATCCAACCAAAAAGGGTATCCTCAAAAAGACGCGCAACTCGAAGAACGCCGCCCAGGGGCCTCTCCCCCGACCATGGCCTCGCTGAGGTTCTTTTGCCTCACCGACAGCGACTGCTTTCTGCAGATCACCGGGCCGGTGAAGGTCAGCTGGAAGCTCACGGCGCGGAGCCCAAGCGGGTGGTTGGCAGGAAGCGGCGGGTGGCGGACATGTTCCCCGGTTTTGGGACCTCCAAAAGTGGCAGATTCATTGGAGCCCATCAGTGAATTCATCAACTCTCAGACTTTTCTTAGCTGTGGCAGCGGTCCTCTTGCGCTGTTCTGAAATTCGGATTCCCGGGCTCAAACAGGAGTCGATGCCTAGATTTCCCTCAAAAGGGTGGTTTCAAATACCACCTTAGGCCCATAGAGGTGTTCGTTTTATTTGGGAGGGTGATGTTCGGTGGCAAATTTGACGTTGGAACGGATGTCAACCAAAACCATGACGAGTCCCAGACGCGTCCGGCCAGGTGGCCGACCCGGCAGTGGGCTGCGGGGTTGCCTTCAGCGGCGCCTTCGGCCTGGATGTGTCGGAGGTATCTGCGGAGGCGGGGTTTGGATCCGGAATCGGGAGGGAGGCGCCTGGCGGAAGGTGCCATGTTAGTCGGTGGGAAGGAGTCCGTGACGGAATTCATGGTGGTCGGTTGCTACAAAAGCCAGCATGCGAGAGACATGTTTTTGTGTTATATATGATTATTCTTATTAATTTAAAGCGAGGGTCTAAAGGACTGGGGGTCTAAAGGACTGTTCCCTAAACATTCGAACTCTATCCGCCGCACAGTAGGGAATATGGGTGTTTCCCAACTGAGGAAAAAAGGAAGCCCAGAGGAAAGCCCAGAGGAAAGCCACCCATTGGAGGGCACGCCAATATCGTCGAACGCCACCAGCTGTTCTTGAGGGAAACTCATAGTGAGTTCTGTCCGTATATTTCCCACCACGAATCGAGCAGACACCTTGCAACACGGCTCTACTCGAAACATGCTATGGCTTATGGCTCGAGGAAAGCAACCGGCTTGTCGGTATGGACTCAAAGTTGAGAGTGTCAGCGTTGGTGGCATTGTGTTTGCAAGACCTTCTTGACGCAGAAAGCAAAGCGTCGTCCCTTTTGGCCTTTTGGAAGGGCATGGTCGGAACACTGATTGGCAAGCCCAGAGCCCGAGTTCAGAATCAATCCGCAAGAACCGTTTGCCAAACGGTAGTGCTTTCCCTTGTAGGAATTTACCCCTACAGATTACTTGTACAGAGGATCAGGGAACCCCCCCATTCTGAGCAATCAAGTGTTCAGATCACCCCTGAATTGTGGCTTGGATTGGTAGTTTGGGGATTTGAACCCCTGGTTCACGTAGGGGGCAAAAGGAAGCCACCCCCAACCTCCAAACCACCAATCCGAACCACCAATGAGTTCTGGGTTAATTATGACTACCTCAGACGACCTCACCCCAAATGGTGGTTTATGCGGGGAATAGCCCGCCAACCACCGCAAGTTTCAGGTTGGTGAAATACTATAATTCACCCAGATGAGTTCCCTTTGTTCCAGCGCCACCAGGCGCCAGCCAGAAGTCGCCCCGCGCAGGTGGGGGAGGAGGAGACGCGGAACGTCCACTCCCTGGGGACGCAGATCTCCAGCTCTGCGACAGGCTACGCGGTGTGCTACTGCACTGGGCGCCCTGGAAGAAAGAAGCCACTGCCTACAGGAGGTGGCAAGCTTAAAGAGGTTTTTGCGCAACTTTATGTTTCATGGCACCCAGTTTGGGGTGGTTTAGTTGGGACAGTAAACGAACCCCCACCATTTTGGGGGTCCCATACATTGAGACACCCCCTTTTGATGAGTTCATTCTGAAAAGTTGGCACTTTGTATACGGTCTTGGGGCAGCCTTTTCAACCGGCCACGGGCCCTGCCTCTCTCTGAAGGCTAGGGCGCAAGTTGTTTGGATTTGGGATAGGGAAAGCAAGGTCCCTAGGTTTGGCTGGGCGGAGATATCTTCCCAGAGCTTGTCGCTTTTTGGCAATGGGCGGAAGCTTGGGACTGCATTGATGCACTTTGACTGCATCAGTTCATCACGCTTTCGTTCACTACACCCCCTCTTGCACAGGCTCACCTCATTGGACGCTGTTTGAAAGGGGCTTGTCCTTTTTGGGAGGACCGGGTTTGGTTGGTCTCAAAGGGACATGCAGAGGAAGCCACCCATTCTGGGGAATTTGATTTGATCCAGACCCAAAGCTTGTCACTTAGGTACAATGCAGACAACACGGGGCAGATCTGTGAGCAGCCCGAGGACCTGCAGCTTCAAGAGCTCCCCCAAGGTGGACATGTCTCAAACATTAACCCCTATTGTGATAGCAATGGCCAAGGTTGCCTAACCAAAAACCATTAGAATCCTCGAGTTTTTCTTGGTTTTTGGAAACCATGGACCAATAAAGTGCTGCCCCCGCCATTCAAAACGGACTGCCCCATCACAGCCTCTCACAACCTCCTGTGCTGATTGCCCAACACACGTCGATGATGTTGGGGATGTTCGGGGCAGAGTGATTGATCTAGAATCTAGGAGGAAGGAAACACTTTCATGATTGATCTGAGAGCACTCTTGTTTCAGGCACTGCAGGGGCTAGCCAAAACTGCAAGGCTGCAAAGCACCCTTTGGCAGTTGGCAGAATCCAGAGACAAACCAACCGGAGATGCAAAGGTTCTGCCCTAAAATTATGAAAACACTTGACTTTTTGTGTATGCAAAAAGGTGAATGTGGACAGACGCAAACAGACCAGTCGGAAGCAAGCGTTTATGACCTTCACTTCCTGTCGACATTTCAAGTTCGGTTAAAATCCAGCTGCGCCGTGTGGCCTCGAGCCCGACGGGCGAGCGCAACCCTACCTGTGGGTATATGGCTGTCGTGTTTTGTCGAAGCTCAAGCTCTTTCCCAAGCATCCTCCGCATTCCTTGCACCATCCGGACACAAGCCAGCCCTAAAACATCCCCAGCCCCGGCACAGACTGCCAGCCCCGCCATGGACTGCCAGCTTGCCCAACCTTCACCAAAAAACAAAAAATATAAATACCGCAAAAATTGCTCCCGACATCTTTGCAAACATCCCCAGCATGCCCAGCATTCCGGCATCAGTGGCCTGTTTGTTTGGCTTTTGTTGCGCGCAAGTGGGCATCTACATGAAGGTATCAAAATTGTCAAGCCCCGGCCTTGCTCTGACAAAGACAGACCCATATCATGTGCCCAAGGTACCCAGCAAAGCTATAGTCTATAAGCTGGCACCAAAGTCAACCGGCCGCCAGGATTGTCAGAATGCAGACAATGTATGGGGGCCGGTTGGCGTTGTAAAGTCAGAGCGCCTCAGTGTGCTTTCGAGGCCCAATTTCGTTGTCAATCTGGTTCGTTTGGGAGGGACATGGTCGCCTCTGAAAATGAGGGGACCCGCAAAGATGGTCGGTTGCCATTCGGTTTCCCTGTAAACCACCCCCAAAAGGGTACCCACAAAACAACACAGACAAAGGACAAACAGCCCTCGTTCTCACACAAAAATCCCACAGAAAGTCCCGAAGTAAACTGAAGGATACTTACCAAAGCACGGTTTTGGGGCTTAAGAGGACTTCGTGCAGCTCGTGGGGCTGCTGTACACCACCCAGGTGATGCCCAAGCAAACGCCCCACGCCCAGCACCCTGAAAAAAGTGCGGGAGCGTTCCTTGGGGCTGGGGCCATGGGTCGGATTTTCGCATTGGAATTGGTTTGCTGTGGTCCGTTCTTGGGTTCTTTTTTTGGTTGCGTGGGAGTGGGGGGTCGGGCTTTTTGATTCCTTTTTGGGCGACCTGTATTGTGCTTTGCTTTCTGGCATGTTGATTGTAGCAGGGTATGGGGCTGAGTTGTTTTCTTCGAAACAGGCTTGGTGCCATATTACACAGGGCACAAGCCGGCTGTTGTCAGCTTTCTTCTTGTCTCAAGTTGTGCTCCCGCTCCGTTGCTCCTCCAACAGATGCTTTAACAGCCAAGGGCTACGCACACGCGCCAGCACATGCACGCGCAATGGGGCAGGGAAGTGCAAGTGAGAGGCAATGCAGTGGCCATGTGCAATAAATCGCGCGGGTGCTCAAAGGCTTGGGGGTTTTGGTACAAGGATTCTCGCAGCGCTTGTGCGCGTGAGCTCACTCATCTAGTGTGGCAGGCTGGGCTGATTTCAGATGATGTCATGTCACTTCGAGGGTATACTCCTTGATTGAACCTTCAAGAAATTGGGAACGCCTCCCTTTTTCAACAACAGGCTTACTCTATTCGCTGGTTCTTCGCTGGTTTGGGGGTTCCAAGCCAGAGCACGTTCCAAGGTTTCACCACCAAACCCCAGAAGGACCACACGACACGCCTCAAGGCCACATCCCAAAGGAGGAAATAAGCCTCAACCCAGTCTGTGCAGACTGGTGCTTCGGGGATGTACACGTTTTGTGGTTGGGAAGTCTTTGATCTGACTCCCATTAGTTTTTGGCATGGAACCCCAAAAGAGCATCCATGTTCAGAGATTGGTGACCTCCTTTTCCCATGTGAATCTGGCTCCTCTTTGGTAAAGAACGTGTTGTTTGGGCGGGGGCAACGTGCGGGGGGAGCGACTCTCGGCGCTTCGGGCGGGTTCCGAGGCTGCGCTTCGACTTGCAGGTGCTTTGTGGGGACGGGTGCCCGCTCACTGGCCTCAGGCTGGGGAGGGATGCGGATAGATGGACGGGTGTCCTGTTGGTGTCCTTCAATGTGTAGATGTAGCACCAATCCCAACTGCTGGATTGATTTTGTCCATCAGTACAGACGAACAGACGAATCTTCGACCTGGGGCACCCTTTCATGGTGATCATTCACATGCAGGATTGACCAACCACTCTTGAGGGTGTCCAGAATAAAAATCATGGGGAGGTTGCCGCTGACTGTGGACCCGGGATTTTCTTCCGGCTGGCAGATGAGTTGGCTTTGCCCGAAAAGACCACCAAAAACGGGGGTATCCATGTTCTCCAGCCCAAACCATCTGAATCTGCAGGGAGCCCCCACAAAGAGCAGCCCTAAACCGTAAACCCAAAACCAAAGATGAACGTCCTTTTGCGTAAGAAGAACACGTTTATACTCGCTGTGATTCTTGAAGGGAATCTATCACCGGAATCGTGTTTATTCCCAGACCAAACACGCGCAAATGGAGGTGAATGCTTCAACCAGTCGAAGGGAACCCTCACATTTGTCCCAGTGTTTCTCTTTTGAATCGGTACTATAATTGTCCCACTGTTTCCCAATTTTTCCCCATGTTTCCCAATTTTTCCCCATGTTTCCCTTTCGAAGCCACCAAACAAGGGGTTCCCATTTGTTAGACCCACGTCCCGCAGCGCAGGGTGAAGTTGGTGGACTTCAGCCCCGACAACGGCCGCGCTGCCTTCGACCCTTTGAGCGGCTGCCGCACCGCGCAGCAGGCGCCCAGCGCCTTGGCTCAGAGTCGGGGGGTTTGGGGTGGGGGGGGGGGGGGGTGGGGGGAGGGAGCGGGGTAGGGTGGTATTTATATGGGTTGGATGTTTGAGGTAAGTTAGGTAGGTACAATGCTTCTGTTGTTTGGGAGTCATAAGTTAATGACTGAGGGTGCAAGGTTATAACAGATAGGTGTATCAGTACCGTTGTTATTGCCAATCTCGTCTTCCCATACCTAGCCGTTGCCGCGGGCTACCAAGGCTACATGTCGCCCATCAACTGCCTTTCGCCCACCGACTGCAGCCTGGAACCAAGCTTGGCCTCTGCCAGCGCGCCGGCGCCCTGGCAGAGGTTGGAGGGTCTCATCCCGTGTTTGTCCTGTTCCCAGCCTTCGTTATTTGAGCCCCCCATAGAAGCATGCATGCGAAAGGACATGAGCATCTGGTTTTGTTCGGCATGAGCTGGAAGATTGGCTGACAGACATCGACGCCCGGTCCGAACGCTGTCGAATAGATTGTGCTTTCACGCTCGCCCCAGCAGAAGGGTATTGTGCAGACGAGGGTTCCCATGAGGAATGGTCCAACTTCCGGGTCTTTCCCACCTACGAGAACCGCGCCCAGAAGCCAGCGACCTATGATGTATGCCTGCGCCTTGGCCAAATGAGACCAGATGAGGGGCGGAGGTTCGAGCTGTGCCGGAATACCTGGCCTGACCATTTGGAGCTTTTTGGGAAACCCGCAAGGTTTGTCGAGCTTCACAGCACTGTCGATGCCACAAATCTGCGGAAGAGCGAGAGGTCTTGACAAGGATTCTTCAGGTTTTGGCCAAGTTAGAAGGAGGGAAGCACGCGCGTCCCATTCAGGCAGTTCAATGGAATGCCAACTTGGAGCACGTACAGAACAGGGTTTTCGGCCGGATTGCAGACGCGCACGCACGCGCACACAAAACACCATCGCAGTTGCGACGTGTAGCTGTAGCCTTGAAGTTGGCCCAACCCTGCCTGACACCCAACCGAATTGGCGCAGGAGTGTTTGGCTAATGATGTGCATGTGATGATTGGTTGCCCATGATCAGCCTGTGTCGCAACTGTTCAAAGAGCCTTCTTTTGGTTCGCCCCTTTTTTGGGGGTGCATAGGGTGCCAAGACCACGGTCTGTTTGTTTGGTTGCTCTTTAAGGGGCACCAAGGTCTTCTGCACGGGCACGGGTTGTTCCCGTGCGCGTCAGGTGCCTGAGCTCCTGCGAGTTGGCGTCCTCCTGGTTCAAGGCCGGGGTGACATCTGCTGCAACAAAACCCATCGGGCCCCTGAAAGCTAAAAGGAATGTACGTTGAGTGTTAGAAACCATACCCCAAAACTCAAAATTAAGTTGAAGGGAGGTTGTTTGACTGCTTACCTGCAATACTTGTTGGACAATGACTTTCATTACTTACCTACCACCCAAAAAAATTAGGAGGTTTCACTTGTGGCGTGTTTCAAGTCGTCGCAACGTCTTTTAACAGGCCGGGTCCTTCCAGACCTCGGTGCCGCAGCTGCGGCCGGCTCCCTTCCTGGCCAACCAGGCGGGGAGGTCACCGGGCTTTGGGTAGGGCCACTTGGCTTCAAGAGACTGTTTCGACTGGTTTTGTAAGAAAGCACATTGATCAAACGGGTCTCTGGTTCAGGGTTGCAGGTTCATGTTTAGTAGCCTTGTTTGACATGCTACACGAAGCACCCAAAAAAGGCCCCTTTGGCTTGCTCATGGGAATCATAAGGAGACAGCCTACTTGTCAGTAAGTTGGCCTGATGTTGCCTGATTATTTTGTAATCTTTTGTTGAGGTCTGGCAAAAAAAAGAGGTTGTGGAACTCGATATTAAAGGGCCTACCAAGTCAATTGTGGCCAACCCTGTGAGACTTTCCTTGCTGGGCATTCCTCCCCAGCCTAAGCTAAACTTCTTGGGAATATCCTGGACAACATTCCGACATAGTCTCTTGTTTCGGAGTTAGGCACCATTTGTTTCAAAGATTGCAAGTTGAACATGGCTTCAGGCATATTGCTTCCCAAGGAAGGTTCAACGTTCGAAGGTTTTGTGAGGGGCGCATGTTGGCCATCTATGGCCATTTGCGAACATCACAACTTAGTAGGGGCCTGTCTCAATTTCGCGTTGTGGAAGCAAGCATGATGCTGGCCGACTTATCACCAGCTCACCTAGGGTAAAGAGAGCTCTTCCATGATAATGGCCTTTCCTTGGGGTCCTTATTTCATGTTTGTGAATTTTAGTAGTTTGCCCAGATGATGGCACATCCTTTGGCTCACATTGCCAGGGCTGTTAACTTTTCTTCCTGCCCTGTTGGGTTTGGGTTTCCCCCTAAGCCGCATCCTCAATACGACCCCTAAATGATAGATTTATAGGAGCCCACCCCCAAACGTAATTTTTTGGGAACGGGTCCCAACTGCCAGCCCACTTTGCGCGCAACCCGTCGCTTTCGGCCGGGTCGGAGGTCATGGACCTCCAGCTCTACGGGGCCAACGGGGGCTGGGGCGTCGGAACCGCCGCGGCCCCGGAGCTGAAGATCCTCTACGACCCCAACGGGGACCTCCAGGCGTTTGTGCGAAACACTCAGCACGTGTTTCAGGTGAAAGCGCCAGAGTTGAAAGGGCAGAAGCGGCAGAAGGGCAGTGTGGACAGTTGGTTCTAGGTTGCCACTTTCTGCGAAAGCCTTGGGAAATCCCCTTCACAAGTGTTGTAGTCCTGGCGATGCGATCCCACTTCGAATATCACAGAAAGGGTTTTGCACCAGACAAGAGTGACCGCTGGCCCTCGCGGTTTGGCGCCAGTGTCGGAGGATTCCTTTGAAGTCGCAGTGAGGGCGCTTTGGCTTGTTGTAGGGCGATGATGATCATCCAGACCCACGAAAGGCGTTGAAGACCATGCAGCGTCTCTGGGGGACCTTGTCGCATTTTGTCGCGCTGGATGTGCAAACCACAAGTTGCGTGATCGGATGTGTTGGCCTCGATCAGCTGTTGCCTATCACTTATACATCATTTGGCACTAGCCTGAAAGAGCGTTTGTCAGGATGGGATGTGTCATCGATCCAAAGCATCTGCGGCCAGCTCAATGTCCCAAAGTCCTGCTGGCTAAACTTGGCTCAGAACTCAACCACGATTGCTTCCGGAGGTGGGCTGTCAGGAAAATGATGCAGGCGATATTCGAAGGGTTCCCGTGGAGGGATGTTGGGATTTGACCACTGCGGCTTCGATTCACCATCAACCCCCATTACACACCTGGGGTTGCCCACCTGTCGCGACATGGCAACAACTCAAACCTCTTCCACATCTCCCCTCCCCTTTCGGCACCTTGCAACTCTTGTGTGTTGAGCCCCGCCAGCAGCTCACTTTTGCGAGGCCGCCGAGTGCTTCTCCAGGCCGCAGGACCTGCAAAGCCTGGCGGGCCACTTCTGCCTCTCCACCACCGACTGCAAGGCGTGGCGTCGAACCGAAAGTGAGCGCCAAGCATCAGGAAAGTTTACGATGCAGCTTCTGGAGAAGACGCGCAGTTGAACCACTGTGAGCTAAGATTAGTTCAAGGGCGGGACTTCCTCTCACGGACAGCCAATGCCTGCCAAAGCAGGCATGGCTGGTGGGCCCATTCTGCGCAAGAACTAGACATGCCTGAGTTGCTGTGGAAGGAACAGGCGAGAACCTCGAAGACCTTGGTGGACTCGTGAGGCTACACTTGGTTGCTGCTCTTTCTAGGTGTGTGTCACAAGTGCGCTAGTGTTTCTCAAGATGCTTCATCCTGCAAATCAAGTTATCGTTTCATGCAAGGGGTGTGTAAGGGTAGAACTAATTTGAGGGCGCCGCCCATTTTGTCTCATGCAGGCGATTGAGATTTCTCGCAACTTCAGTGGCATTTGGACCGTTCTCCTGGGCGTTATGCTTTGGATGTGAAGATGGCCGCATTCCGCTTCCTGTAAGACGTTTGAGGGCGGCAATGAGCCTCAAACGATGCCCAACGAATAGTTTCCGATGGGCGTTTTGGGCTCCAAGGTGTCCCTTCCGTTTCTTCGGCTTCCCCGTTTGGGTTGGGAAGTCCGCTCCCCGGAGCCTCGGAGCCTGGGTTGCATGCTCCAGCCGGAGGCCCCGGACATCAGCGACCAGGACGGGCACACCTGGCAGAAGGTGCGGATCTTCTATGCAGGCGGGGGGACCCAGAACTTCGCATCCGAAGGTGACCCAAGGGGGTCACTTGACAAATGAGAAATACACCAATGGTGGGCATAAGGTTTGGATTTTTGGTAAGGTTTGGATTGCTTGTCAACCATGGCGATAAACAACATAAACTTGTCAATGTTTTTTTCGTGGTTTCTCTCCACGGTAACGTGCTTCGTGCCCGCCCACCGTTGTTGTCGCCATTGTTTGATTGTTTTTGGAAAGTAGATGCACATGGCTGCATGTGTATGAACTGGCTCAACATGTTCGCAGGGGGTCAATCATGTGTGTTGTGATTTGCTTAGTTGCTTAGCATCTCATCATCCGCTCTTACAAAGCATGAGCTGGGAAGTCCACACATTTGGACGCAGGCCGTTCAGTTCGCTGTTTGCAGTTGTTTGATGCAAGTTTGCAGCTGAAGCCGCCATTGACGGCGTCAAGGGATAGCTGATGAAAGCGCTTTGTCGGGCCATTTTTGGGGATCCATCTGCCACCAACGTCCATGCAATCCGGGCGTGAGGCATGTACGCCATTTGCTACTGCGAGGAGCAGCCGCGGGGCGTACGAAAGCCTTTCGATGAGTCTTGAACTCATTGCCTGACGGCCTGGTTGATTAGAAGCCTTGCCTTGTGTTTAAACTCCCAAGTTTGTTGCCCTGCCGTCCAGTAACCTGGAACCTGACTGAGGGGTCCTCGAAGAGCGTTTTCCTTTAAAGGGACTGTCTGGTGGGTTCCATGTAGTGGAAAGGAGGGTACCAGAAGAAGGTAGAGAAGCAACTATCCACATTTGCTTTTAACTACTTTAGCATACAGCTTCCTGTTCCACAATCTGCAGTACAGCAGCGCTTGTCAAGCTTGTGTACTGCAGTCGTGTTGACAACACAGTCTTCTTCTTCAAGACCTTGATCTCTCCGGGAAGTTGGCGATTTAGTCTCTGGCGGCCACTGGGGTTTGCAGGATACCTTCTAGCTCTGTGTGAGTCCGGCCTTTCTCGAAAAAGCTGTCAAAGCACACGTTTTTCCCAAGGAATTCCGCAAGACTAAGATTGTCATCGCGCCTGCAAGATCCACACCCTTTGGGCACAAGGGGCTTTGCGTACAGTCCTGCTTTGGGAACGCCCCTTGTTCGCCACACTCTCAAATGCAGAGCAGACCAGCATCAAACCAGGTACAGTATGGACACTTAATGAACCATCTTCGTGACAACTGCCCAAAGATCAAGGATTGCTGGTAGAAAACGGGCCTACGATATTGTCAATATCGGAGGGGTATGACTCAACTGGTATCCATGAATTCGACACTCACTTGAGCTCAATATGATCCAGAGCCTGGAGCATTGGCCAATTGTCCCATTCCTTGGGGAGACAAGTAGTTTTGCACACGGTCGACGTGAGTTTAGGCTCACCTCATGCGGCACGCAAATTGAGCCCCTCGGGGGCTTGCTTGCTTTCACACCACGGGTTGGGACTTGTTGCTATGGGAAAGAATCAAAGGGCATGATCAGTTGGGCTGCGCAGTTAAACCACTCCCCCCTTTTTTTGGCAGAGCACGCCTGTTTGAAGGGTATTTTCAAGGGTACCCTTTGGAGCCTAAAGGAAGCTGCCCTATTTTGCCACATGAAGGTTGTTGAAACGGTCCTTATGGTGTGGCCGCTTCGGGAAACCCACCACATATATATATATATATATATATGTATGACTTTCACATGCGAACAGTTGCCCATGGTCTTTTTAGGGCCAATATTGATAAACCGGCTGGGCCCAGGTGCCACAGCGCGGGCCAGTGGGGCCTTCTCAGCTGGCAGTTGGTGGCGGGGCCTTCGCACCTCCACACCTGGCGCCGCTTCCGGGGCCTTCCCTTCGATCTGCGCCTAGGACGAACGCCGATGCGAAGCGCTCCGCGTTTTTGGCGCCGAAGCCCGGATCCGACTGGCAGGTAGAGTAGGTACCAGTTAGCAGTATAGTAGGTAACCAACCATTTTCCTTCGGCTTTAAAGGGCGGTTCCCTTTGGTTACCTATACAGGGAAACGGACTTTCTGGGTAGGACATCTATTCATTGACCTGAGGTTGACTAATGCCGTGTTCCCAGTGAACAAATCAAGGGCGGCAACACAGCGAGGCCGGCGAAGTCCATCGACCGTTTCTGAAGATGGCAACGTATTCACATGGATCCCCCAACCTGGGTTCTTTCCCATTTGGTTTCCCTTTAAACTGACCTAAAAAACGGGTAGAGCCTACAGCTTCGTTTGCCTTGAGTCTTCAGCCCAGGGACGTGGCCGGCTGGGGCCTCAGCGCCCAGAACCGCCTCAAGGCGGTGGACGCTTCAGCGGCCTGTGGGGCCGCCTTTTCCCAGCGCCTGGAGGCGGGACGGGGGGCGGGGCTCCCTGCAATTCAGACATCAAAGGAAGGGTTTGTTTTTAAGTGAAATCTCCCTCCCCGGTTTCTGGAGGGTTAAAAATGTCCCAAAGCAGGGTTAGCCCTCTCCACGTGTTGATGGAATTCCCCATTGTTCCCCTTCGAAACCATTTTACTTTGTGCTCCATGGGAGCGGGTAATGTTGACCCCAGATTGATAAACCTCTGGTTGATGAATGATTAACAGGGTGGATGGACAATCCGTTCGCACCGCTTAGGTGGTTTGCCAACTTATATACAAGGTTTCATTTCTGCCAAGCGGTGCAGGAAACCATGGGAAACCATTGTTTGTTCGTAGTTGCACAGGAATCATCCTTCCAGGGTTTCTCAGGTGCGGGATTTCGTCCATCCACAGTAGGCAACCCTCCTATAGGACGGATTCCACCTAGATCCGGGCCGCGCCCTTCAGATCCCCGACGCCGCGCCGGAGCAGCTGGGCAACGCCAGCGGCCTGCAATCCATCGTGAGCAGCTTGGAGCAAAGATCCGGGGCATGGCATTTCCTTGGTAGAGATCGCTTCAACGACCCTTCTAAGCGTATCCCTTCGGGATTTGATCCTGAACCGGGCTTAGAACGCGGTCATTTGTATGAAGAGTCTGGAGTGCATGAGCTAAGATGCCGTGACCCTTAACTACACTAGGCATTCAATCATGACCAATGTCCGGGCCGGATCCATCATTCGGATCCGCTGAGTGCGGCATTGTGTGTTGAACTGGGAAGGTAACGCCCTGCAAGCCTGGACAGCCTGTTTTCGGTTGTTGATCTTGGGATTAGGATACTCAAAAGTTGAAAGCAAAACAACTCACTGAAGGCCCAGGTGAGAATGGATTATCTTGAAGGTTCTTCTGGTACGGACGGTTTGCTCAAGGGCCGTTGGACAGCTGATGGCCCCAAACGATGACATCAGCGAGTCTCGCGTCTGAAGAGGCCTCGCAGAACCTTTTGGGGCCCCTAAGTATCCCCTTGTCGGACCAAGAAAAGTGACAGTTTCATGGGAACCCGCCAGTCAGTTGCAACCTAAGCGGAAATCCACTGCCCCCTGTCCAAGGCACCTACGATGGTGCTCTGGTGAGCTGTGACACTGCCCATGACCTGGTGGTGGATGACGAGGCGCATGACGAGCAGATTCAGTAAGCGAGAGCAAGACCGCAAAACCTCAGGGGAAAACGATGCAGAATCGATTGACCAGCTCCCTCTGTTGCTTAGTAGGTCGGTAGGCTCTTAGGTGAGTAAGTCAAAATCCGTCAGCGGGTACCATGCCACAAAAGGTTGCAACAGGTCAGGTCACAGACCTCCCGATTCAAAGCGCTTGGAACCCGAGGTGAGCTTGAGCGGGGTGGCTAGCAGCTGCCAATTCTGCGCGGAGCTGCTGAACTCGCGGCCCTTGCGGGTGATCCGGGTGCCCGCCTCCACGCAGCCTGGACGTCGAAGTGGGAGGGGGTCCGACGGATGGCGGGCGGATTTTTGGGACAGCGGGAAGCCCCAGCACGCAATAAGCATTCCGGGTGTTTGGACCAGAGAACCATTGGCAGTTGGGGCTGTGTCACTTGTCGAAGCCCAAGCCTGAGGGAGGTTCTGTTTGCAAGCGGGAATCGGTCAAGCCCAAAGCGCTGTGTGGGGGTTCTGATAGTCGGTGAAAGCATTGCCTGCAGGACCTGCGAAGTTAGAACCGGATGGTTTGCCTTCGAGCAAACCCGTCGGAGTGACCTACACTCGGCTCGCAGATCAGAATGATCCGTCAGTTTTGGCCCAGAGCGGTGCAGGTTGATCGCTCAGGAGGTTCATGGATTCTGCAGAACGAGTTCCAGTTCTCCAATGATCCAATGATCGCAAGCTGACCTTGCTTGAGAAACCCGTTGTCTCAAGAGACATCACGGAGACACCTGCAAAATATACTTGAGCCTCCAACTCCCAAGAGGCGCATGGCTTTGGTCACTTATTTTGCTGGTCTACCTGATCGCTCGCCCCCAAAAACGAGCACCAAGCAAGCAAGCAAGCAAGCAAGCAAGCAAGCAAGCAAGCAAGCAAGCAAGCAAGCAAGCAAGCAAGCAAGCAACCAAACAAGCAAACAGGCAAACAATAAACAAACCACCCTCATCCCAGATTAGATCTTAACCACCGAAGCATTCCATTTGAGGGCCCTTTTACTCCAGGCAGTTCGTGCTGCAGCTCAGCTACGAGACCTTCCCCGACTTTTTGATGGAGAACGCCAGCTGGGCTCGGTCCAGCCGGGTGACCTTCCAGGAGCGACGCCGTTTGAACTGTGGGGGGTTGGTTCGGCTTTTGTGCTTATTTGAAGCTGTTGACTGCCTTTTGTTTGAATGTGAAGGGGGCAGAGGCATTTGAAACCAAGTACGCACTGGAGGCCTCGAAGGCCACTGGCCCTTTCAGCTGCCCTCAGGCGAATCAGGGCTTGCATCTAGGAAGCTGTAAATGCGGTAAGTCTTCCAAAGGCATCCTTGGTGGGCATAGTCGTTTCTCTGAACTCCAAGGTTGAGGGTTGTGAGGTTCTAAGGAACCACCCAAGGACACTTGGGGACAGGAGCCATGACTCGAGCCGCGCGCCGCGACTGCGCCGCGCAGGACGTGGTGGCATCCAGCCCTGGGGATTACCAGATCTGCTGGTCGGTGGCGCCCTCCACGCAGCGCGGCAGAAGTTCAACGAAGGGCGAAGTGGGATTCGGCGCGTGTCAGCCCTCGTTGGTTTCGTTTGGGATTCGTTTGGTTTCCCCGGCGTTTGAAATTGGATTTGCTAAGGCCTACAACTCACCAGTCGCAGACGCAATAGCCGGAACAACCGCAACAGCCAAGACCAAATGTGCAGCCGCAACATCCACAACAAGCACATTCAATAAACAACACAATCATGACAACCACGACCGCCTCAACAATCGTGATAGCCACAGCGGCACAACCACAACGACCGCAAATGAAACAAATCATTCAACCATGAAGCAACAAGTTGATAGTTTTTCCTTGAATCCTCATTTGGTATGTCTTTTTTGAGTTGGTACCCGTTGTTTGGTGGCTTTGGCACGGAAACAGAAGGACAACCGAAATCCTGTTTGAGGGTCTCCCCAAGAAGAACCCGCACCCATCTCCACGCGGCAAGCGCACGACGCCAGAGTTCCGGTGTTGAGGTCCCCAGAGGACTTTGGCGCCAGCGCAGGGCTTCTCTCAGTGCTGGAGCCGCCGCTTTTCGAGGCCCAGGTGCACAACATCGCCACAGAAGCAGGCGGCGCACGGGGTGGGCCGGGGTGTGGGGTGGGGGGCAGTGTTGGGCAGAGCGACTCTTTGAACAAGGGCTCCTGCAGTTATGTTGACCCCCCTGATTTCAGACCCCCTACATGTTTTGTTGATGCCCGCATGCTTTTGGGACTTGCCATCCATGGGAGGTCCTTGTCCAGATAAGCTCGGAGGGAAGTGGGCTCAGATTTTGGGTCAGGGTCGCAAAAGGGCAAGTGAACAAATTGGCTTTCAACAAAATCGATCCAGGCTGCCCTCTGCTTTGCCAGTTTGACAGACCGTTCGACTGGCCAACAAGCTAAATCCCCATGCCACTTGGGGCAGTGAATTTGTGTACCACTGATTTGGTCCCTGGGAATCCACGGTCCCCGCGGGCTGAGGCGTGGGTGCGCCGGCGGTGGTGTCCTTCACCACGCAGAGCCGCGCGGAGTACCCGGAGCCCAAGGAGAGCCGCCTGCGGCTGCGGTTCCCACACCTGGATCTGCGCCTGGGCAAAACCCTTTTGGCACGGCTGGCGTTCATAAAGCTCGTCCGCTTCATTGGGTTTCCTCGCGCCATCCAGCAAGCTACTTTGGGAAACTCATTTTGGTGTGGGTTTTGGATACTTTTTGGGGGGTGGGTTGAAGGGCAGCCGAAGTGCAAGCCACCCAGTTTGGGGGCACGCCTATTTTGACGCGCACACACACACACACTCTGAATGGATAGGATGGATCCGGGGAAACTGTTTTGAGTTCGAGCTCTAACACATGGTTTCCAGATGAACGAGGAAGCCAAGTGGGCTGATCATCCAAGCGATGAGGCTGTCGCCGGTTGGCCCGGCGGGCACTGCGGAGGAGGTGACGTTGCCGAACGCGCGACAGAGCAGCTGCGCCTCGCTCCAGCGATGAAAACGGGGGATTCATCCATCAAAGCTGTGGGGGGTCAGTTCGTCTTCCAACGGTGGGTAAAAATAGAGGAGATAGAGCGGGGTTGCAGCAACCCCCTAAAAGGACTGGCGCGAGGAAGATTCAATCGAAGTGATTGGAAGACATCCTGCAAAATGGTGGACAAAGTAATGTCCAAAGAAAAATCAAACATCATCCCCAAATGGAGCTGGCAGGGGAGGAAGCACCTGAAAGGAAGGGCAACCGATGTGTGTAAAGTTTAGTGGATTTTGATGGTTAACATCCCTATGACAGTCCTGGCAATCAAGGCGGCATCAACATCAACATCAACTGGTCCAAATATGTGCAACATCTAGAGATGCAGCAAATTTGGGTGGCTTGGCATTCTTCCATCAGTTTGCATCGGCGTCGGACTTGTGCGGCGTTTTGCGAGGTTGCACATTTGCCAGGACTCTTGATACTCGATGACGATAAGATGTTGAGTTGCCGCAAACCAACCGCTTACATTTGGCTTGCAGGCCCGGACAGATATTGCAAACAGGCTGTTTTGGCCTGTCAGGCCAATTTCATGACTTTACTTGCAAATTCATCGACGCGTGCCGACCCGCAACGAGACGGGACTTGCTCCACTTTGGGTCCGAAAGGCTTCGGCCCCCAATCTGAGAGGGGTTGGACTAGAGGATTGAGTTTGTTCGCACTTTGGGCATCCAAGAAATGGAAGCGGGGTTTTTCCTACCCCACCCAAGCCGGTTTCCAGCACTCGCTGCAAACCGGCCTAGGCGGCCGCATCATTCGGGAGCTTTGGTCCAGCGATGTGGACGGCTTTCCCATGCCCAAGGCACCGACGGAGTCCATTCGTGGTGTGATGGGCTTGCACATGCAACGGTCCTGCAGACGTAAATGCAACATTGGCCACATCCCATGCAAAACGAACATAGATTCTAACCAGACCAAGCTTGGCGCCAGAAATAAATGACCAAACAACTCCCCCAGTGGCCCGGTGACTACATCCAGTGCCCTCCGGGCCATTGCTTTCCAGGGCTGCACCTTCGAGAAGGACGGGGGCGTTTTCCACGAGTACGCGCTGATCTTCGGTGCGGGCGCCACGCTTAGGTTCGGAGGTCGAAGAGTGGTTGGGGGGGGGGATCGGGGTGGCAAGTTGAGTTGAAAGGAGAGGAGTTGGCCAATCTCAGGCAGTTTCGCCCTTTGAAGCTCGCAGGTTATCGTGGGCCATGTGCGAACAAGAGCTTTGGGCCTTCAATGTCAGCCTCTGACTCTGGCTCCAACTGAGTTGACCGTTTGTCCTCGAGGCAATCGCATATCTTGAAGCACAGGGGAAGACCGGGCCTTTCAGTGTGCAATTGTAGCTGTTCAGTGCCATGGTCAACAAAGTGCTTCTCAAGCTGTCAGCCACCCCGTGGCCGACAAGCTTTGCAAAGCCGGGCATGATGCCCCCGCAGTTTCATTTGGGGCAGAGAAGGGTCACGGACGGCAACCCCAAGAGATTCCAAGCGCAAGGGAAGAAGCTCGATGCAAGCCTGGGTCCCGAGGAAACGGCCTGAAGCGCGCCACTCACTACCAGCCACTTGGCCTTGTGACAAAGGCAGCGATCCATGCTCACTGCTGCAGGCTCACAATGTTTGTCTTTACTCTCCACTGTCACGCAAAAATCAGAAAGCCAGGAATTGTTTGTGCGTGAAAGAGAAAGATTATTGTGGGCGGCGGATACTCGAAGGATGGGGTCCCCAATGCAGCCAGCACTTCATTTCCGGCTTGGGGATTGTGAAAGGGGGGACAAAGCAAGGGGGGACAAAGCAGGAGGAGGACTCAACACTACGTACGAGAGGCCTCCCCGCGAAAGAGATGACACCCTAGGCTGGTATTGGACGTGTCAGCCTCGGTCACTTCCGCCTTCCCGCCAAATGACGGCGTGCTGCAGCTATGGTCCATGGGCGACAACACTGACTACTTTCGTGCCGGCCACAGATTTGGGAAGGGTTGATTACCCTCCCACCGACAAATGGAAGAGTACAGGCTCCGTTCCAAGAGGGTACATGTTCAGTCTCGGGTCATGAGACGAAGGAACACTGCATGTTCAGCTGCTTTTAGCTTGCTTTGGTCTGAAAACGAACATGCATCATTGAGAAAGATGTGGGAACGGCTGGACGACTGCTCCCCTTTTCGTTTTGCCAAATGCAAGACGAGCGTTTTCGTTCCGCTTCTACTGTTTGCTGGTTCTCAGCAGGGAATGAGGGAAGGGCCCCTACTTGGATGGTCCGGGACTTAGCTAAATGGTTGGTCACCCTGGTCATAGGGGACTTGCAACCATACCAAGTGGGTTACAACCAGGGTTACTATCCACTTAGCCAGCTCCCAGACCATCTAGGTATCATCCATTCCTCGTGGTTTGAAAAGGAATCCCTAGAGGTTCATTCCCAAAATCACTCGCCCCAGGTGTGATCGAATACGCCCCTGCATGGCTCCAGAGGCCTGTGGTGGCAGGCGCCGGGCATGAAACTGATGACTTGGGTGTGTGCTTTGGTGGGTGCCCTTTTGTGGTTGGGTTAAAGGGAAACCAAAAGGAAAGCAACCATTGAGGGGTGCCCCCCCATTTGGACACAAATTGACTTGATAGAGAAGTCTGATGGGCAGTGTACAAGTTCGATTTGAAGGAAGCATGAACAGGATATCACCTTGTCAGCCTGGGTGGATGGGGATCTGATCTCAGATGGTTCACTTGGTTTCCGGCAACTTCGTTTTTTGTTTCCCCCCCCCCCCCCCGAAACTAAAGGAACCCACCAATTTGGGGATTCCCCTTTGAGACAAACCCGCATCAGCCAACACGGGATTCCTTCTTTTCCCTCTTTGGAACCTCCAAAGGTGGCGCTCGTTTCAATGGACCCCACCAATAAATGGATCACCTGGAGGGGAACTCCATCTCCCGTTCCAGTGGGACGCGCAGGGGCATCGGGGACGCAGCCGCGGCTGCACAGCGCCGGGGGCGTGGAGCTGGTGGGCGCCGACCTGCCGACCCCTCAGCCGGAGTAGAGTGCAGAACCCGCGGCCGGGGGTGCCATTTTGGTGCTGATTTCAAGCATGGCCATGGGAAGTTGCTTTTTGACCATACGGTTGCCAAGCTTTGCGGGTTTCGGTTGACAACGTGATGGTGCAGGGGCTGGAAAACTAACCCCCGGCCCCTCCCTGCAGGCTGATTACCCCTTCAACTATGACACGCCACGATTCGTGAGTCTCAAAACATTGGGCACATATCTCGCTTATATAAATCGGCCAGAGAATCTAGGACACTGACCGCATTTGTTTCAGGTCCATGCCATTCCTCTGCTGAGTCAATTCTCCAACCACCAAGAGATCGGACTTTGCCTGGAACATTCAGCGCATGTGTTCAAGTCATGCTCTGCATCTCAAAGATGGGGCCCCAGATCATATCAAGCAGATGACAAGAGCCACAGAGTTCTGTTTATGGAGAGGGACTTGTGCAGAGCCCTGAAAGGCGAGTCAAGGTCTGGTAGATTGAATCCAATGTGGGTGGGTGTACAGTTTGTTGAACCCTTTTGGACTCAGGTTCAGAGCTGAACAGTGACTATTCAGACTCTAATAGCTGTGGATTGAAGCATCGATGCTGTCCGCAGTCGTCGCTCTAGGCTGGACTTGAGCGCGCAGGGCAACACAGCGGACATCGAGCTGAGGCGGGGCTTCAGGATTTGGTAGACTGTGGTCCTTCGCTTTCTTTTGGTCGGTACACGTGGGATGAAGTGGATGGTGCTTGTGCTGGCGGCATTGTGGTTACGCGTGCCCTATGAAGGTTACTTTGTTTGAGATCCACCAATTCAGGCTTTAGCATACTTTAGCGAGTTCTCAATTGTACCAATGAGGAAGATAGTTTCCTTCATGAGGCTCATAAATTATAAGTAGCTCTACGGCTTTCCTATTTGTTTGCCTCCAAACCAAACAAGCGAAGTGAGGGTTGCCGGGGGGAAATTGATGGGGCCCACCCCACCCGGATGATTCCGTAACCGAATGGTCCAACAGACCATCAAGCAGCACATCTCCGGTTTCTAGAGTCTTGGGCACATGGAGCAGTTTGTTGGTTCAGCTGTGAGGAGTTTGCCGAGCAATCATCGAGCCGCAAGGCAACACTTGCAGCCCGTTGGCCGACACTCATTCAAACAAGAACGTCCCTCAGCTTTTTGGAGCTGCGCTGAGATGCACCATATTCCATGAGCCAGTCATACCGCAACCGTACTTTTGGTGGAGAGCAGTTTCATGCACCCATGCCTTCCCCGGCAAGGGATGGGCATGTCCGCTTTGCCAAGGAATCGAGTCACTGTCAATGAAACCGAGGCAAAGGTCAGGCCACAAAATCATCCAAAAGGGTTGCGAGTTGCTCACATACTTCGCTGGCTTCCCGAACCAGAGGTACTGCTGCTTTGAGGAAAGAACAGCAACTCGAATGGGAGGTCATACAGAGGATCCTCCATGTTGAGGCTTTCACTTTGACCGAACAGCTTCAACAAGGCTTGCCCTCGCACCAAGCATGAAAGTGCGCAGAGCTTCTTTTTTTCCCGGGAGTGGGGGGGGGGGGGGGGCGGGGAGGGAGTTCCGCTTGCCGCTCCGTTGGTGTCCATGTGAGCAGCGCCACTTCCCGGCTTCATATGGTTAAACATAAATTTAAGACAGTTGAAAACACCAACATAAACATTTTACCCATCTCGGGAGAACCCACAGTCAGCAGGTTTTGGGTGCTGTCCATGTGGGGTCAACGCATTTTAGAACTCTCAGTTCGTGAGGCTGCGGGCGGAGGCGGGCGCGGAGATACAGCAGGGCCACCAGCTGCAGATCTTCCTATGGCCGTTGCCCGGGGCTCAGAGGCGGCCATGGAAAGTCCCGTACCAACCCCTGGGTTGGCAACCCACTGCATGTGATTTGCAGCCACCCCCCCTACGCCCCCCCCTATGAAGAAGGACATGTTAAGAGCAGGGCAGATCAGCACTGGCCGTGTTGTTTCACCAAATTGTCATCCAGTTCTTGCGCCAATTCGGCCAAGCGGTGCATGGTTTTTGCAGCGACCTGGGATCTGAGAAAGACAGGACCTGCCTTGTGCATAATAGACTACCTGAAACGGGTGATCCAAGATCCGTTGAACTTTAAGATTATAAGTAAGTCAAAAGTGAAATAATAAGTCAATAATTCGCCGAGGGGCACGTTCTGCTCGGTTCAACTTGGCTTTGCCTCACTTTGGGTCTGGGTAAAGCACGGCCCAACGCGATTTAGTCGGATTCCCTCAAAAAACCCCTTTACAGGGCATACTGTGGATGAACGAATCCTGCAGCACTTTGAGACCATGAAAAACCACTGTTTGTTGGTATTTGGTGGGGAATCGTCATTCCGGGGCTTAGGTGATGCAGGATTTCGTCCATCCACGGTAGTGTTTTTTTATTATTATTCCCCAAATCCAAGTTACTGGGCGGGTTCCTCCGACTGGTAGTGAATGTTTCGTGTGCACTCAAGTACAACCGATCTTGCCTAGGTTTCTGGAATTGGTTTGCCGTGCAAAACCAGGTATGCTTAGGTGCACATCAGGTAGCCCCTGGAGCAAGCCGAAGGTCATTGCATAAACCACACATTCAGCACTTGGCATATGAAGTAGCCACAAGTTGATTTTTCAGCAACTACACAACACCCTTGGGAAAGTGGGTGTGCATGTTTCCAGCTCGCCGCCCGAGGACTCAGTGGCATGTCTCGGAGTTCTGCTCTGCTGCGCGGCTCGGCCTGTTTGCGTGTTTTCCAGGTTTCAGAGTGTTGATGGTTTTTGAGTTGGTGATTTTTTGGGTTGTTTTTCTGGGTTGTTCAAGAATGATGATGATTGGTCCTTGTGGCAGATGGTCATGGTTTCCATGTTTGTGGGCGTCTCACCACAGAAAAGGACACCCAAGGGGAAAGTCAAGACATATTAATATGCAGGTTGTCTGTTCCACGTTCCACCATTGGGAGAGATAACACCTCTTTTTTTGTCTTCAATTCAAGGGAGCTCTTTTTCAAGGGGCTTTCTCACAGGAGCATGTCCGGGAAGTGGTTCGGCCTGCCTCATAGAATGAACCGGCGCTCTTTGTTTGTTGTTTTCTTTCTCTCTTTTTTGGGCGGGCCTACATGCTTCTAATGAGATACTCACTGGCTAAGAGAGTTAGCCCTCCCGAAAAAGAAGAGACGGGCCCCCAAACACCGCTTGAACGGGAACTTTCCCAACCTGGAACAAGCGAATGGACTTAGACCATCACAGTCCGACGAGTCCGACGGCCGTGGCAAGTAAGTCGAGCAGCTTCCGATGCGCCTGGCAGTCCCCCCCGGCGGAGGTGCGCGGCGGCACCGCTGAACTCCTGCAACTCCCCGGGCTGCTCCGTGCTGCCCTTCCTCTCGCGGAACGCCCTGCTGCGCCTGGCGGGGAGGGTGGCGGTTGGCGATTGTGGCAAGGCATGCGGCGCAAGGCATGTGCTAGCGGCGTGCTGTGTTCAAACGAAAGGGAAGGCAAATTTATAAAATAGTGCCAAATGGCAGAGATCATCATTTAAAGAAGGCCAGAAGTGGGTGGGAGTGCGACAAGTGGATGGGAACGCATTTCACATCAACTTGTCCATCGATTCTGGAGCCCAAACTAGCAGACTGCTGCATGTTCACCGGGCCTCAACAGCGTTTCAACCTTGGGCTTTTGCCTTCCAAAAGACCTGACATCAGGTACCAGCGCTTGCCTCCAGTTTGCTGCCTTCAGGGCCCACACGCACTCTTCCCCATGAAAATTGGATGTACACATTGACGCCTGGGCAGAGGGCACTGGAGGGGACCAACATTTAAGGGAGGAAGCCACAGCCACAACGCTTCCAACACTCTCTTGCACTGATCCCAAGGTCTTGTGTAAAGTGTCATGTCGGCATGTGCTGTATCAATTGCCCCTCCGCTAACATCCTGATATGGAATCTGGCCGGCCAAATCGACCTGTTTCACCTACAAAGTCCCTTGAGAGTTAGTTAGCGGATGGTGTTTGGGCACGCTGTTCAGGGACTCATCACAGAAATCGGCCCACACATTGAGCTGCAGAAGCCCCTTCTGAAAGGGCTGAAGTCTACCAAGGGGTGTCTTTGGCGAACCTTTGAAGGCTTCGCTCCAGTTGACCAAGGGCACTGCCTTGCGCAGGTTTTCGCGGAGATGGATCCCATCTCGGATACCGTGCAGCACACGGTACGGCTGACACTCGGCTGCCGTGGTCCTAAGTGCGCGCTATTGGTTCCTCTTGGTGCTCATTCGCTGAATTGCCCCAGAAACAAAGAAAAAAAACAGTCTGGCGCTCAGGCCACCTGTCCAAAATCCCGCGACAGGTGCAGGAACTTGCAAAGAATATCCTTTGTGCAAAGACTGTCCATACTCAGTACCCTTGCATGAGGAGGCTTGTTGCAACCTTGCAAGAGGCACTAGCAAATTGCTTGACACTTCATCACATTGTCTTTTGGAATGAATCTCTTCAACGTGCCATGTTTGAGTTGAATGATGGTCATGCGCACGATCAACTCAGATACGCATTTGGCCCTGCTGCTATTTTGACACCCTCCCACGCTGAAATTGGAGATCGCACAGGTCCTTTGGTCAAAAAATACCCTGGCTCGAGATCACTAGCGACGAAGGGCTTTCTTGCTAGTAAGACAGAAGCCACTAATAGGTTCAAAAAGGCAGAACGGCAGAGTTCCCCTTGTTTAGGGGACCCCCTAAAATGGTGGCGTTCCTTTTGGGTTTCCTTTAAAACCAAAGGAAGGGATGCCCTCAAACAGGACACCCCCAGCTTTTGAATCAGGATGCGCAATGCCCACAGTGAGCTTTCCATTGGAACCACGGCCAACCGTGGCGTGTTTCGAGGAACGGGAAGAATTGCGCAGTTGATTCCAATCAGTTGCATCTGGAATCTAGAGAATAAGTCTTCCCGTTCGTTATATATGGTGGTAGGTTGACTTGCCTCCTGTTTGCCGAATTCACAATGTCTTCAGGGGGCATGAAATCACCGTCCTGACGGCAAAGCATCCAAAAAGTAACACTCCTGAAGGCTCTTTGCCACATGCAGCAGAATGCATGTATATAAAGTAAACACATAAAGACACATGGAGAAGCAGGAATGCCAACCCCTGATAAATCACACCCTTGTTACTCTTTGAAATCAAAGGGGACGGGGGGTCATGGGTACTTTGTACTTTCAAGGATCTCCTGATGGTCAATGCTGAAAGGAGTCGGGTTTGTAAGCCTGGTTATATCCCACCGAGGGGCCTTACAACCATAACTTTGGTAAGTTATCATCATCAATTGTTACAAATCTTTCCCTCAACCAACCACTGAACTACTTGACTACCTTCTGAACTAGCTACTTAGCTACCCACTTGTAGCCCCCCCTTTGAATCTTCAGACGCCAAGGATTGCCCTACAGCTGCCAGTGAGCGGCTTCTTCGGCACACGCCTGGGTGCAGAGCTGTCAGGGGGCGACGCGCCCTCTTTCCAGATATCCACAGGCGGCCCCCGAAGTTTCCGCCGGTTTCGCGGCGGGTCTCGGAAGAAACGTGGCATGCGAGTTCGCTCAGTGGACGCTCCCTGCGCGCCTCTTTGGAGAGGCATGGTTAGCCTTTGTGAAGGTTGAGTCAACAAGTGCAAAGTTGTTCCCCATGCCAAAAAAGCAAGGGGAAGCGGAAAGAAACATGAGAGGGATAGGGGAAGGGGAATCCGGAAATCGCCATTTGGAGCCTTCATCGTTCAGATTGCATTCTTCGGACTCGAGGCGCTGTGCTTTTCGCTGCCCCCAGTGCTGCCGGCACTGCAGCAGCCTCGGCTGGCTTTCGGGTCGCTCATTGGAGCTGATAGGCCCTGCGCTTTGCAAATGCTCAAGGCCCAAACTCAAAAGCAGGGGCCATGAGTTTGCTTTGCTGCCGCTTTGGTATGGAATAAGGCAGTGAGCATTGAGCACCTGCGAATCGCTCCGAGGTCCTTCCGCTTGCGCAGGACAAGCCATTCCGCGGGGATCAGCAGAACCACCTCTTTGTGAAGCCTGGTGCTGAGTTGAAGTTGGGTGTTCGGAGAACATGTTTGGTCAAAATGCGGGAGCCGTTTCAGCTGGGTTGTTTACCTAGGTGAGCCACCATGACCAGGAGTTTGGCCATATGTATGGTCTCAAGATATGTTGGACACCTAGCTGGTTTCCTCCGAGTTTCCTCTTGAAGCCATCCAGATGATATACAGCATGTTGGCGCTCCTGTTTTTGGGCGCTGATCAAACAAAGTGGGCGCGCTTTTTCGAGGGCACTCCTTTTGGTTTTGATCTTTCAACAGCTGAAAGCTTTGGGCTCTGTGCCCAAAATGGGCCCCAGAGTGGTTCGGAGCTGATTTGAAGGAACACCGTGACACCCTGGGGCGGCTGAGGCTGACCCTCGCCAGTGCCCTGTGGGGCGGCGCTGTGGCCGCCGCCGCCGTGGGCGCCGGCAGCTCCGTGCAGAGCGTTTTGGGCCTCGAGCTGCAGCTGCCGCAGGGCTACGCCTGCACCTCTGCGGCGACTGAAGTCAGTTTTTTATTTTATTTTTATTTTTTTTCCGGCCGACTGCTTCGGCCAGTCCGATTTTGCTTCGCTGCAGACTTTTTTTTATGGCACCTAAACACTGCCAAGTGGGGGAGGCGTTTAGTTGCAAAAACACCTTCTTGAAACACCCCCTTCCGATTTGCCGTGGGATATTTTACGAGAGCCAGAGGTCTGGGCGCAGAACCCGCACAGAGCCACGAGCTGGGAGAGTACGGGCAGGCGATGTGGAGGGAGTGGGGTCCACTAGGGAAGGTCACGGAGTGCGTCGCTTTTTTCCAGTGGACATTCGGAGTGGGAATTTCGGAGGCCCTTTGAAGATGGTAGCGAATCCATATATGACAATGGAAATTCGGAATGGACAGGAGATAATTGAAGATGATGGTATCCTTCCAACACAACCTGTCCACGTTTATGTTGACGGAAACAGGGGAACGTGTATATTTGCTTCAAAGCGTTGGAACCTGCTGCTCAAGCATCCTGCTCAAACATGATTAAAGCTTAAGGCCTTTGGTTCATATGGCATGGCCATTGACCCGTTGATTGGGCCTTAGACAAGCAAGACCCACGCACGGTGTGTTGACGTTGTCGCGAATGACCCCAAGGCTGGAACTATCACGATGTGAAGCATGCAACAATTTGCAGAGCAACTCGTGCTGGCAGGGCCGCGGTGACATCGGCTTGGATGCGGAACTGGATGGCATCGTGGTAGCAATTGGCGTGCAGTGGCATTGCTCAGATATCAGAACCCAACCCCTCCAACAAAGCGAATGACATGTCGTGATGCGTGGTGCGCTTTCTGTGGAATGTATTGTGTGCCCATATAGGGGTGGTTTCTCCTCCAGACATCACAGGACTCTTTGCACTTTTGACGTGTGTTTGAATCAGCCCATTGAGCAGCTCCGAGTCCAGCCATTTGTGAGCCTAGCTTCAGAGTTTTGCACGGCCATCGATGCCAGGCTACTGGCTGTACAGCGGGCGTTTGTGCATCTACACGTTGCGCCCCTACGGGGTGGTCTATGGCAACAGCTCCCTAGTGGTGCAGCTCGGCTCAAACGAAACGGAGGAGTGGTAGATAGATATGACCGGGTCCCTCATTGTGTTGTCAACATGATTTTTTGGAGTGGTTTCCTTTAACCACTCATTCATGAGAGGTTAACTTGGAGGATGTCACTTTAATGACCCAGTATGATAGGCCCCATGTGTCTCCTTTCTTAATCATCCTTTGGGGATGCTGTTCAACCTCCCCATGCCACTGGGAAAAAGACAGCTCTCTGAGGGACATACGTTCAGCTGTGGGTGGATGTCAGTCGGCAGTGGATGTTTGCAGACGTCGGCCCATGTTAGCTCCTCAGGAAGCTCACGGTGGACAACCCGGGTACCACGATGCCCCGCACAGAGCCCACGAATGTTTGGACCATCAGGCGGGATGAAGACGAACAGTAGGGAAGCTTCATAACAGCTGGTTGCAGGGTGTGTGCACGGGAGATTGGCCATAATTCAATGAATGAGCAGGAAGCAAGTTGCCAAACACTATCAAGGAAATTGTATCTTCTTCTTTTTTGTACATACACTTTCCAACTCTTCGCAGGGCTAAGCCGTTTCTCTTCCTCGCACATCGATAAATTATTTAAAGCAAAACGCAGGCCGTACGATTGCACATCCATAGGCATTTCAGGCATGCAGGCAATGCTTTACACACTTAGACACAGAACAATGGTTCCTTTCGCACAAGACATACTCTCCTGGTATTTCGAGCAATTTTAGCCAGTTTGTGTCCGCCTGCACTTATCACCCCGCTGGGGCCGCTTAAGAGTAGTCCTTTCTGCATGGAAATCGGGAAAACACTTTTTGGCACACTTGTCAAAATGGGTTTTGCAATGATGTCCGTGGACCAGTTGCAGTGGTTTGCATCGATATGAATGACGCACACGAACGCACTCTTGACCCAGGAAACAGTCCAGTTTTTGCTTTGCGACATCAATGCTTGACACATCTTCCGCATGGCTTCAAGTTCTCCTGGATCGCATGGATGCCCCCACCTAGTAATGTCCCCAATCAACAAGTCCACCAGTCCCCCAAGTTTGTTCTAGGGGTGCTTTTTTTTGGGGGGGGATGCCCTTTGCTGGTCTGGTTCTCAAAGGAAACCTGGGCACCAATCAGTTTGGGGTCCCTTGACACCCAGCCTCCTCCTCTCCTCCTCTCCAGGCTGCGGGGCGCCTACGCGCCGTTGACCACGACGGGGGTCGCGGTGGCGCTGCAAAGCGGGCAGCTTCGCACCTTCGAAGCGACGGCAGCGGGGGGGCGCTCCAATGCCCCGGTGCTGGGGGTGCTCACAGGCGCCGGTGAGTGGTTCGGAGGGGGCCAGAAGGGGGCTCCAGTGCTACTTGGGAAAAGGCCTTGTTTGCTGTTTTGCTCTTTGGATGCTTCGGTTGGGCGACATGCGATGGGTCTTCAGTTGCTGAGGTGCGATGTTCTAGATGTACCTTACCGGCCCCATGCTCTTCAGGGATCCTTCTCTTCAAAACATGAAGGCCCATGGGAAAATGAGTGGTTTCTAAAGAAAGCGACGACAACCCTCCCCGTCTCGGCGCCAGACGCCAGCGTGTCGCCGGAGTCCTTCGGCGCTGCGGCCAGGACGGCTGAAAACATGGCGGGTGGATGCTACCAGATATTACAAGTGCTACAAGTCCATTGCGTTAGTAGAGGGGGCGCGCTAAATCTTCGGCCCCGTTGAACCGGTTGAAGCAGTTGGCCCAGTTGAACCTGGTTCGACCGGGCCAACTGGTTCAACCGGTTCAACTGGGCCAGCCGGTTCAGCCGGCTCGACTGGTTCAACTGGCTCAGAGATTGTCTGGTTAAACTGGCTGAACTGATTTCGGCCGGTTGCATCGCAGCTAGCGTGTACCAAAAGTTGCCAGTCTACGCGGCTGGCTTGCGCCTGAAGGGGCAAGGTAGTGGCCTGCAGCTGCATCTGTTGGAGTAGCTTATGAGTGACGCGGCTTGGCTTGTGACTGCAAGCTAAAGACGTAGTGGCTACGGCTCGTTGCATGGCGACGTTGCAAGTAGCCGACGCACTCGAGAAGTGGACTGGAAGTTGTTTTTCTGTTGGGGGAGGCATACCCCAAGTTGCTGTTGAAGACGAAACCCTGATTCCTTCGGTTGGATGTGCGGCTGGGGACAATCCCTTTCAGCCAGCAGCCTTGGGAATTCAAAAGTTTGGGGTGCCTGCAAGACATTTTTGTTTGTTTGGGATCCATTCGTTCGCCGAAGGGGGGGGCCAAACTCCGGATGGACAATCAGGATAAGGGCCCACCCTGGAGAATGTCAGAACCCTGATCCGAGTTTGCAGGGTCTTTGGTGTCCTGGAGTTGTGCAAAATGTGATTAAACCACCCCTCGGTCCCCTTCAGCCGGAACCAACCAGGACGTTGTTTAAACAATAGTGGCTCAAACACGTTCAATCATGAAGAAGGGGGTGGCACAAAAGGATGTCATTTGCTGGCAACGGGTCAAAAGGATTCCCATCGATCGAAAAGCCTCAACACCCACTGTACGCATCGCCAGGAACTACAAATTCGTTTGGTTTCCCTTCAAAGCCCAAAGCGACCCACACCTCCAACCCACAGCCCTTTAACCCCCTGCGAGAGAACTCGCGCAGGAACTGGCTCAGCGTCTTCTTCACCGTGGAGCAGAGTGCTGCCCACGGCGCGCAGCTGCAGCTGGAGCTGGCGGAGGGCTTTTTGTTCCAGACCCAGTGCCTCACGCAGCGCCTGCCCAGCTACCACTACGTGCCTCGGAAAAATGTGAAAAAAAACACCGCAAAACGGGAGGAAAACAACAACAGCTGAAGGTCAACAGGTCACGATCACCCGCGATTTGCTTGGTCCAGTAAAAACCGAACATGTGAAGAGGAAGCTCCGGATCCAAAGGCTCAAGCTTTGGGCATGCAGCCGCGCCTCTGCATATCTGGCTACTGTCGTAGGGCTGCATCCATCACCATGCGAACCAAGAGAGCAGGGCAGGAACCCGAAGGGGCCATGGTCTGCCACTGTAACATATGTTTAGTCTGAGAGTTCACAGCGCATCCGTAACGTTCAGGCTGCTGCCTCCTCAACGCCACCGTTTGACCCTGCGACTAGGAAACTCGCAAAAAAAGAGCTGGATTGTGGAATGGGTTTCTGCTCAGCGGGTCGGTGGAAGCCAGGACCCATTGAGTATGACTTTGGTTTCTTGGGGTTGCTTGGGTTTCAAGGATCCGGGGCATCAGTCAGAAGCTGTGAGGCCCATTTAACAGCTGATCAAAAGTCAGCCTTTTAAGCAATCCTCCAAAACAACCCTTAAAAGCCTTGAAGCATCCACAAATGGACCCAACCCTAACAATCCTTAAACGTGTGGCAAAAAGGCCACCCCTCCAACAGGAACAAGGGACCTATTGCCCCCTTCTCCCCCCGGCCCCACCGTCCCCGCTTTGTGCCTCTCTCGACCTGCGACGCAGCGAGGCGAGCGCCTCGGCGCAGCTGGGCCTGGCGCCGCTGCTGCCGGTGCCCGTGCTGCGCTGCCGCGGCCAGCTGCACACCGCGCTGGTCACGGCGCCCTCCAGCGCCTCCCTGGCGCCGCGGCGAGCGAACGGGCGAGCGCCCGACGGGCGAGTGGAGGGGGCGGGCGATGGACGAGATCTGAGGGTGAATGGTTCCCGATCCTGCCTATCCTTGAAGGACACTCCCCTTCGCGGAACCTTGAGATTCCTTTGGAGGTTTAGGGCCCCTTGGATCCCTGCCTTCCCAATTGAAGGAAAGCCGGACCCAGCAGCAAGCCCGGAGGTGTTTGCTAGCAGGTTCACATAACTTCCAGAAAGGCCCCCTGCTTTGACAACCCGCCATGTTTGAGTGCATCGTGTTGGGGTCCTTCAGAAGATACACACCAGGTGAGCCATAATCAAAACCCGGGTAAAGTGAAGGTTAGTAAGGGAAAGTCCCAGCCAGAAATAGTTGCGGCCGCCTTGGTAGTTCTTTACATGGGTTCGCGTACACTATTTTAATATCAGGTTTTGATCGTGACTCAGGTGGAGTGCGTTTCAAGCCTTTTGCACAGTGTGGTTCAGCCTGATTTCTTTTGGTTCTTGTCAAGGGGCATTTTTTCCATTTGCGTTCTATATAAGCAGCAATGAATATTATTGCCATGCAAGGGGGTCGACAGAGGGGCAAAGCAGAACATCGAGTGAACTGTGTAGCGTGTTCAGGGTGCTGGGCTGTTTGCATGATCGTTTTCGGATTGTTTATCGACCCAAGTACGGCAGGATGTTGTGTATGGTGTTTGTTGCACGTATGCCCGTTTGTTGTGGATATGTTTGTTTTGCTTGGGCAGTGGGCTATTTGCTTGCTTGAGAGACTGCTTGTGCGCTTCACTAATTATTGCTTCTTTACCAAGTGCTCCTAGGTTGCTGTTGTGCTTGCTCGCATCGGCTTTTGTTGGATTTGTTTGCCATGTTCGGTATGTTGACTGGCGTGAGATGGCCCGCGTTGGACAATGCGTCCTTTTGGGATGTATCAAAGATGAAGCAGCTGAGGTGGCAGGGCAAAGCTATGGCTTCCAGATCCAGGTGTTGAATGCTCGGACTTACCAGCAGCAGCAGCATGATGCCGTCAGGCGCGCAGTGTGCTTCACATTTGCTGCGTGGTTGCTGCTTGATTTGCTTGAAGGATTGCTCTGGCACTTGATTGCTACTTGTGGTTTGCTGCTTTGTTTGCTTTGCCACTTGACTGTGGCTTCTAAAAACCGGGACTGTGGCTAGCTTGTGTGAACGATTCTAGGCAAATGGCAGCAGTTGCCCGCTAAGTTGTTTGCCACTGAGTCATCCTCATGTTGCATAGATGAGCCTTCCAGGAGAAGGCCTAAATCCGAAGCCATTGGATTCAAGTTGCCCCGAGGCCGTGAGTCCCTGTCTTTTGGGATGCCAGTAGGAGCATAGCACGAGCCCAAGCACGAAACAGCTCTACCTGCCAAATATTTGTTGCACGTGGGTTTTGATTTGGCCCTCTGTTTCCCTGGGACAGACTGAACAGTTGCTGGGGTTGATTACCCATTCTGTTCAACCAGTCGGTTCTTTTCAAGAACCGGCAATTTTCCCAGGATTCGGATCCCTGGAAAGAAGGTGGAAGCTACGGTGGATGTCCCTAATATTGCAAGTAGACCAACCATGCTCAACCACAAAATCAGTATACATGCAGTAGTGTACGCTAGAGGGTTTCCTTTAAGCCTTCAGGGTGCCGTAGCCCCAGTTGCAGCCCTTCCAGCAGGCTCACCACCCTCAGCGCCACTGGCGACGCCCTGGACGGCAGCCTGGAGACGTTGCGCTACGTGGCCAGCGACCCCGAGGGCCCCGGTGCGTCCTTCGGGGTGTACCAACTGGCCATGGAGCCAGGCGCGAATAAGAAGAGAAGCAGCATGCAGTTATGCGGTTGTGTTATGCATGTTTCCTTGTGGTTGCCAACTAGAGCCCCGCTGCGAAGGGAAGCCAGCATGAACCCATGCAACCGAGTGACTTAAACCTTGAAAGCATAAGATCACAAGGGGGGAGACCCGCTTCAAGTCCATTTAAGAGCAACCAGTTCGAGGCAAAGAGACCACGATAGCCGCGAGCTCGCGTGAGGATCCTTTGTGCTGAGCTTCGACAACATGCTGCCCTACTCCCAGACTGCCTCGCCCACCCGCGTGGTGGTTTTTCCGCTCAAGGCGGGCACGTGGAGGGTGCTTTTGGGGGCAGGGGGTTTGATGGCAAGATCGGAGTCAGGTGTTGGGACCCTGGATCAGGACAAGAGTGATAGCATGTTTTTCAGAAGCGACAGCGTTTTGCCTGCATAACTTTCTCTTTTTCAGTGGCTATGGTTTCCTTTCAATTCAGTTCTCTTGGGTTTCTTGGATGTAACGCTTGGTCTCCCTCGGTCGGAGACCTCAGGCAGGCGGCTTTAGCTCCTCCCCCCCCTCTACCCCGTCCTTTGGTTTACGGGCCCAATAGGTCAACAGGCAACTGAGAGTCGCAAACGCTCGTTGGCCAACGATTGCAAGTTGCAACTGTTGGCTTCCCGTTTTTTACGGCCCCAGAAAGGTCTTTTGTCGGACCCCTTCAAAAAGAGGGGCAACACGCGAAAAAAAAATGATGCAAAAAGCAAAGGCAACGAACAAAGCCCCGAAAATGGATCCAAATGGGTCCCAATGGGTCCAAATGCCATGCGCTTCCAGTCAGGTGCCCTTCGACTCCATGGAGCCGCTGCTTTGGCGCCTGGTGGCGCCCCTGGGCTACGCCTGGGACTTCGCGCCCGGGGACTTCCTCTTCCGCCGCCAGGACGAGACGAGCCGCGACTCGGGGCAGCGGCGGGTGGGGAGTGGATAGAATCCAGGTTCCCTTGGTCCATGCTCCAAGAAGTCTTCGGTGGGAGCCCTTGGTTGAAAGAAGGGCATTGGAAACAGGCAGAGATTTTGCGGCTTCAAGAAAGTGGTCCAAACTCCAAGATAGGCAAAAACGGGGAGCTGCCCCCTCAAGGCGATGAAGCTTGTGGAGGGATGCAGATGGATAAAGTTCAAGAGGCGCAGGTGAACAAGGTAAAAGCCGGTTTTGCCTCAAAGGCTTCCTTGTTAGCCAACCCCTGCCGAGCCTCAAACAACGACACAAAGTGTGTGTGTGTGTGTGTGTGTGTGTGTGTGTGTGTGTGTGTGTGTTGAAGCAGGGCACTTCTCTTTGGTTTCCCTCTAAAACCGCACGAAGAAGCAGTACCCTCAAAACAACACACGCCCAAATGTCAAAATCCGCCCATCGAGAGGACATCTTGGGGGTCACCGCGGACATGCCGCTGCTGGAAGCGCCCAGCCCCACGGTGACCTCGGTGCTGCTCTTCGAAAGCGCCAACTTCCAAGGCCCCGACGGGGATGCCTCGGCTTCCGTGGCCAGCCTGCAATTTTTCAAAGCACTCGATCGGTTTGTATGGGTGCGGGGCAAAAATAGAGAGAATTGAAAATGGGTTGACCTGGAGAATGGACAGGGCAAAGCTGGGTGCGGCGCAAAAATAGGGAGACGGTTGCCCTGGTAATGGAAAGGACGAAAACCTACGGCCTGCGTGTGGTTTAGTTTTGACACATAATTACCCACATAAGTTGGACCCCCCAAAGACAAAGGCAAGCCGTTTTTTGGAGGGATCCTTGCGCCAGAGAAAGGTGCGGGGACAGGGCGTAAGCCGTTCCTAAGGGATGATAAGGGTAAACACTTGGCAAACGGTTTCCGTTGGTTTCCTTTGTTTTCCTTGGGTGACACTTTGGCGAATTGGGCCGGGCACGCACCTGGGCCTGTGTCGAAAAGCAGGTCGGAAGGAGGCTGGTTGAAGGGCTGATCCATCTTGCGATCTGATCACACACACACACACACGCCGTAAACAGAATGATTCCGGTTGGATTCTCAGGCTCGACACCTTTGACATTGGAGATCATGGGGCTCACCTCCCCATGCTCTCACATTCTTTTGCGCCAGATCTGTCAGACCCTGGCCCCTTGTCCCGGACCCCAAGCTGCATTTGTTCCAACAGCGTTAGCAACGTGAACGACTCGTGGACAATTCGCGCAAGCGCTGGCTTCAACACGTTTATGGCTCAAACCAACAAATCCTTTTTTGCGGGCTTCTTGCCAGTAGTTTGGTCGGTTTCCAATTGGCTTTCCGTTTCGTAGGTGCCTGGAACCGCCTGCAAACCTACGGCTGTGTGGCGAGGATTCGAGTGCCGGACAGCACGCCCCGACGCTCCAGCTTCTTGTCAAAACTCGTGGGGGGGGGGGGGTCCTGTGGGTGTGTCTCTTTTCGAGGGTACCCTTTTTGGGGTCCACCAAAAAACAGACACCCCCCTGTCAGGAAGCCCTCAGTTGCTGGTCTGGATTGTTGGGGACTGTGGAACCCCTTCTAGTAGAGGGTTTGTGGGTACCCCCCCCCGAACACCTTCGAACCACTCCAAACCACCAATTAGGGGTTGGGTGAACTCTTTTTGGGTTAGTTTAGCGACAGAAAAGAACACCCCCGTACCGAGTGCTGTATCGGCTTTTGGGTCAAAATCCGCTTGGGATAGATCAAGCCGATTTTACAACTGGATAAACGAGGTATGCCCTCCGCTGCGAATCCGAAATGGATTTGGTGCCACGCTTCTCCGAGGCAATCGGTTCCTGGTGGAGTTTGGCTTCGATGCACAGCCAGCCGGGCGGCTGGCAGCAGCCTCCGCTGAAGCGCCCCAGGCGATCTCGAGCAGATGTTTGTCAGTGGAGCCCGTTTTTGCTTGGTGAGCTCTCCACCAAAATCTGGTCAAACCCCGAAAAGGGGTTCCCTGATCTTGCCCGCGTCACTTGGCAACTGCATCTTTTTGGATCCTTGGGAAGCCCCAGGGTTTGAGCCTGTTGTGAGGTGAACACCCAGTCTTGAGTACTGCGTCAACTTCGGCGGTGCACCTCTTCAAAAGGGGCTCGTTCCAACATACAAAGTCCACTTGGACGTGAGGATCCCCTAATGTGAAGGGCTGCCTCGGAGCTTCTTGCACATGCCAGGTCCGGGCCATTGTCAACTTTATGGTGGACTACTTCCTGACCAGCTTGGCGGGAAAAGAGCCCCCTGGCCATTAGGTCGATGTTGAATATCACCTACCCCAGTCGAGTGAGTCCACCCTTGTTTGGCCTGGAGAGATGTTGGGAACTCTTGCCCGATCGCGCCGCTTTGAAGCGGAAGCAGATGTGTTTAAAGTAGAAAGGTGGGGAACCCAAGCTCGTCAGCCAAAATTTGGAAGGACTGCCATAACATGGTTAAACATGCTGATAGAACATAGTCAAAACTGAGCCTGGAAAGTGTGGCCATCAAGAAATTTAGTTTTCTATTGGAAATCACTTACCTTCCAACAGTTTACTTTCAAATCCATGCCTTCTTCCTCGATCACCAGTTCGCAAAGGATATTATGAACGCACACAGCTGACAGCTGATGATGGGTTGGGATGATAGGATGATATGGCCAAATTCCGTGCTATACCTGAATATGAACCATGATGCAAAAGTCGATGAGATAAACCAATGCATTCTGTTTCCGATTGATCAATTGCAAGTCGACTCGCATCCCGTTCCTTCATTTTGGTTGATCCCTCACGCCACGGGGCTGTGTCTATACGTCCGAACCCATGCATTTTGGAAACCCGCGTGCAGTTTCCCACACATAGGCCACCATAAAGATCGACGAGACAAGAGTTCAACTGCGGCAGTTGGGTGAAATATATGGTGCCGTATAGTAGGTCCCTTGGTTACATGCCAGGAAATGGATCCACTGGGTAGGCTAAGGGCATGACTAAACCGGGAGTTGCGCCATTGACTTTCACCCTGCAGATTGGCGTGGAAGCCGAGTTGAACGAGGCACTGGGCTCGAGCAACATACCCAGAAGCCGTCACTTGTAGAGGAATCTCTTTTGGAGTCCATGTTGATCCAGTCTTGAGCTACCCATCCGATAGGGTCCCCAACACTTCCCTTTTTGGTGGTTGAACACATCCCAGTTTTGGCCCATTTAAGGTGAGCTTCCCTTGGTGCAGCCCCGGAACCTCTGGAACCCGCCTGGAACCCTCCGGAGCCCTCCCTGAAAGCTGCCACAAACCACCCCTGCTCGCCTATCCGGGCCGATCGGCCCCGCTTGGCTCTCAATTTGAAGTCCTGAGGAATGTGCTGCAGATCCAGTTCCAGTCGGTGACTGCCTTGACGCTGGGCGGCTTCCTACTCATCGAGGCCCCCGCCGGCTTCTCGGTGGAGGCGAGGCATCGCCGCGCTTTCTGGATGCGCGCTGCGCGAAAAGGACAGGGGTCCAACCTGTGGTTTTACACGTCACTTCCCGTGAGTTCCTGGCCTGTAGGCACTTTTCGGGTCATCATTTGAGTGAATTAAGGTTCGCTATGTCTTGGCCACACGACTCAGGAAGTGAGTTACCTCTTGGGCCAACGAAAACAGTACCTTTCAGGTGCAAACCAGACAGATTTCCTCATTTGCCAAAGGGAAGCCAAGGAGGGGATGGATCAGTGTGCCATTTTTCTAGACCTGGCAAGCAAACACATGCCATGGGGCCATTGTCGTAAGACACCCTCAAATTGCGCTCTAAACGGTGGTGTAAAGGGAAACCCCCATGAGCCAACAATGATTTTGCCAGCCCATCGGAATGTGCACTTTAAGGGACGGTGACCCAGATGTTTTGGCATTGGCCAAAAGGAAGCCCGGAGGGGATGGTGAGTTGTACCATAGCCAGGGCAGTCGGAGCGGTGGCAGATTGGCAGGTTTGGGTGAGACTTTGGGTGAGCGACAGATGGAGCAAAAAGTGGGGCTGGGGCCAAGAGCCCCGTCAAATCATTTGGGCGACCTCACCAGCCCCAGACATGAAAATCGGCCCCGTTGGCCCTGGAAGGGATCTGGCCTTGGTCTGGCCCGGTTTCATGCGCCTCGTTTCGCGTGCTCGGGGCGCCAAGCGTTTGGTCACCGGTCGTGCCGAAGGCTTGGCCTTGCCACCGGTGTGAAACATGTCTTTTTTGTGCACTGCAACAGCTAAAAAAGCCACATTTTTTTTTGAAAAAAAAAAACATAAAATAAAAATAAAAAAAATGTTGCGAACACATAGTCCCTGCAAGCTAACAAGGGTTGCCCAAAAAGGGTCCGGGACCCAAGAGGAGATTCCTCTACAAGTTTCTTTGGGTTCCTTCCAGTCTGCAGGAGACTCCTGCCTCCAAATCCCGGTAGTTGCTCCAGTCCGAGTCGCCAGGCCAGCTGCGCGGTGCAGGAGAGCCCGGCGCTGGACCAGTCCTTCCAGGACTCGCGAGTGCGCCACCTGACCAAAGAAGGAGCAAAACCAAAAGCGGACCGAAGAAGGCCCCCAAAATATAAGTCCTTCGATTTGGGCTGTGCAACTTCTTTAAGTGTCAGGTCGGTCCCCTGCACCCAAGACATGTTTTTCCACTGGGTCTAACATTCAGACAATCCATATGCAGCAACACTTGAGCCTGCTCAAAACCCTTGCCCCAACCAGACATGGACGCAAAAAGCTCTTTGGTTTTGTACATGGACTAGGGTAGACCTTTTGGTTTTGATTGTGATGCATGTGGTTTCGGTAGGCAGCGCAAGACCACGGGTGGACCCTCCGCAAATGGGGTGGTTTCCCGGGGGGAGCGGGCAATAGAGACCATCAAACTGGTGGCTTCCTTCAAGGGAATCAAGTTGGTTCCCGCAACCCTTCTCGATACATGACTAGGTCAAGAGCCACCTGTTTTTTGAGAGTCGTTGTAGAACTTGAGGTTGGAAAGCGAACCCTGGTTCGTCGTGCGCAAACCCAAATAACCAGATCAGAATGTTAGAACAACCGGATCAGAATGTTTCCATGAGTCGGTGCGATGTTTCGGGGGCATTCGTTTCTTGCTTCGACTAACCCGGGCTTCGACCCGACCTGGCCTCCGACTTTGCTTAAAATAAACCTGAAATGAATGAGAAACGTCTACTTCCATATGGGCGAAATCACTTGTTACCTTCATGGGACGTGTTCCCCCCAAACAGTGTGTCTACACTGGGTGGCTCTTACGGCAAGATCAAGGCATGGTTAGATTCAGGGTGCTCGTCTTGACGGCGTTTTTTCATGTTACCCGGCTCTCGCAACAGCTGCTTGCGAAATCGCGCAGACAAAAACGTTTCACGTGGATGTGTTTTGAATTGCGCTCTCGCTGTGGTGCCGCGAGAATTCCGCAAATTGTGGTTTAGTGCACCCTTTGCGGCTCTCGCTGTGATGCAAATTTCGAACATCGAAAGTCCCCCGTCTGCACACCCAGACTTGCTGCAAAGGGTAATGTCAAGAGATAGAAGTATTGCTTTCAGACACGCTTTCATACCCAAAACTTCCCCCATTTCCCTTTTTGGAGAAATCAAATGGACACCACAAGCAAATTGCAACTCTAAGGGTAAATCCAGTGCGCCCTTTCATACCCCCCCCCCCCGCTCCCAAGTCGTTGATAGCGCTCTCTGTTGCTCACCAGGACCTGGTCACTGCTGGCGCCGTGCTGCGCTGCAGCTCGGAGGTGCCCTTTGCCACCCAGCGGCCCCAGGCCGGCGGAGTTCACGGGGGCGTTGGGCCGATGGAGGAAGAGTGTCTAGGTCCCCCAGCCAGTTGCCCTTTCACCAACTTTTTTGGGGGAGGGTTCCGCTACTAAAATAGACTACAGAAAAAGGGTACCCTTATTCTAACCTCTCTACTGGAGGACCTAGGTGTCAGCAATTCCTGCCATTTGCTGAAGATGTTTTGAGTTGCCCGATTGGGTGTGAAGGGAACCTATCACTGGGAATATTGTTATTTGTGCGTTGGATTCGGGTATTTCTCCAAATCATCTCCAGAAATGGTTTGTTTGTTCGAGGTTTCACTTTAAGACCTATCCAAGAGAGGGATCCCTGCTTCGAGGAAAAGAAAACATTGGGGGCAAAGGCGCCCATGATGAAGGTCTGTTGCTGTTAACCGGAGTCATGATCTTGTTTGAATTTGGGGTTTGTCAAAGTCAGAATTTGACCCTTGGGGGGTGACTGTGATGATGGCAAGTTAATGGGACCACTTTACCATTCTTTACACAGCCTCCTTTTGGTTCCCTTCAAAGGGAACCAGACGCTTGTTTTTGAAATCACAAACTGCCCAACCCTGCTAGGCATCAGGGCTTCGTAGAAGCCACATTTTGCGTGGTTGGCTATTGTGATGAATCATGCCCTTCGGGAAGCAACTTTGGGAGGGTCAATAGAGAGCTACAAACAAATCCTGCAGAAATGCTCCTCTTCGTTCGTCAACCGTCAAGCATATTCTTTTCGGAATGGCCACTGGCTTCGTATTGGTTTACTACTGCTTCGTACTCGCCGTTTGGAGTAGGTTCGATCTTAATATTCGTTCAGGACCTTCTCACCCAAGTTTTCTTGGCTTCATTCCGAATCCTTGTCCTTTTCCTTGGCCAAGGAATACGTTTGCGAAGGTAACTTTTCTGCAATTTCAAAGCCTCTCCGTTCTCCCATCAATGTTCATGGAACAGGCATCAGCCCCTAGAACTTCTGGTGGGCATTTTGCGCGTTTATACATTTTTGCGGTTGTTTATGGCAACTCCAAGGTGGAAATCAAGTCCGAATGGGTCTCTCCCTAAGCAAGATGTTTAGACTTTGAGAGGTAGGCACTTAAAGAGCCTCACGTGAGTTCCCTTCACTTGCACTCCCAACAGCCCAGATCTCTAGTAGCCAGTTGTTTCCTTGTTTTGGAGGGGGGGGAGGGCCTTGGGCCTTGAAAACTGGTTTTGCAATGGAAATCCACAGGGGTCTGTGGGGATAGGTCGACTTTCGAATGCCAAAATCGAAGGTGACCTTGGTGGTGGTCAGCGGGGAGGTGCCGGCGGGGGCGTACAGCTTCCGCCTGGACGCACGGAACCCGCTGGTGCCGGAGCAGGGAGGCGGCGAAAATTCGGGGGGGTGGGGGGGGGGGGGGGGGGGGGGTTCATCAAAGTCAAAGTAAATACAGATAAGGGTTGTCAAATAGGGGAATTTGACAATGGGCTTCTCATTAAGTTCCATCAAAGTGGTTGCATGTTGAGGGGTTCCGAGAATTACTATAACAGGCTCTAAAATGATTTTTCGCGGGGGGGGGGGGGGGTAAGATGGTTTTCCCTGGGTGTCGTTGCTTGAGGGTATCTCAGAGGTCCTTGACAACTTGGAAATCTCAATGTTAACTTGGGATTCATCAATAGTGGGACCGTAGTACTCATCAGGGGTTGGTTCACTAAAAGGCGGGATTCCTTTGATTAAGATGGCCCTCCAGATTAATCCAAAGTTGACGAAGTTGATTTGGGTCGACCGAACGAGCACCGGTTTGATTCATGCGAGCCTTTCTTTGGATTTGGCCTGGGATGGTGTAAAGCTATCGGGCTCTGCAATTATCCTACATGGAACATGGCTGGCCGTCCTTTGAACTAGTTTCCCCTAAAAGGGTGTGCCCTTAATTTGAGGGTACCCCTTTTGGTCTTCTTTTGTGGTATTGAAAGGGAAATCAGAGGGGCACCGAAATCCCCCCATTTTGGGGGGTCCCCGAAAAAGAGACGCCCATGTTCATTTCTGGTGGGTTCTGCTGCAGCTTCTGTCCAGCTCGAGGGGTTGATTCCTTAGAAGTCAACGCCAGACTTTCCAAAAAGTGGGAGCTCTCTGGGTACCTTTGCGTGAACGATAAAAAAGCCGCCCCAAAAGAATTGGGGCACTGCATGCAGAATGGTTTGGGTGTCTCAAAGTTGAGAAACTGCGCAAATTGGAGTGTCCCCCCCCAAAAAAAAAGAAAAAGCAGAAGGAACGATGGTCTGGGTTCAGAGAGGGATCTCTTGACCTCCGGTGGTGCCGATTCCATTTTTTCTAAACGGGGGTTCCCGTTTAAAGCCCACCAAACAATGGGCGCCAACCCTTTTTTTGCATGAAGATCCACTGAGACCCACGGGGACCCGGTGGGAGTGGAAGTTGCCAGGCCTCGTGTGGAGCATCTCCAGCGACGCCGGCGGCACGCCAGCAGACATGGGCGCCACCGTGGAAGGCCCTTAGCAGGGTGTGTAAGCATGATCTAGTGCTGTATAAGAAATTGGTTGGTCGAGGCCCAGAGGGGCTGAATTTCTTAGCGTCCATTTCGTCTTTGAAAGGGCTGGCTTTTTACCCCTCTGGAGCGAGGGGGGCTGGATACTCTGTCACTTTCTTAACCTTGTCTGCTGAGAGATTCAGGGGCTCAATTTCTTGTCGGCCTTTTCGGGTGATGAAGGATTCCTTGGCTAAGAAATTCAGGGGCTGATTTTCTTAGCGGCCAAACCCGCAGGTTTCCCGGTGGAGTCGGCCATGGCTTATGGGGAGCTGCTGGGTGCGGATACTGTGAGCTTCGCGGCCACGGGCAGGGACGACCACCCGGGCCAGGCGTGTGGGTGAGCGAGAGGTCGTCATGGCTGTGGAAAATCGCCCTTTTGCTAGATGGTTTACAACTGCCCCCTTTTTGGACACTAACGTGGCGACTTTGTTTGACATGGTTGTGGACAATTGTTGGCTTAGGTTGCCAATTTGGTTGGCTTTCCACAAACATGGTTTTTGTGGTGCATTGGATATGCATGCACTTTTGCAAATATGCTTGAAGAGATGAAACTACTTATCACTGTGTCTAAACATGTAGACCTTGTCGAGCGAAGTATGTATACAGAAGTGTAGAACAACATATGAATTCACTCAACATCGGCGGGCGACAGTGTATGGCTTAAGGGTTTGTTTGCACGTGCAGGCATATTTTGGGAGAAGCACATGTTGAGCCGTATACCGGACATTGCATAACGGAGCTTGCATGTATGCCCTTATAGACGTACACGTGTAGACGTTCGGAGCACATTGTAGTCGCATAACATTTTACACGGGCTCTGTGCGACGCTCTGTCATGTCGTGAACGTGCCGCTTTTCACTGCACCCGCAAAAGAGAGAAGCTTGATCGAATTTCCAGGTGAACCTTTGTAGCCTTCCAGATCTGACAAAGTTCAATGTGAAGCGAAGGTGGTTAGCCATTTGCCGCATCGAGTGTTTCAGCATACTTCATACCACATGCTCTGACTATGGATCACGTGAACAAGATCCGCTGATTTCGGGGTATTGGGCGATTTCGACTTCACAGAGGAGTCCTTCAGAGCTCGGATCTAGACCCGCCCCCATCATGGCTGTTTGGAAAAGTGGAGCGGATTGGGGGGACGAGTCGTAAGTTCACAGGCACGATTGAAGGTGCGTTTGGCACCACATTCCTCAGCCAAGGGGCTAACAGCAGATGCGCAGTGGGTGGTTTAGGGCGCCCACAGTTTGCCTTCAGATCGCATGCCCATCACCTGCAGAACGTGTGGCGCTACTGGAAAGCACTTGACTGTGCATTGTCCTGAACGTGCCCTATCACCAGAAACTCGCGAACCAGATGATGGAAAGGGGCATGGCAAAGGGCGTGACAAGGAAGCTGGCAAGGCCGCTTCCAAGAGTGAGAGGCTTGAAGCCATTGCAGAGGCAAGAGAAAACTTGCCATCGATATCACATGACATCTCTCAGGGGCAAGCTGCGACAAGAGGGTTCTTGCACATCAGACCCTCAGTGGCGAATTGGAAGGAGTTTGGCTGGCTTGAGGCGAGAAGAGAGCCCTTGACCGCAAAGATGATATTCCGGCAAATGACGAGGTGGAGGCAGCTGTCGTGCGGGTGGGAGAAGCTCACGCAGAACTGGAGGATGCCAAAAGAAGAACTTCAAAATGGTTTGAAAGAGCTTGCTTTCAAGCATGATGTTCTAGAAGGAAAATGGTCGTTCTCCCTTTCGGCCTGCGACATGGATCGTGTATGGCCAGAGATTGTGTGGGCATTCAGCGGCGGAGAATATGGAGGCTGTGTGCAAGTTGGACGGGAAGATGAGGAGGGTGAGTGCAGGTGCTCTGTTTTCATGGAAAACTGTTTCGATCCAAAACAGGTCGAGAGTGTCAAGTGCAGTCTGAAGGCTTTGCTGAGAAGACTTGTTGCACGTGTGGACATACTGCTCGAAGCGGAGTCCTATTCTATTTGCGAAATCTCTGAAAAGAACCGCTGGGACATCCCAGTGCCTCTGGCGAAGTGTATGGTGCAAGGGTCTCCACAAATTCAGGATGTTCTGCAGCAGGACCAAGAGCGAGTGTCAGTTCTCGCAGATGCTGTCGAGTCAAAATCTATGGACGCTGTCATGCCAGGAATGGAAGATGCTGATGCCTGGAATGCTTTGTTGGACTCGCTCCATTCGGTGGCCCTGCAGCCTGACGCTGCTGCATTCCACATACCCAACATCTGCCGAGCGCTGCCTTCTAAATATCTCAAAGACTTCAAAAATCAAGTTCTTTCCATGAGTCATGGCCTCGTGCAGGCAACAGATGCCTACGTTTTTGGTTTTAGCAGCCACTGTTATTCGTACTCAGAGTTTGTCCGTATGCATTCGGCAAATGTTGCCTTTCTGGGAGAGCTTTGCCAGCACGGCGTTGTTGGTTGCGCAAAACTCAAGCCTCTTCTGCTTCGCTTACTGCGAGAAGACGAAGATCGAGTCATCCTGCCAGCCCATTCAACATGGGCATTTGTGCAGCAGAACCTGCAGCGATTGGCGCAGACGCTGGCCGAGAAGTGTCCGGAGCTCGGCGGATTGGTGCGGACTCGCAGGATCTCAGCGCTGAGCATCCTTACGCTCAACGTTTGGTTCGAGGAGCATCAGCGAGATCTTCGTACGGCAATACTGCTTTCAGCTCTGCGCACGCTTGGGCCAGCAGTTCTTTGCTTTCAGGAAGTTACCCGCAAAGTGGCTGTGGACATTCAACAAGCGCTGCCGTCGTGGTCCTCATCAGATGCAGGGGATGGCCACTCAGTGGGGCGCTATGGTCTGATGATTTTGGTTCCCCCTCACTTAAAGGTGCGTTTTTCCCGGCACTACTTGCCAACACAAATGGGCCGCGATCTGCTGGTGGCAGAGCTTGAAGGCCTGACGGTGGGCACTGTGCACCTGGAGTCCTTGGATAACCAGGCCATGCGAGAGGTTCAGCTGGCAGCTTGCGAAGAGCTGTCGCGGCAGTGGCCCAACATGGTGTTGCTGGGCGACTTCAACTTGTTTTCGAAAGAAAGCGCGCGGTGCTTGAAGCGCCAGTTGCCGCAGTTCGTGGATGTCTGGCCCATATTGCAACAGGAGAGCGGCAACACCTGGCGCTCGCACGGCCGAAGCAGGCGGAAGAGCCGCCTGGATCGGGTCTTGGCAAAGTTCTGCAGTTGGCGGCCAACAGGTCTACAGCTGATGTTCGACGAAGCTCAGGACCAGGGTTCACCAATTCAACCACCAGTTCAGACATGTTTAAGCTGCTTCTAAGCCTCCCTTAAAACAGGAGCAATATCAGGTTGGCTAAACAACATTTGCCCTCAGGACCCCGGGCCCTACCTCTTCCACCTGCTTCCGTCTATGGTCAGCAATTGCGTTTATTGCAACCCAGACGTGAGCACCTGCCCTGCCTTTGTGAGTGACCACTTTGGTTTACTTGCCACTTTTGAGCAGGTCGCTGAGGCGGACGGCGCGTAGCATCTGTCAATCAGTTGCTAAATGTACAGCAAGGAGCGCGCAGCTCCTTAGGCTGCCTGGTCAGTTCAGCCCAAGGCTTCTTCAAGACCAGGCGTGCCGCTTGGGGTTTCGATCCCAGGATAGCTTCCAAAAACCTGACAGAAATGACAGGCTTGAGAGGCGCAGGCTCTGGCGCAAGCGTCCTTTCGGGCAATCAATCCCCCGCGCTGTGCCTATAGATTGGACTTTTCCCTGTGTGATTGGTGCAATATCCTCTTGACATGTATTGGGGACTGTGATGGATTTTGGCCCGGTATCCAGGTGAAGCGGCATCAAACTCCGAACGTTTGATGAACAGGTAGCAGTTGACTCGTAAGCCGTGTGATTATCAGGTGCTGTTGTTCGTGTTGTGTTGTTTGTTTGTTTTGATCCTTTGTTTCTTCGTTTCAGTGTTTCTCTGTTCACGTGTTTGTCTTATCTCTCTGCTTGCTTCTTTGCGTGATGCCACTTTGCTTCCATGCCTGCCCGCCCGCCTGCATGTGCGCTTACTTGCTGCGCTTGGCTTTACTTTATTCTTTTGCTGATAGCCGATCTAAGCTGTCTATAGAAAGACCCTTCTTGCTCGGCAAGAGTTCACGGGTGTCATCTTAGTATCCACCTGGATTTTTGAGAGGTCTAGTTCGCAGGTGACCAACGTGATCCTGGCCTTTGCACCTGGGCGCAAGGCGAATGTTGTTTTCTTGAGGGTACCCTTTTGGGGATTGGTTTGGGGGAAAGCCAATGAACACCACCCAATACGAGCAGCGGACAGTGCTGACACTGGTGGTCTGTTTCGGGGCGATGCGGGTGGGCGGGGGGGGGTGGATCCCTTAGCCTCACGTGGATGGATTTCGTCAACATATGTCAAGATGAGCCAAGGAGCTGAGCAGCACGCCGTCCTTCGCGGGCACGGCTCCTTTGACGGTGAAAGCGCCGCCGGGGTTCGTTTTCCCCACGCTCTGCACTTTCATGGTCACTGGGGAGCGATGCCGGGGGAGGGGAAGGCGGCGAGAGAATGACTTGGTGACTTGGTAAGACCTGATAGTGGTGAGATACTTGGCCAATGTTTGGGATGGGTTGAACGTTGACCATGGGTGTAGTTGCGGCCCATGGCTGAAAAAGACCGCCCAGTTTGTTTTTTTTCTCGCCGCAGCATGCTTGATGATTGGCCGGAAGACACAAGCGGTTCGCGTGATCCCAACTGCAAGGTGGTTCAGTCATGCGGGAAAGGGCCCTTCAGAGAGTGCCCCCAAGGGCCAAGGGGCGTTTGCTGTTTCCCCGAAAAGCCAAGGACGCCCTCCGAGAAAAAATCGCGGCTCGTTGGTCCGTCGAAATCGAATTCGAGCCATCGGCAGGACGTCTTCGGGGACGCGCTCCCCTTCCCCGCAACTTTCTCCGCCTTTGACGCCTTAGCGGTGGTGTCCAGCTGCGAAGGTGGGGAGAGCTGGGAAGGATCCGCGGCTCCGGCAAGGGTGGCAAGGGCAAACTGACCAAGATACAAAGGTACCTTGTCTTAAACTAAAGGAACCCAAAAATGGCTTCGGTTTTCCTTTCGGTGTGGCCTTACCAATCAAAAGAGATTTCCAACAAACAACATGCCCGAATCAATGAGGGATTGCTTCTGGGAGTGAACCTGAGGATCCCCCAGGAAACGAGGAACGGCAGCGGCCCCCTGAAAAGGACACCACGCACAAGGAACCCTTTCCATTTTTGGAGGACCGATTCCAATTTTGGGAAACCTCCAAGCATAAGAAAGGAATACTCATGCAATTTGTGCTTCTGACACACTAGCCCAGAGAAGGCATGCGGGGGTGTCAAACTGTCAAACCAAGAGGACCGCCCCCCAACAAAGATGATGGGTTTCCTTTTTTTCCCTCTAAATCGAGATAAAGCGCGTACCCTCACAAAAAGGTATCCACCCGTCTTGGTGGTGTTGAAGGTAGACCAAAAGGATAATGTTGACGCATACCCATGTGAATGTGTCGTTTTTTGGGTTGGACCCTCAAAATACTGGTTTCCTGTTCGGTTTACCACCTCCAAGCCATGTAAACAAGGGTACCAACTAAAACGAGCTACGTAGACGGCGCCGAAGGCTCGAGCAGCCGCGCGGTTCTCGTGGTGGCCCCTGGCCTGCGCAGCGGGCGGCGCTATGTGCTGCGCTTGGGGGGCGTCAACCCGGAGACGACGCCGGCGGGGCCCGGGAGGTTCTTTTTTGGCGGGGGGCAGTTGCGGTGGCCTGTGGGCCAAAAGGAGCTCAAAGGAGGGTAGGGGAAGTTGTTTTTGTTGTGTTCAAGGGTTGGGGGGGAGAGCGAGAGCGAGAGAGGAGGCGGAGAAGTGCTCAGGAGGCCTGGCATGAAATGTGGGAGCCCACAAAACGGCGGGTTGCCAATTGAATTCCCGTTTCACCACAAGGTGGCCTCAAAAAGGACAGACCCAGTGGTTTAAACATCACCTTTGCGCCCTTCCAGCGTCATGTAGGGGGAACTATGCAGTGACTGAAACTAGGAGTACCCAAAGACTGGTCAGTATCCCTTTGGTTTCCCTTGAAAAGCAACCCAAAAAGAAATGGCCACCCCCTCTAGAGAGCCCTGAGTCAGCGTGCCCAAAAGTCCAACTTCCCACCGTCAGGAACAATGGCAGAACTTCTGGAGCATCAGCTTCGGGAACCAAGCAACGGCTGCTTGGCAGAGTCACCCTCGATTCATGGGCCGCCTGAAATGCGGCTTGCCCTCTTTTTGAGGTGACCCTTTGTGGGGAAAGGGACACGGCCATTCCATTGTTTTGACACATACCGAAACTTCCAGTTGCTTACACATATGTTTGTTGTGTTCCCCCCTTGGGTTTAAAGGGGAATCTATCACTGGAAATACATTTTCTGTTGTTCCAGGGGACCACAACCACGCAAATCGGTGTCTGCTTTCCACTTCCTTTTAGTTTCCCTTCACCAAAGAAAGAACTCAAGAGCAAGGTGAGCCACCCAAATGGAGGCAGCCCGGCTCGGTTCGGTTCGGTTCGGGTGAGGAGCCCTTCGAGGGCTACCGCCTTTGGCGCTTCACGGAGATGGCGGTGGCACCCAGTGCCACAGCGCGGTCCACGCGGGCGGAGGAGCGCAAGCGGACGTGACGGAAGTTCGGTCGGAAGCGGTGCATGGGATGGATTAGCTTGTCTCTCAAAGTAAGCCCGCTCAAAAATCGGCGGTTTTTGCTTTTGGTTTCCCTCAAAACCAACCCAGAAAGGGCCTCGGAAAAAGACAAAGTCGTTGGTTTGTGTCCTTTCTTCTTTGGGGTGAAATAGAAAAGTGCCATTGGCATCGTCTAGAAAAAGGACGGCATATTATTGGGATCCAAATCATATCCAGGAGACCTCCAACAATGTGACCATCGTCTTCCGCACCACCAACGCGGTCACTTTGGATGGCTTCCTCGCACTGCAGGATGGGCTGGTGCCGGTTCGGCGGTTGAGTCCGATCAGCCGCGCCAACCGGTTTGCGTTTGTTCGCTTCTTTTCCATGACCATGCCAAAGGACATTTAGTCCCATTTGGCCAAGTTTGGCCTATTTGCGAAGTAGCAGAGAGCCACCATGCCTACTCACGCACGAAACATCCGCTTTGCTTCCGGGAAAAAGCTGGGGTGCCAACCACCACCTTCGCTGCGAACAGAGTTAAGCAAACCCTAGAGCCCCGGGTCCCATGACCATGCTTGCTATTTGGATCTTTAGCCCTCTCCGTTTTGAAAGGAAATCCTGTGTTTTTTCGCGAATCAAGTTGAGCTGGCAGAGAGGGCCTTTTGCTCGGCGATACGCCAAGCCCAAAGCGCTCGCCGGACGGCAGGCGCCCTTCGGCTTCCGCTTCCCCACGACCTGCGCCGCCGCGGGGTCCGCGGAGTCCGCGGCGGTGGCGGTGGCCTGCGCGGGGACGGCGGCGCCGGGGAACACGGCGCGGCTCACGCTGGAGCTGGCGGCGCTGACCAAGTACACGCGGCCCGAAGGGAAGCCGCCCCGGTTTAGTCTTCAGGCCCCCAGAGAATTGACTTTTTGCTTCTTGGGTCCGGATCACTTGTTTCGGGAAGCGAGGTTTCGGGCGGGTTTGGGGAGGGGTGTTGAGGTTTTGCGTTTGTGCTTGGGCCATGGAGAGAGCAGAGGCTTGGGGTGACCATGGTGAAGGAAAAAACAGTGCTGCATGGCATGCAGATGACTTTAGGGCCCAGTGTGTCTTCACCTTGAACTTCCACTTTCACAGCTAGCTGAAGAGACCGATGGGAAGCTGGCAAGTTGAAATGTTGATTGAGATAGAATCTGCCCATGGACCTGCTGTCGGTTTCCAGCCCTCGATCTGAGGCTGGCAATACAGTGTGCGAACCCCATCAGCATTGCGGCAGAGGCAAGGCTGCAAAGCAGAGAAAAGGACCGGTTCAAAATCCTAAATAGTTGTTGCTTCATTTTGCAGCCTAGACATGTGATTAATGCTGTGGTCTCCGTTTCAGGGATGGCGCCAGAAGGAGTCCGAAGGGTGTCAAAACGGTTCCCGCTTGCCCAGCGCTCGACCATAGCCTCTCAGCGTATGTTGGGTTGAAGTTTCAGGCGTGGCCTAGGACTCACCCTGCCACACTGGTGTGGCAGGCTGCATCAAAATCTACTCATAGGCCACTGTGCAATCTCAAGCATTCTGAAGGAACCTCAAGTCACACACACACACAGACACATATTTTTACTTTTGTCGGCTTTGTTAGGCAGGCAAGCCTCGTCCTTTCCCAAACGAAGATTAGCAAACCCAACAAAGTACTCCCGTACAGAGTGACATGATAGAGGTCTGGGCAGCTTTTGGACCTCGCCAGGCTGGCACCTGGCAACTGCAGAGCTTCTCAGCGAAGGAGGCCTCTCTCAATCGTGGGGATGTGTCTTGTCTCCTTTTTTTACGGGAACCCATTAAATTTAAGCTTGGCAAAAAGGGGGGAACCTAAAGGAACACCATTTTGAGGGGTTCCAATTACAACTATTACAAGACACAGCCGTGTGCTTCCGAGCAGACTCTGTTTGCGTCACTTCTTTTGGACGTCCTCGGAGATGGGTTGGGAGCAACATCTCGGCTAGGAGTCCCGGGGGGCGCTGGCGTTGGGGGCGTCGGGGCGCCATTCTCGCAGGCGGAGTACGAGAAGCTCCTGGACCTCGGCCAGGCCGAAGGCTTCCTCCTCACCGAGGTCTTCCACACCCTGAAGGCCACGAGCAGCGGGACCCGCCGAATCCGGGAAATCGGCCCGGGGTACCGCGACTGCCCCGATCAGCGGAAGGAATTCCCCAAAAAACCCAACCATTTGTAGAGGAAATGCCTTAGGGACACCCATTGGTTAGTTTGCAGTGGAGTACCTGTCAGCTTCCGTTGGCTGCATGTTCGCCTAGAAGGTAATATTCAAAACCGCCGGCCGCCTGCAGGGGGAATTGGGCGGAAACCTTCTTAAGGGGTTACACACCAAATGTCCGCAATGAATATTCAATGGGGCTTACCCCAGCCTGCTATCAACCTTCACAGCCAAACAAATCAGCCGGTGATACCCATCTGCCTTTTTTCCGGCACGAACTTGGACTGCCTTTGGTTCTTCCTTTTCTCTTAGAAGCATCTCAGCTTGGCCCATACCGTGGTTCAGTGGATTCTGCACTTTGAGTTGGACCCTAGGAAGGCCCAGGCACACTGGGCAACCGGGATATGTGTTTGGCGTTTTTGCTGGCAGGTTGGCCTTGAGTCTCGCTATCGGTCTCGTGTTTTTGGTCCAGGGCGCCAAAAGTTTTTTTGGCAGTTGGCGGGTTGGTGAGCTGTTGAACTGGGTGGATCAGCAGAGGGTCAGACCTCGACCAGTTTCGAACGTGGCAAGGTTTACATGGCGGCCACGCCACTCTTTTCATACATTTCTTGCCTTTGTGACATTGTTTGGTCTATATGTGACCTCAAGCCTCATATTTTGGCCCCAGCCATTGCTGCTGACTGGACTTTGGACAAACAGGTCATCTACCCGGTGACCACGGTGGGTGATGAGCTCGAGCTGCGCATGCAGACTCTCGCTAGGGATTTTTAGCGCGGGCTGAAAAGGAAGGCATAGCCGTGGTGAACAAGAGAGGCAGAGGTAGAAAGGTATTTGGCCACTGACGGATTTTAGGGGAATGTAACGGTGAACACGGATGCTGGGCAGTGGTGAACATCGTTTTTTGTGCTTAATTACCACCACCTCCTGTTAACAAAGATGGTGTTCCCCAGCCACAAACAAAACAAATCCTGACCAAGGCACAGATCAGCCGTACTTTTGCCCAGATCCGACATGTTTGCCATAAGGATCATTTGGACCAAGCCTCGCATGCGAAGGTTGAACTTGAACTCTTCACCCCGAGGGTCAAGGAGTGTAAAGCATGTCTTTCTGCCAGTGTGGGACCTAGAGACGTCTGCTCAGGGGAGGTTTCCTTCTCCTCCCTTTCGGGCCGGTGCACAAACAGCTCGAGCGCTTGGATCCGATGTCAGTCGGTTGGATCTCCCGAGGATTTTGCTCTACACCGCGATTGAGCGTGGTGACGTCCTGCAGATCACGGCGCCCGATGGCTATGACTTTACAGGAGCGAGGGCTCGGGACACTTGACATCGGGATTCGCCGGCCAATGCAGAGAGAGAGAGAGAGAGAGAGCTTCGTGCAGTTCCTCGCATCTCTCGCGAAGCATGTCGGGAAGGATGACACAAGCAGAAACTGAGAGTTTGTTTCATAGTTCCATGTGCGGGCAGGAAATGGCACGGCTTGCGCAACATTCAGGAAGTGCCCCGGACGTTGAGGGCTTCACAGTTGACAGCCCGCAAGTTGCCGCATACTGCCGATGGTCAAGATGGGGGGTTTAGGGGCAAAATTGCAAATGATCAGGCACACCTCGACTCACTTTACAGGAAATTAATCAGACCAGTTTGGAGGGGGCCCAAATTTTGGTACACTTGCATTGTATCAATCCAAATGTGAGCTTCCTCAAGTGTTCGGTTTCTATACGATTGGTCTGAAATTGCCAAGTTTGCACGTTGACGACTTGGCATTCCCGCTTAGCAGGTACTCAGCCATCGAGATGCCAATCCCGGAGTGTGCGACTCGAGCGGTGCGCTTTACTTTCCTGGTGCAAGGTGCCGGTTTAGGGTGGCTGGGTTGGGTAGCTTAGACAGCCAGACCCCGGTCCCCAATGGAGGGACACCGAAAGGAGATGGTTTGAACAATTTGCTGGTTGAGACGTGCGTAAACAGTGGGCAGGCCCGCCTGGCTTTCTTTGCGGCAGTCCCTGACATGTTGCAAGTAGACTACCCGAGATGGACTGACACGTGCCATGGGCGGTAGATTCCTCAACATGACGCCACGGGTTTGCCTGAAACTTAGGGACCGGAGAATGTTTGGCTTGCTGTTCCCCTATGAGTCCAACCCAAAGCGGGAGGACCCAGATTTTCAAGAGGTGCCAGGTCAACTCCTTGGCGTGCCACTGGGCGTTTGCAGGGACTTCTTTTTCAATCCAGCTACGGATCAACAACCTCGAGTTTGTGCTCACACTTCCCACGTTTGTGCGAATTACCCCTTATGAAAGCTCGCATATCCCCACAGCAGGAGCAACTTCGACTTCAACAACAACCACCACCACAGCCGGCCAGCCAGCCTGCCGGCCAACCGACCGACCGACCGACCGACCAACCAACCAACCAGCACCCCACATATTCTCAGCTCAGCCCGTCCGAAGACTGACTCGCAGGCCTGGCGCTGGTCGAGGCCCAGGGCGCGGTGCTCACGCCGCTGCTGGACTTCGCAGTGGGGTCCCGGTACCCACGGAAGACCCTCAGCGCCCAGGCGATCCCATCCAATCCGATTGGGCGACATGTGGCGGAGTATTTTGGGCGCAAGGGTTGTCCCTTTTGGTTTCCCTTTGGAAGCCGTACCAAAAAAGGGGCACCCGCAAAAAAAGCACAAACCCATGTATAATTACATGCTTTGGGCCATAGTTGTCGGGCAGAGCCGCACTCAGGAGAGGGTCTTTAGGGAAGTGCGGGAGTTTGTTGGGGTGGGATGGCGCGGCTAGAGTTTGGCTGTGAGAACTTGGTGACTTTCAAGATCAAGACACAAGCATTGCACTCCACTCTCCACGTCCATTGGGGTAAGGTCAGGGTCAACTGGAAAGAAAAGATGGCAACAAGCATCTGCCACTTGAGTCAGTGTCAAAGTTGTGCAATTTTGGCTGGGTTCCAAGTGAGACGAAGCCAAAAGGCCGCTGGGAGGGAGGAGACCACCCCGAATCTTTCAGACACGCCCAGGTGTTTTGGGACTACGTTGAATGTACCAACCAAAAGGGGATCAATCTGCAAACCCTACAGGCCTTGAAGTACAAACCGCGTGCATTCCAGGGATATTTGTACCGCCCTGAAAAACCACACGCAAAGACAACCAACAACATCCCCAACAAAACCGACAAAACGCCAAACAGGCACCAACCACCCTAAAAACCACCGAAACCTGAGGCGAACGAACGGGTTTTCGCCTTCGGCAGGCCACCGTCTTCCTCGGGGAGCAGCTGCGGGGCGCTGCCACGGTGGCGGCCAAGACGGTGAGTGGCCAGCTGGTGACTCCACGGCTGTTGGACATCTCGGCGCCGCGGACGGAGCCCACAGAAAACGGACGTCCCAAATGCTTTGGGACAGACCTGGCTGTGGCTCACAACCAATGGGATGCCATTTTGGTTGGTAGGTGTACCACCCATTTTAGAACCTATTTTAGTGGGGATTGGGATGTTCACTCGAGGTATGGGATTTTGCCCATGGCCACCTGATGTTAATCTTTGAGGGAAATGGCCTGATGGACCTCATGGACCATTTTAACAAACACCCCCTGGCATGATCTTGAGCCAAAAGAGGAAGTATGGGTGGCGCAAAATGGACATTGACAAGTTGCTTGGCATGTAAATTATGAATGCCTGTACCCCCCCCCCCTACCCCCCCCCCCCCCTTAAGGTAGTTAGGTCCTATCCCTAGGGTGGCTAGGAAGTGGATATAGCAACATTTTCCCTAAGACTTCCTAAGCTGAACCTAAGAGACCCCTTGATTTTGATCGGACATTCGAGCTGCGTTACTTTGCTGCGTCCCCCCAACCTAGGGAAATCAGAAGAGATTCGAATTGTTTTTCTGAAAGTGCTGCGTCCCCCTAAGCTTTCCGCAAACATGCTTCCCCAAGGAGACCGTACGGCTTTGTCTAGGGCTTCCCTGGGGCTTCCCTAGGGCTTCTCTAAGGTTTCCAGCTTCCCTAAGGCCTCCCTAAGGCCTCCCTAAGGCCTCCCTAAGGCCTCCCTAAGGCCTCCCTAAGGCTTCCCTAAGGCTTCCCTAAGGCTTCCCTAAGGCTTCCCTAAGGCTTCCTTAAGGCTTCCCTAAGGCTTCCGTGAGGCTTCCCAAGGCTTCTTTAACCTAATTTGCAGGTTCGGTATTTCTTGTCAGTGTTCCCGCCATGCGCAAAGCGAATGTCAGGCCAAGCTTCCCCAAACCTTCGGCAAGGCTTCCGCAAGGCTTCCTAAGCCTCCCCTGCAAGAGAAGCCCTTTAAGCTTAAAGGGGGGGGGGTAAAGGAGGGGGGGGGTACGGGCTCCATAAGTAAAGGGACACCAAAGGAAAACCGGAGCCAGAGCAGAGAACTATTTTGAGAAAGCTAGAGAGAGACAGACACAGAGAGACACCAGGCACAAGACCTGAAGACCACAGCGTTTGACTGCAACCGTAGACACGGCTTAGTGCATGAGAAACAGTTGCGCGACCCAAGGGACCCTCAGCCCTGAGTCGAATGACGACTTTAGTCCAGAGCACGCGCCTGCAACTTCACGAGGCCCACGCCCGCCTCTATTGATGAGCGGTGCTGGGCCAACCGTGGGTGAGCGTCTTTCATTTTTCCTTTTTTCCCAAAAAACACCCATTGATAGGCATGACACCACCGCAACAGAGTAACAAAGAGCAAATCCCCTCCGATTTGGCGCGCTTTTTGTGTCCAAGCGCTGCAGGTGCAGCGCTTGGACGCCAAGATCTCGGTGGGAAGCCTCAGCACCCTGAGGCTCACCTTCCGCGTGAGCGCCTTGGCCGGGGTTGGGTGTTTCTCAAAATCAGGATCCTCCAGTTTTTGGTGCATTGTTCCCTTACTCACACGAGACCAAAAGCGGTCTGTGATTTGAAGGACCTACAAGCTTGGGCACAAGTTTCAGCCAGAGCTTGGGATTGGGAGGGTGACTCGGCATGTCGCATTTGCCAGGCCAGGATGCCGACGTCCTACACATCACCACGGTGCAGGCAGGTCTCCGGAGTGGGGGTGGTATCCCTGTCAAACAATCGAGCAAGGGTACCAACTCGCAAGAGACACTACCATTCAGCTCCAGAACGAATGAACCGCCTTAAACCAACGGCACGAAGCCATACAAATCAACATTGTTGCGACACACCACTATGTGTTCTATCCAATCTAAACGGGTCGGAGCCAGAGACCCTCAGCCTTCCTCCGCTCGAGGACGCGGCGCGCTCGGAGCTGCGCTTTGACTTCTCCCGCGCCCAGGCCGTGGAGCCCGAGGCGCGAAAACGCGTGTCTTGTTGTTCCGCGGTGGAGGTGGGGCGCATCGTTTTCTTCGGACTGGTGTCGGTTGGGGGAGGGTTTGCTTGAGAACTCAAAGGAAGACTCAGCACGTTGCCCCTTTTTTGGGGGGGTGGCCATCCTCCTGCAGGATGTCTTGGGAAGAGGACTTTCTCTTCCTTCAAGGGGTGCGTGAGCTTAAGGGGGGATAATTTGAGTGGGTGTCTTTTTGGAGTTGGTGCTCTGTTTTTGGGGCCTTGTGGGGGGGGGGGGGGAATCAAACGTCTGTAAAGTAAACCACGGAGGGAAGAGCCCGCGCTCAGCAGCAAAACGCTGTTGCGTCCCCTGAGCCTTCCCGGGCCCAGCCAGCTGAAAGGGATGACGTCGGGCCTCACCAAAATACCCCAATGTCAGTTGGGGACAACGCGTCAATGTGCAACTTGGTACTTCAGCAGCCTTTCCCTTTCAGACTACGGCTGGCAACATCTAGACATTCTGCCTGCAGGGCTACTCACTGCGGTCCACTCTGTCAGAGGTATTTCGGAAGCAGATCGAACTCTCCAAGTTAAGAACCACACAATGCAGAATGTTAGCTTCGGATGAATCCGGAGGACCGCACTAGGGGCCCTTCGACTAGTTCAGGTCCGGATCAATCCGAAGTTAACATTAGTTGGCATCATTCTGATGTTTGCTGCCGAGAAGGTTCCAATATGTTTCCCGGGTTTTTCTCCCGGGTAAGTCAACATGTGGGTGTGTCTTTTTTGGGGGTACCCACGAAATGGTGTCTTCTTCTTGGTTTCCCTTTAGAGGTTCACCTTCAAAAAAGACAAGCCACCCACATGCAAGACCTCCACCGTCTCGGCGAGCTCTTACCTGCGAGGGACTGGTAGCACCGGTCGTCGCAGGTGCAGGTGGTGCGCAGCAATGCCTCGCTGCAGCTACAGATGCAGCTGCGCCAGGCCAGAGACCTGCAGAGAGTGTGCGACGGTTGCTCGATGCGCGAAGCTTTTCGTGTTTCCCAAAATGGCCCTTCTGCTGGTTTGTATATAATGGGAAACTAAAAGGAAGCCAATGTTTTGAAGCTAATTGCCCAAGTATTTTGAGAAATGTCAATTTGAGCCACTGTGTGGATGGGGAGTCCATTTCAGACGGTGGCATTTTTTGCTGCCTCTTCAAACGGCCAGAAGGGTCCGATGTTTTGACCCCTTATACGGAGGCTTCAAAAAGGCAGAAATCCAGTTCAACAATTTCACAACTTGAGCCGCTAGTGCTGGATGTTTTGAGTTCGCCAATAAGCCCGTAGACGATATGTGTCTGTCTTTTTAGTGGGGGTCCCCTTTTTGTGTTTTCTTTAATGGAAACCAAAAGGAAAACCACAATTTTGGGTCGTCCCCTAAAACTAGACACACCCATATGCTCGGATAAATCAATGCCCTGTCTGTTGCTCACAGCCGATGGCCTGGTTCACTTGGTCATGGTCCCAGTGATCAATTTGTTCCCTTGATAAGGAGTGTTAGTTGTGTAATGCAAGGTAGTTCCAAGTTAGTGCAACGGCCTCGCCGTCGCTCCCTTTGCGACTTCAACCTTGTAAACCAAAGTGGCACTAATTGCCTACTCTCGATGCTTGTGAAGGCTCCTCTTGTTTACCAACTATGAAATGTAGTAAGCTGAGAAATGTGGTGAAGCGCCTAGTCAGCATGATGCCACCCAGACTTTCGTGCATAGGCTCAGAACTCAAAAGACCAACACAGTGCCGTTGTGGCAAATCCTTGGGCCAGTGATTCCAGAACTCGCTTCCAGCCACAGGGCCTTGCCTACGGTGTAACCATCGCGGACGTGCAGAACCCGTCGGCGCCTGGCACGGCACTGTGGACGCTGAGCACCTTTGCCCCTTGGCCTGGGCTTTGGCAACAGCATGCAGCGCTCCTTTTCCCGACCCTCGCGGAACCCTGCGAAACCTTACCTTAGAGCCCATCTGTTGGGGAAAAACAGCAACGGAAGACAGGGTTGCTCCGAACTGAATGACTGTTTGTTTTCTTGTTTTGGCGGGGGTCCTGTTTCCCTTTCCAGGGGCCAAATGTTTAACTGCGGTCTTGGGAGAAACAAAACTGGGAAAGGGGGCCCAGCTAGAGATGGGTCTCGAGCGACATCTTATTTTTTCAAGAATGATCACACGCATAGAACACGTCGATCGTTCTGTTTGAGCTGCTTCGTCATGTTCAAGCGGCTGGCACATTGCTCGGGATGGCTGTTCAAGAAACACACGGCAATCAGGGAAGTGCTTCTTGAATGATCGTCAGGAGACCCAGAGACCCGCCCGGCCAAAAGGACAAACGCCGCACCGGAACGGATTCTAAGCCATGCCACCTCGTTCCGAGGTGTCGGCAGCAACAGAGGAGAATCAGCGCGACCGGTCCGTGAACATCGCGGGGCCTGCGACTTGGCCCTTGGGTTGGGGGCTTTGGCTTTCTTCCAGGCCATCCAGATGGCCCTTGGGATTTTGTGGCTGGACCTTGGGTTTTGTTGGTGCCTGGCTCTTGTGGGAGTCAAAAACGGAAGCGCGGGAGGCCGTGTAATGAAATAGTCGTCGTCAACGGCACAGCTTGGCAGGAAGCATTGCTCTCCAAAACCAGACCCACACCCAACCCAAGCACTCTAAGAACTCCAACAAGATGAGAATTGGTGGTGGAAAAACAAGCAGGCAACTCTGGTCCGCATCAATGTGGACGACGTGCACACGAACCTCGCCGATCCCTTCTTCGAAGCCTGGTAGCATTTCTGGGCTGAGTTGAGGTATATCTGTGTCACTAGTTGCAAGTTGGACACAATTCCCATCTTCCAGCGACATGCTAAGCGGATCTATGATGCTTGGCATGGAAGCCATATGCTTCACATATTTACATAAGTACATACACACTGTTGATATACATATGTTGGTCAGATGATATTGTTGGAACATCTGCATGCTTCCAACGCGCGCACAGGTGGAGCTTCCAAGCTTAGACCGAATGGAGTCATGCGGAGTCATGGCAGTACACTTTTTGGACGTTTAGAAGTTTGACCTTACAAATACACTGAACATGTAATCATGATGAAGCAACACAAGACATGTTCGGAGTAAGCCGGAGGACCATTTTATCCACGGAATCACTCCATGCTTCGTGCTCCTTCCAGGGCTCCGGATGAATCCAACTGTGACTTTCTCCCCCCGGCAATGCTGAAAAAGCAAAACGGAAGACTCCCGCCTTCCGGCCCCGCTGAGGACATTGTGAAGACGGAGCTGTCGCTGGGGTTTTGGGCCACCGGGCCCTTGAACGCGCAGTACGTGTCGCTGGCGGCGCCCTTGGGCTTCGCTTTTTTGGAGCAGAGCTTCAGCCCCGGGGAAGGCGGGCGGGTGGCGGGCTGGTCGTGTTGTAGGGCACCCCTTCTTTGGCTCCTTTAAAAGGAAGAGGAAACCAACATCATTTTGGGGGGTCCCCCGGGCCCCCAAAAAAGACACCAAGTCGAGCTTTTGAGCTTTTGGTTTCCCCTTTTTGGTCCATAGTCATGGCCCCAAAAGGTCAACATAGGTATTATTGCCAGGTCCTTTGGGGCAAGTAAGGAATGTGAACCTCTCAACCATGTGTTTTCCTTTCAGGTTGCGTTGGGTTTCGGGAGTCGGGTTTTAAGGGTCGAGATCAATCCTTTTGAAGGCTCAGTTTGAGACTGCACGCAGCTGGGCTGGGCTGTGTTGTGTTCCAATTGGGCCCGAGTACTTAATTACGAGAATAAACAAACCGCTGTTTCCTATCCGTGGCTCAGGCAGGGCCAACCCTGATGCCCTACTTTGTCGCCTGGTGGTATAATTTGTCGGAATCACTGGATGGGTATGTCTTTTCGAGGCTACTCATTTGAGGTTGTGTTACTTGTTTTGTTGTCCCCCAAGGCATCCGATGCAACGACCGATGGCGCAGGCTTCCCGCTGATCTCGGGCCAAGTCTTGTTGGAGAACGAGGCCGACCGGCCCAGCATGACGGTTCAAGTGCTCACACCGCTGGCAGTAGGCCACCTGGCAAGCATGGCGAGGGGTTCATGCCCAGTAGCTCAGGGGCAGCAGGTGTGGTGCCTTCCCCACAGAAATATGGTCAACCCCGAAACGGGTTCCCTTTTTCTAGCAGGGCCAGTGGACAAACAAGGTATCCAACAAGGTATCCAGGCACTTGCCCAGATGCCAGCGAATTCTAAGGGAATTCTGTCAGGTACCCTTGCATTTTGCTTCTGGAGCCTGGTGCCTTCTAACTTGGGCCCTCCAGCACCGAGCTTGATGTATACGTGTTAGGTAGACAAAGAAGGACAGGACGTGTGGGGAGGGGGTAGACTGGCGTGGATTACATGCTATGTTGGATGTTTTTGCATCGGGCTTTTCTTAGGGTGGTTTGAATAGGCCGAGCACATGGCTTTTGGACCCAACTCACACAGAAACAGTCAGACCGTCGTCGCCTCACGGATTAGAGGCAACATGCCTTGGAGCTTGCTGAGGTACAACCGCGAAGTTCACGGTGAGGCCGGCGAGTGGGTTTCCCATAGGCACTGACCGCTCCATGACCATGCTGGGCGAATCAATTCGGACACCAGGCACAGTCACCGATTTTTTGGGCTGCCAGGAGAGCAGTTTGATGTTGGACCCTCCCCCAAAATCTGCCTGTCTACCAGACGGTTTTCTAGAAGATGCGCATTCAAACCGTATCCCGTCAGTTTCCTGAGCTTAATCAACAGAATGGTCTCGCTCAGGCTGCCTTCCACATAGAAGTGTTGGACTGGAACGTTTGACCTTTACAATCTGTCAGGCAAGTTGGGGTGAGTCTACATTTGAAGCTCCGCGGCCACGTCCGTCTAAGACGGTGTCCACTACTGCTTTGCAAGGAAAACATATCTCATGAAAACCCTGGCCTGGGGGTTTGGGGGGATTCATAAACTACGGATTTCTCCGGGGGTGTCCGCCTTGTAGGGACTTGGATTCCAGATCGCAGCAGAGAAGCTCGAATCGCCCCAGGCTGCAGACGCCAGCGGCGCCGGAGGATTTGGCGCTGTGGGCGCAGACCCATCAGAGCAGCTGGCTACTGAGGAGCTGCAGAGACCTCCAGTGCCAGGCCGCACGGGGTAGGGATCGGTGGGTGTGGGTTGGTTTTCGGACGCTTGGGGTTTGTGGGTGGTGACTTTGGGCCAAGTTTTGAGTCCTTACGCCGATGGCTGTGCTGGACTCTTGGACGCTGTGCCAGCAACTCATCCAGCTCTCAGTCAATGAAGGCTTCCGATTTCCTGAAACTCAGTGAAAATACATAAAAGCATAGACAGTATGGACAGTGCAGCTTGGTTGGGGCATGCCTCGTGTATTTGGACCAAACGCGTCGTTTGAATATAGAGTGGCTGTTTGGGCATATCACTGAAGCTTTGCTTGGGCCCATGATACCCTGAAAGTGTGCAGGTCCAGGCAGACAAGCGATCGAAGGACAAAGACGGGTGGTTTCAATAGGCGAGGCTGAGGTTTGCAGAAATGACCCCTCACACCCGCAGGCCCTTGGAGAATCCCGATCAATTCCTCCAGGGCCCTTAGGAAAGCAGGCTTTTTTGACCCCGAAGACCGGCATTTTTTCCAAGTTGCAGGATGTCGCCGCGAGCAACGACGACCTCTTCCCAGGCGCCGCGGGCCATGTTCTCGGCGCGAGGTCAGAGTGCCGGCGGAGTTGAGTGCCATGTTTGGCAACTACAGGCTGAAAGCGTGTGTTCAGCAACCCCCTGGCGCCAACTAGCTCTTACGTGAGCGAAGAGATGAAGCTGGCAGGTATTGTTAGCCTGGCGCACGCCACTTGTGGTGTTGAATCGATTGTCTTGGGCATTTCACATTGACCCAAGGCTTCCCCTTGGCACTTCCTCATGTTCAGGCCTGTTTGGCTGGCTGCCCGGCTCCGAAGCTCCAAGTGGGCTCTGGGCCGGCGTAAAGACGCTGGGATCTGGCCTCCGATTTTGTTCGGGGATGCTCCCATGCTTTCTGTCCTTTGCCGCGCAGATGGCAACCGTCTCCTCCCCTTGGGATTTCCCCATTTTTTTCGGGAGGCGTCCTTTTCCGAAACAACTCTCTCCTCCCCTTGCACCTCACTTTCTGGGTTTCCTTTTTTCTCCTTTTTTCGGAAAGGGAGCACCGAGCCTCAGCTCCAGGCTTCCAGCTGAAGGCCTCCTTCGGCGCGGCCCAAGTGCTGCCGGAGGCCAACGGCGTGGCGCCGCAGCTGCGGGTCACCGTGACCGTCACCATCAGCCCCAAGGCTTCCAAGCCTCGGATTCGGATTCCCAGGGCAAAATGTGGCCACGTGTTTTTTTTGTTTGGCAAAAATCCAGACAAGAAGTGATTGGTGGACGCAACTCCCACTGAAATGCCCATGTTCGAACAAAAGGGAAACCAACAGTTGGTTGGTAAATTTAACTGATGACGGCTTGAACATCGTTTGAACAAGGGAGTGGCTGAAGCGGAGAAGTGCAATCTGTACCGAGCAGACATCTTTGCGATGGAAGAAAGGCTGTTGCACAAAGTGAATCAGATACTTTTGCTGTTGGCCGGGCAAAATTGAGGTGGACGGGAAAAGATGCAGTTTGGGCATGTAAAATTGCCATTCCGATTCTGCAGGTAAAGCACACGCCGTGACAAATCGACTTGCAAAAGCGCCGTTGCGCCAATTTCAGAATGTGCCGTTTGCGTCCCGATGGGAAACGCGGTTTTTAAGCAAACAGCAGGCACGATACCCCTTCGATGCGTGTTACGCGTGTGTCGGCCAGGCGTCTTTGTCCTCGAACTTGCAGGGTGGCACGGTGCATCTGCGGATCAGCTGCTTGGCAATAAGTGGCCCTAGAGGTGCGAGACAAACACCTCAGGGGCCCAGTGCACCATGCACTTGTAGGACAGCTGAAATCGGAGAGCAGTCCTTGTGCAAGCGCGCAAGCCCAACACCCTGTTCTCGACAATGCTTAAGAGCAGCAGCATAGCTGGTGTTGCCCGCGGTCCTGAAAAGTTTTGGCTTCGCGTTGGCAAAATGAGTTTTGGCGCTTTATCCGCCGTTCCGCATGATTTTCCCAAAACACGGCATGTGAGTGGTTACTCTTGATGCCCACGCTCGTTTTCAACCATCAAGCAGAGGGCTGGACAACTCCTTCAAGGACTGCAGCCTTCCAAAGCCCGTGTCTCGCCACATTCTTCAATCAAACTGAATTTGGTAGGAGGCCGCGGCCACACGCACACACACACACATCATGGATCGGACAAGCCCTGTATGATTCATGTGGCACTTTTGTGACATTCCTGAGAAACTTGAGACTTGGGTCTACTGTCTGCGAGTCCATGTATCATTCTGAAAATATGAAGACATACTACTCCTGCTAGCAACGCAATAATATGGGATTTTAAGCCTTCTTCAATTGTCTGTGTTTTTTTCTCAAAAACCTGCTTATGAGGCTGATCTTCTCTACGCGTCATGAACTATTCTGAAGGGGCGTGCCTTAGTCTCGGTGGGTCTTGCGGCCCTTTGCATGCAATCCTTTTTCTCAGTCAAGTCCCAAGGCTTCCATTCCTATCCGCAGGGAAGTTGGCAATTGGCGCACGAAAGGGCCATGGTTACACACACGCAAGGAAACCTGGTACTGCAATTAATGCCTGGTGCTTGCGATGGTTTGTCACATAATTCAGTTGCTGCATCCTTTTCGGTCCCTCAGTGGGGCTCAATAAGTTGGAGGGAGGGCGTTGTTTGTTTCTGTTGAATTCGGCACAGCGGCTTTCAAGGGCCTCCACCTAAGGAAATCCCAACTCAAACCCCACCGGTCCCGACCTGCTCGCAGCTCCAACGTACGGCAACGACACAGGTGAAGTCTGCAAGCCTCAAAACAGCACTGAACCAATCAAGGAAATCCCCCCCCCCCGCCAAGAGAAACAAGAAAGAAAGAAAGAAAGGAACCATTAAAATAAAGAATCAATGCCCTCCCTGCCCCGCCCGCCCCGCTACTCAAAATTCTCCTCTGAGGGGCGCCTTTGGGCTTCGACTTCGAGGCCAGCTGTCTGGCGGTGACCCCGAACACCGCCTTCCAGCGCTGCGAGGGCGCAGGGCGCCTCGCGGTGCTGCCGGCCTGGCGCCTCGGATGGGCAACCGGGAACCCCGCCCCCAAACCCCAAAGTACTGTGGATGGACAAAATCCCGCACCACTTTGAAACCATGGGAAACCATTGTTTGCTAGTATTTACAGGGGAATCATCATTCCAGGGTTTCTCCACAGTTGCAGGATTTCGTCCATCCACAGTAGGCGGGCAGCCCTTTTTGGATTCGGAGAATACCCGAAAATAGGTGAGTCGCTTTTCCTCTTCAACCCCGAAGCAGATACAGCACCAACTCCAGGCACATGCCCAAGAGGGAAGTCCTCGAAGCAGTCAGAATCTGCTGGATATTCATCCTACTTGGAAAGTAGGTTATCATCTTGGCTGGTCTGGCAGGGTTTGATGTCTTTCAAACCAAGGTTACAACCCACTTTCTCAGATGAACTTCTAAAACTTGCAATATTGCAACAAAATGCGAGAAAGATACAAACAAACAGCAACAAGAAACAAAAAACGGGTGGGGCCTCCTCGCTGGCTTGGCCCAAAAAATGAATCGGGAAGCCGAGGGACGGTCAGCTTGGCGCGGGCTTCACCTCAGTGCCGCTGTTCGTCACCAACGCCGCCATGACGTTGGGCACCAACACCTGGGCGCCCTGGCTGGTGAGACCGAAAATTCGGGGGTCTGGGTGAGTATCTCCCTTTTTGGTTTCACAACATCACCTTTGGCCAGTTGAATTTCGTTTGGGGGGTGATGTTGGGGTCAACCCGTCCCCCGACAAAAATAAAGGGGCCTTACTTGGGGTTGACCGGACATACCGGACCATCCCCAAGCAAATGAACGCCGGGGAAGATCGGAGCTCTGTGATAGCAAAAGTTTCTAGATAATTGTCGTTCCCAAGCAAAACTGGGACCTATCCCAAACAAAACGTGAGACTCATGGTTGGGGAAAACTGGTGTCCGTGATTTCAGGCGAATCCCATGAAAATGATAAAGCAGTCACAAGAATGGCCCACTTTTGTCTGTTATTCCCACAGCGATGGTTAGACCTAGCCAAAGAATCCATTCAGGCAGTGAAGATATCCATCCACGAATAAACAAAGATAGAACTGAAATTGGTTTAGTAGCTACCTTGCAAGGAGGACCATTTGAGTTGGACTAGGACCCACACAAAAAGGGATGTAGAGAGTGCCACTGAAGGACTGGAACAACATGGATCTCCGAAAGGTGTGCTTACGTGGAAAAGGTGAACGTCTGTTTTGAACACATCTAGTATGAAGCAGGCTGACGCTCAAAAAGGCAGCATCCGCATCTCCAGCATGCAGAGCATCACCCAAGGCACCTCCAGTATGATGCCAGCAAAGCAGTGGATGCAAAAGCTGCCAATTTTCCTGGTGCTCCAAGACCAAAAAGGCAGCTTGATCTTCCGTGAGAAGGCTCACAAAGAAGGCATCATCATCATCGTCGTCGTCGTCGTCATCACCACATCAGCAGCAGCAGCATCCATCATCATCATCATCATCATCATCATCATCATCATCATCATCATCATCATCATCATCATCATCATCATCATCATCATTGTCATCATCATCATCCATCATCATCGTTATCGTCATCGTCATCGTCATCGTCATCGTCATCATCATCATCATCATCATCATCATCATCATCATCATGGCCATCGTCATCGTCATCACCACCACCATCAAAACCATCATCACTTTCATTGTTAAGGTTAGAGGCTAGAGTTTGAGGAGAGGGTTAGAGGTCAGGGTTAGAGGTTAGGGTTGAAGGCTAGGGTTAGAGGTTAGGGTTAGAGGTTAAGGTTAGAGGTTAGGGTTAGACGTTAGGGTTAGAGGTTAGAGTTAGAGGTTAGGCGTGTCAAAAATCCGCCACGGCACTAACCCTCCCCGCCTAACCACCACTTGGAACACGCCTCGCCCCTTTGCAGCCAATCTCACGTCTAAAGATGCAAGACCTGGACCCTGATGTTGAAACTGCACAAGATCCCCCAAGCTCTGCGAATGTGGGAAAAGATCAGGTTAGAGCACAGGCAAAGGCAAGGGCAACACCGATACCTGCAAATCAAAGGCCTGCAAAGCTATCAGAGAAAGAAGTGTGGCCTCAGCCAAAACAACAACTTGTCACTTGCCACCATGATCATGAGGCAAAATTCGGCTACCCTCATGGTGTCGTGTGAAAGACAACACCAATGGCTCCGATCTGTGATCATGGCGTGTGCACTAAACCAAGGGCACCCAGGGCAAGCATTCAGACTCAGCCCTTGGTGCCTAGCCACCATCATAATTCGCCACAAAGGTGCCTGCCAAGGGAGTTTGTTTCAGGAGGCCCACGCAGACGGGTCATCGCAAACTCTCGCTCTCATCTCAGGCATCATGGCCCATTCTCCCCAACACGTTGTTAGCCGCTTTGGAGGTGCAAGAAAAGCTCGTTCCTCGAACCTTTGCCTGCACAAGATGCAAAGTTTGAGGTTCGTGAAAATTTGAGGTTCGGAACTGAAGGGGGGGTTGGTGCCTTTCGACTAGTCAGGTTACACCCCCCTCCCTATCTCAGCCGTCCAAAGCCGACCTTTCGTTGACCTTTCAGTTCCGATGTTGGTCCATTTTTGGTCATGGCCCACCAGGTACACGTTATATTTCTGGATCCTTTGGGCAACTGAGCTATTTGTGGGAAATCCTAAAACCTTGTTTTGAGGCAAAATGCATGATTCTTTAACGGTGCAGCAGCTCCAACCCCTCGTTCTTGCAAGAAGGAGGGTTTTCTCAAACTGGGAGTCCCTAAAATCGTCGGTTTTCCTTTGGTTTGCCCTTTAAGTACCAAGCAAAAGGGCCGACTTGCGATTTTGCCGCGGAGGTGCTGGAGACCTTCGTGGATCTCAACATTTCGGAGGTCCAGCAGGCGGACAGCGCGCTGGCGCGGCAGCGGAGTCAGGTTGTGGGCTACGAGATCCGGGAGCTGCTGGAAGCTGCGGTGGGGGGCAACACCCAGCGCGCCACTCGCAGAATCAACGGAGCGAAGGGTCCAGAGTGATGGATTCGAACAAAGCTCCAGATATTTGGACCATTTGGAACTCTATGTGGCAGTGGTTTCTTTTTGAGGGTACGTGTTTTTTGGGTTGGATTCTATAGTGAGTCACAAACAGTTGGCATGTCCCACCCGCTTGTCAACCAAGGCGCAACAGGGAATCAACTCAAAGAAAACACACGCCCAAACGGTGGATCCGGTTCGCTAAAGAATGTACTAGATCTGGATCTTTGCCTCCGGGTTTTGCATGGGTTCTTTTGGTTGTCAACCTTTTGTGGTCCAATTGAGCTAGAATCAAAGCCTGGGTAGATGAAGGTTAGTAAGGGACAATCCCAAGCATGAATAGCTGCGGCCGCCTTCTTATTTCTTGACTTGGTTCTGCGTAGACCATGTTAATACCGGGTTTGATTGTGACTCAATTGATCCAGTTGATGGGGACACCTGAACGAAGCAAAGTTCAAAAGTACTAAAGGCTTTTCCAGGTATGCTCCATTGCAAGCTTATATAATATGGGTGTCTGTTTTAAGCAGGCCCCCAAAAAAGAAACGGTGTTTTGTGTTTCCTGTAAAACCCAACCAAAAGGGACCCCTAAGAAAAGACACACCCCTGGGTGCACACGCATCCATAGCTCCAAAACTCATACCCACTACCCGGAAAGCGTGTTGTGTTTTCCCCCAAACACCCATCCATAGCTGCTAGCTCCACCTAAGAAAAGACACACCCATGTTGGTGTAGAAGCATCCCTAGCTCCAAAACCCAAAGGCTTCGGTGACCACGGTCTTCGTGTGGTTCCTGGCCTCCCGCTTCCTCGACGTGGGCGGCGCCGTGCAGCTCCATGCGCCCCCGAGCTACGAGCCACGCGGATCTGGGGAGGGGGGAGGTCCTGGGATGAACGGGGGGGCAGTGGAGAGTCTGATTTATGTACATTGTCTATATGAAGACACAAGACAGCTGTACATATATATATATATATATGTATATATATATATATGTATATATATATATATATGTATTATGATATTATGCATCATTGAGTATATGCTTTCAGAGGATGGACAGATCTGCATAGACGGCTGGATGTTTGGCTGTTCAGTCGTCTCTCAACGCTCGACGCAGCCGCACCACTGTGCTCCTTGATGGGCAGTCCACAAGTTTGCCAAGGATCTGAGACTCAGATTTCCGGACTCCGCAGCCAGGGCGTGAATGAGTTTCGAGATTGGCAGTTTGTTGATCGACATCTAGATTTTAGCACTCCCTGAGTTCCTGGGCTTTGTACTTGGCAAGACCAATTGAAACAAGCAGTTCAGACTCAGACGCTGTGGCCAATTCACTGAAGTGAGTTTTCAGGGAGACGCTCAGTCGGGTGCCCTTTCTGTCGGGTGCCTTTCCTGTCATGGCTCTTAGGCTCCGCTGCTACCCGCGGGTGCAGTACATCAGTCTGCCGGCGGGATCCTGCAGGCTCCTGGCAGGTGCGCGGGGCTTCCTTAACCCCTTCGATTTCTGATCCCAGCCTGTTGAACCCCCCCCCAGAAAATCTGTGGAGCAGGTTCTCTTTTAAGCGGGTTCCAGCTTGCACCAATCGGCAATCATGTGTGTAGTACACGCATGGAACTCACTTCACCTAAATGTTGTCCGCTGATCAAGTTTTAGTCATGGTCCAGAAGGCTATCCAGAAGGTTATCCTTTCATATCCGTGTCCTTCGGGGCAGGCATGACCTTGACAGGGGACGTGCCCACGTTTAGAAATCTTGCAGAGGCTCACGAGAAATGTCCAACAACTCTAGCTCCCCAGCTTCTAAGCTCCCCAGCTCCCCTCCCCGACACAGGAGTGACGTCCTCCACCGGCGACGTATATCACCAGTACCTGTCCTTGGCCCTGACGTTGCCGGGCCAGCAACTGTGCCTCGGCTCCAGATGAAAGCACTTTATTAGACTTCCTTCGTGCTGTAGACAACATGTGGCACCTCTTACTGCTGAATAAACAATCTGATTGATGTAATCCACAAAACTCAGAACGCTTTCTGAGTATTGGGTAGTAGGTTGGTGCCATTGGGAGACTAGACCTTTTCGTGCGTATACTGTATGTGTATATATATATATAGTTATGGATTGGGGCGCTAACGGTGGTCGTGTTCCCATGGCTCACGCCTCCTGGGCCACATGCTCCCATTGAACGAGTCGAGTTTTCAAGCCCTCGACTTAGCATATACCGCTTCTGTTTTCCACGGCATCTTCTTGAGCATCGTTGGTGCCCATAGAGAGATCACCCATGAAGGGCCTTTCTTAGACACCTTCCATGATTCCTGCAAAGCCTGGTGCTGTTTTTTCTTTTGCAGGGGAAATGGGGGAAATTGGTGTGGCCAAGGTACCCGAACACCGCCTACGAGTTCGGCGTGGCGGCGGTAAACCCCTCCGGCGCCAGCAATCCCAACTACTGGGGCTTGGCGCCTCAGCCAAAACGACCCCCCATCCCCATGAGAGGTGCCGATCCACATTCATTGAGGCCCGTTTCCGCCGTGGTTTCCCTGAAAGAATAGCGATGTGGAACCAGGAAAGCTGTCGTGACTTGTTTGTTAGGGGGGGATGACGCCCTGGTGGCGCCAACCGGGCCGGGCCATAAAGTAAAGACTTCCAGCTCTTGCTGGCATGCCAGGGTGGGTTTTGTGGTCTGCTTCGTGAGGCATAGCTTGTACGTCCTTTGTGAATCATCCGAGCATGACCAATAAGCACACCGGGATTTTCTGGGCAGTTCATATGTGTTGGGCTCTTGTGTCTGTCTGAAGCTCGTGTTGTCTTGCTAGGGGCGACATCTTCATATCAAGTTCTCCGATGGGTGCGGAACACCTCCGACACTGGGGGGCTTTTCGTGCATGAGGCACGCGGGTTGGAAATGGCTCACAAGGTGAGCCAACTTTCGTCTGCTACCATCCAAGCAAAACCAGCTCTAGATAAACCATGAATCCCCACCTATACCCAGCCTAAATTGCTCCTACACCCAGCCTGAACCAGTCCTAGACTTCATTCTGCGACCTCCTACCAAAGAAAAACAGACACAAAAGGGAACATGCCCGAGTGCACCCAAATCTTGAGCAGCACAGTGGCAAGAATACATTTCCCATTCAACTTGTCAGCTCACATGGCTAGTCTGAAGCGCTGGTGCTTGTGCAACGCAGGTGATGTGCTTCCTAATCATGGATCTCGATTGCCGGCGTTTGCTGCTGGTTTCAGGTGAGCAGGTGAGCCGTGTAATTTCTAGCAAGGCAGGCGATGGTGAGTAGTGTGCTTGTCAATCTAGGGCATGTGTTCACTTGCATTTTCCTGGCACGGAAGTTCATGCCCGGTTTCCGAATCTTGAAGTCTTAAAGCTTGTGGATGGCCCCAATGCTTTGCTTGTCTTGCCGTGCAAGGTGCTTTTGAAGCCCAACAACGAGGTGGTCGACTCGACGCGCACTCTGCCAGGATATGTGCCTCGCCCCAGGCTTGATTCGCTCTCAAGCACATGGACATCCGGTTCGTTTCGGAGAACTTGGGGACATTTGATTTGGAGGTGACAGACTGCAAAGGCAACTGGCAAGCCTTGGGCAATCTTGCTGGTGCGCGAATGTTCTGTGGGCAAGTTGTGGGCTAGCTGATGCGATCGGTTGTGTCCAAAACGATCACTGGAAGGGGGCCGGCTTGCAATTCTTGGAGAGGCGGGGTGTGCCACATTGATGCATTGCTACATGGGTGTCATTAGATGAACGTGTTCCTGGCACAGGGATGGGTGTTCAACAAAGCCAAAGTAAAGCCGAAGCCCATGTATGTAGGACATTAAGACCGAAGTCCATGCCGGGTCCATCAAAGTGGTTGCATCTTGAGGGGTTCTCAAACTTTGGGTCGCGGTTTCCCTTACCAAAATTTTTGCTCGGAGAATTCTGGGGATGAATCTTGCTCAGGGATCAAGGTTTCAGGAACCCAAAAAGCCGCATAAATGTGGTTTGTCCAATCGAACCAGCGTTCGGATTGCACTCCAAAAACCTTGCGAACACCTTGGATTCTAAATGGAAACCATCCAGTTAGAGGAATCTTTGGGACCAGCTGCAGGCATCAAACTGCAAGTGAGGTTTCGGGAGGGACCAGTTTGATTCCTTCGGGGTTCCCTCATTCCGACTCATTCCCCCTTTGTCCCTAAGCCTGCTTCCCAAAACCTTTGGGGACTCACTGAACTTTGTCCCCCGAACAAACCCACCCCTTTTCGGGAGGGTCCTCTATGGAAATCGGTGGAAATGACCCGAGGATCTGACGGACTTCCAGATCCTAATCCAAACTCCGCTGCCCACCTCCACGCGGCCCTCCGTGGTGAACTTCGTTCAGCTGGCCATGACCTTCGCCAGGCCGGGGTTCTTTTACAAAAGCGCGTCCCGGGCGCGTTTTCGTTGGCGTCTTTTTCGAAGGTTGGTTTAAAGGGGACGCCACAAGGAAAAGCAGAGTTCTGGGGTTGACCAGCAGGTAGAGGAAAGGAGTTTGGATCCACAAAGGATTTGGCGTGTTTGGACATGGTGCCTTTTTCAAGTTGGTTGAATGGGACACCAACAGGAAAACCGATTCCATTCTCGCTGGTCACCCTATTTTTTGCACATATGTGACATCATATGGGAAGCATAGTTAGTTTTAGGTCGCCACTTTCTGTGATACTAAGGGAGCCTTGCCCAGTTTGGTATCACACGGCTATTTTCCACTACCATGTCCCAGTGTAGTGTGAGTTCGGCTGCGTTGTGTTTATATACGCCCATTTTAACGTCCGATCACGGGAGTCCGTCCGACACTGGTGCATAAACTAGGTCACGCCGCCACTAACGGCGCAGAGGAATTCACAACCCTGGCGAACGCCCAATCAGTATTTCTGGACAGGAAACAACTACGGCATTGCTTCCTACAAGCAATCACACATGTTGCGCCATTGGTAATTCTGCGACCGCTCGGCAGCCTTCTTTTTAGCATAACACAAGGTGGTAGCCACTTCTGTACTGTACGTCTTTCCAACCTTTCAAAGATCCCGAGGCAAGAGAACATTATTGATTCTTGACAAACTGCAGCGAACTATGGCTCAACAGAACCGAAGTGCACGTCAGCCTTCGGCGGATGATGCCTGTAACTGGTCCCAAGGATTCCTCTAACTGGATGGTTTCCATTTAGAATCCAAGGTGTTCGCAAGTTTTTGGAGTCCAATCCGAACGCTGGTTCGATTGCACAAACCACATTTATGCGGCTTTTTGGGTTCCTGAAACCTTGATCCCTGAGCAAGATTCCAGTCGTAATTATCAAGATTCGATGACACACGCTAGGGATTATATCAAAGTCCAAATTTGGCCTGCGCGATACTGTGTCCGGAATTAAACTTGTGACTAAACCACAGCGGCGGGCATCCGAGCAACTTGTGCCCCGTACAGTATTACCCCACCACACGGTGGGACGTGTTCGTATAACAATGTGCGAAATGCTCCGGGCCGTTGGTGCCGTGAGCATAAACTAGGCCTCGTCAGGGGCAAGGCAAGGATTTCAATTTTGCGGAGAGGGGTTCCCTGAAAAATCGTTGGCAAGGTTGCACATGTCATCCCGTTCGAGGATGACTCTGGCTTTCATGCCTTTGCTTAAAGATGTGGTTTACATTTGCCCACGTAGGGAACCGCCCATTTGTCATTCTCATTTGAGCCACAGTCAAGCGACGCCTGAAGCTTGGGAAGTTCCAATAAAATGGGTACTCAAGTACAAGGTTTGATCATGACTCACCCGGCTCTTGCACAAAATAATGCGCATTTGACTACTTCAGGTAGTCTCAATGTACCAGGATTAATGAGGAGTTGCATTCTATTCAGAGGTATCACTCAAACAAATAGATCAGCTTCCCGCTGAAAGGCTATTCTGCGTCAGCACAATTGTGGTTCTGTTTTGGTTTCCCGTTAAACCAACCTGAAAGGCTACCAACTCAAAACACCCACAGAAGCAAGCACAAAATCACATTTGACACATGGGGGTTGATCGGTTGAGCAAAGAGTCTTTTACGTGGGGCGATGAGGGAAACCCACCAAAATAGCTACTTTCACCACATGGGAAGAGTTAGCTGTCATTCGGGGGCCGAAGGGAATATTGATCCAGGCAGCTGGATCCCGGCGAAGCCGCGCACGCCTGGAAGCCCAGGATTCACTGGGTTGAGTTTGGGAACCCTCAAAAAGGGCGGTGTCCTTTTGGTTTCCCTTTAAAACCATTTGGAAAGGGTACCCTCACAAAAAGGCACACCCAAATGGCCTCTAGATATGTGCGGACATGCTTTGTAGATAGTTGATATAGAGTACGCCAACATCAGAATGATTTCCACATCTTGCACACGCAAAACTTTCCCTGCGCGCTATTTCTTCGTGTTGATTGCGGCTGAGAAAGCTGAAAGAGTGTTGCAAAGCAAAGCAAGTCACAGATGGACATCTGAATGATGCTCGCACAAAAGGTGGCGAGAGTCCTGGGTGCCCTTCAAACGACGCGCATATGTGTATTTATATACGTGTATATGCCCAACAATCATTTCTTTGGCTTTTTGGTTTGTGCGCTGTGCCACGTTGCACTTTCGTAATGCGCAGGATTTGTAGCACAGATCTCAGAGATCTAATCGAGAATGCATTGACGCATTTCTGGCTCTTGGAATGTAGTCACACAAAGCACACCCTTTGTGTGCCTGCTTCAAAAGCCATGCCCGAAAGCTTGGCATGCATGTCTCACCTGAAACATGCTGTTTTGCACAGCCTGCATGATAGGCAGTTGACAAGTTGGGGCCAGCATGTACCGCTGTCACGCGGGTTCTTAGGGTTTAGTTTGGCCTGTTAAAGTCCCCAAGCTGCTCCGCTTTTGGCAACCTTGGTGTGACACAGGCACAAACTGAGTCGCACGTGGTGAAGCTGGAATCAGCATGGAAATGATTTGTGCAGGTTCTGCACTGCATCGCAAGCACGCACTGCTGGAGCAGCAATTTGGACGGCATGATCGTCAGTTTTCCAGTTGAGGCTAGCATGTACCGCTGAACCGTGGGGTCTTAGGGTTCAGTTTGGCCTGTGACAGTTCCCAAGTTGTTCTACCATGGCAACTTGGTATACTTCAGGCACAAACTGAGTCGCAAGCGAAGCTGGAATCGGCATGGCAATGATTCATGCAGGTTCTACACTGCATTGCAAGCACGCACTGATGGAGAAGGAATTTGGACAGAAGGATGATTGGCAGTTGACAAGTTGAGGCTGGCATGTACCGCTGACACGTGGGATCTTAGGGTCCAGTTTGGCCTGTGACAGTTCCCAAGTTGTTCCACCATGGCAACTTGGTATACTTCAGGCACAAACTGAGTCGCAAGCGAAGCTGGAATCGGCATGGGAATGATTGATTCATGCAGGTTCTGCACTGCATTGCAAGCACGCACTGCTGGAGCAGGCATGAAAGGCAGTTGACAAGTTGAGGCTAGCGTAGCGGGTTCTTAGGGTTTAGTTTGGCCTGTTAAAGTCCCCAAGTTGCTCTTTTTTTCGCAACCTTGGTATGATACTGGCGCACACTGAGTCGCAGGCGAAGCTGGAATCGGCATGGCAATGATTCATGCAGGTTCTGCACTGCATTGCAAGCACATACTGCTGGAGCAGCAATTTGGACAGCATGAAAGGCAGTTGACAAGTTGAGGCTAGCGTGTAGCGGGTTCTCAGGGTTTAGTTTGGCCTGTTAAAGTCCCCAAGTTGCTCCTTGTTTGGCAACCTTGGTATGATACAGGCACACACTGAATCGCAAGCGAAGCTGGAATCGGCATGGCAATGATTCATGCAGGTTCTGCACTGCATTGCAAGCACACACTGCTGGAGCAGCAATCTGGACAGCATGATCGTCAGTTTTCCAGTTGAGGCTAGCATGTACCGCTGAACCGTGGGGTCTTAGGGTTCAGTTTGGCCTGTGACAGTTCCCAAGTTGTTCCACCATGGCAACTTGGTATACTTCAGGCACAAACTGAGTCGCAAGCGAAGCTGGAATCGGCATGGCAATGATTCATGCAGGTTCGACACTGCATTGCAAGCACACACTGCTGGAGCAGCAATGTGGATAGCATGATCGTCAGTTTTCCAGCTGAGGCTAGCATGTACCGCTGAACCGTGGGGTCTTAGGGTTCAGTTTGGCCTGTGACAGTTCCCAAGTTGTTTCACCATGGCAACTTGGTATACTTCAGGCACAAACTGAGTCGCAAGCGAAGCTGAAATCGGCATGGTAATGATTCATGCAGGTTCGACACTGCATTGCAAGCACGCACTGCTGGAGCAGCAATCTGGACAGCATGATCGTCAGTTTTGCAGTTGAGGCTAGCATGTACCGCTGAACTGTGGGGTCTTAGGGTTCAGTTTGGCCTGTGACAGTTCCCAAGTTGTTCCACCATAGCATTTTGGTATACTTCAGGCACAAACTGAGTCGCAAGCGAAGCTGGAAACGGCATGGCAATGATTCATGCAGGTTCTGCACTGCATTGCAAGCACGCACTGCTGGAGCAGCAAGTTGGACAGCATGAAAGGCAGTTGACAAGTTGAGGCTAGCGTGTAGCGGGTTCTCAGGGTTTAGTTTGGCCTGTTAAAGTCCCCAAGTTGCTCCTTTTTTGGCAACCTTGGTATGATACTGGCGCACACAGAGTCGCGAGCGAAGCTGAAATCGGCATGGTAATGATTCATGCAGGTTCTACACTGCATTGCAAGCACGCACTGCTGGAGCAGCAATTTGGACAGCATGAAAGGCAGTTGACAAGTTGAGGCTAGCGTGTAGCGGGTTCTCAGGATTTAGTTTAGCCTGTTAAAGTCCCCAAGTTGCTCCTTGTTTGGCAACCTTGGTATGATACAGGCACACACTGAATCGCAAGCGAAGCTGGAATCGGCATGGCAATGATTCATGCAGGTTCTGCACTGCATTGCAAGCACACACACTGCTGGAGCAGCAATCTGGACAGCATGATCGTCAGGTTTGCAGTTGAGGCTAGCATGTACCGCTGAACCGTGGGGTCTTAGGGTTCAGTTTGGCCTGTGACAGTTCCCAAGTTGTTCCACCATGGCAACTTGGTATACTTCAGGCACAAACTGAGTCGCAAGCGAAGCTGGAAACGGCATGGCAATGATTCATGCAGGTTCTACACTGCATTGCAAGCACGCACTGCTGGAGCAGCAATCTGGACAGCATGATCGTCAGTTTTGCAGTTGAGGCTAGCATGTACCGCTGAACCGTGGGGTCTTAGGGTTCAGTTTGGCCTGTGACAGTTCCCAAGTTGTTCCACCATGGCAACTTGGTATACTTCAGGCACAAACTGAGTCGCAAGCGAAGCTGGAATCGGCATGGCAATGATTCATGCAGGTTCTGCACTGCATTGCAAGCACGCACTGCTGAAGTTGCAATCTGGACAGCAGGATGATTGGCAGTGGACAAGTTCAGGCGAGCATGCACGGCCGACACGCGTTCTTAGGGTTTAGTTTGGCCCGTTAAAGTCCCCAAGCTGCTTCGCCATTGACAACCTTGGTATGATACTGAGTCGCACGCGAAGCTGGATCATGCAGATTGTTAGTTTTCCAGTTGAGGCTAGCATGTACCGCTGAACTGTGGGGTCTTAGGGTTCCGTTTGGCCTGTGACAGTTCCCGAGTTGTTCCACAATAGCATTTTGGTATGATACTGGCGCACACAGAGTCGCGAGCTAAGCTGAAATCGGCATGGTAATGATTCATGCAGGTTCTACACTGCATTGCAAGCACGCACTGCTGGAGCAGCAATTTGGACAGTTGAGGCTAGCGTGTAGCGGGTTCTCAGGATTTAGTTTAGCCTGTTAAAGTCCCCAAGTTGCTCCTTGTTTGGCAACCTTGGTATGATACAGGCACACACTGAATCGCAAGCGAAGCTGGAATCGGCATGGCAATGATTCATGCAGGTTCTGCACTGCATTGCAAGCACACACACTGCAGGAGCAGCAATCTGGACAGCATGATCGTCAGGTTTGCAGTTGAGGCTAGCATGTACCGCTGAACCGTGGGGTCTTAGGGTTCAGTTTGGCCTGTGACAGTTCCCAAGTTGTTCCACCATGGCAACTTGGTATACTTCAGGCACAAACTGAGTCGCAAGCGAAGCTGGAATCGGCATGGCAATGATTCATGCAGGTTCTGCACTTCATTGCAAGCATGCACTGCTGGAGAAGCAATTTGGACAGCATGAAAGGCAGTGGACAAGTTGAGGCTAGCGTGTAGCGGGTTCTCAGGATTTAGTTTAGCCTGTTAAAGTCCCCAAGTTGCTCCTTGTTTGGCAACCTTGGTATGATACAGGCACACACTGAATCGCAAGCGAAGCTGGAATCGGCATGGCAATGATTCATGCAGGTTCTGCACTGCATTGCAAGCACACACACTGCTGGAGCAGCAATCTGGACAGCATGATCGTCAGGTTTGCAGTTGAGGCTAGCATGTACCGCTGAACCGTGGGGTCTTAGGGTTCAGTTTGGCCTGTGACAGTTCCCAAGTTGTTCCACCATGGCAACTTGGTATACTTCAGGCACACACTGAATCGCAAGCGAAGCTGGAATCGGCGTGGCAATGATTCATGCAGGTTCTGCACTGCATCGCAAGCACGCACTGCTGGAGCAGGAATTTGAACGGCATGATCGTCAGTTTTCCAGTTGAGGTTAGCATGTACCGCTGAACCGTGGGGTCTTAGGGTTCAGTTTGGCCTGTGACAGTTCCCAAGTTGTTCCACCATGGCAACTTGGTATACTTCAGGCACAAACCGAGTCGCAAGCGAAGCTGGAATCGGCATGGCAATGATTCATGCAGGTTCTGCACTGCATTGCAAGCATGCACTGCTGGAGAAGGAATTTGGACAGCATGATGATAGGCAGTGGACAAGTTCAGGCGAGCATGCACGGCTGACACGTGGGTTCTTAGGGTTTAGTTTGGCCCTTTAAAGTCCCCAAGCTGCTTCGCAATTGACAACCTTGGTATGATACTGAGTCGCACGCGAAGCTGGATCGGCATTTTGATATCATTTATGCAGATTGTTAGTTTTCCAGTTGAGGCTAGCATGTACCGCTGAACCGTGGGGTCTTAGGGTTCAGTTTGGCCTGTGACAGTTCCCAGGTTGTTCCACCATGGCAACTTGGTATGCTTCAGGAACAAACAAGTCGCAAGCTGGAATCGGCATGGCAATGATTCATGCAGGACCTGCACTGCGTTGCAAGCACACACTGCTGTAGCAGCAACTGATCGGCAGTTGACAAGCTGAGGCTGACACGTTGGGTCTTAGGGTTGAGTTTGGCATGTTAAATTCCTCAAGTCCAAGTTGCTCCGTTTTTGGCAACCTTGGCATGATACTGGCACAGACTGAATCGCAAGCGACGCTGGAATTGGAAATGTAGTGATGCACGGAGGTTCTGCACTGCATTGCAAGCACGCACTGCACGAGAATCAATTTGCACAGCATGTCGTCAGTTTTCCAGTTGATGCTAGCATGTACCGCTGAACTGCGGGGTCTTAGGGTTCAGTTTGGCCTGTGACAGTTCCCAAGTTGTTCCACCATGGCAGCTTGGTATACTTTAGGCACAAGCTGAGTCGCAAGCGAAGCTGAAATCGGCATGGTAATGAATTATGCAGGTTCTGAACTGCATTGCAAGCACGCACTGCGCGAGCAAGAATCTGGACCGCATGATGGGCAGCTGACAAGTTGAGGCTAGCATGCACGTTTGACACGTGGGATGCTGGAGTTGAGTTTGGCTTGTCAAAGCTCTATTTTGTTCCAGCATAGCAACTTGGCATTCTGCAGGCAAAAGAATGCAAGGGCAACATTCATTTTTCAAGCGCGATGTTGCTTGAGCCAATGTGCTGCTGTTGTTTGCATAGATATGTCCAATGACTACTTTGGGTTGGTGGTGGCTTCTGATTAGTTGCCAGCACTGGCATCCTTGGCTATCGGCCCCAAAGCAGAAGAACAAACTCTCGTTTCTTTTTTAATAGAGCCCCGATGTGAGAACCAGGGCCGATGGCTTCACAGCCTCTCAAGATCTCGGCCCTCGTAATGGCGGGGTTTGCATCCCCAGCCCGCTGAAGATCCTGACAAACAACAGTCATTCAGTTGCAAAACTCAGCTCCTTCAGCTTTTCCAGCGGCATCCGAACAGTGCGAAGTCTAAGTGGTGATCACTCTTTGTTTCCCTACTTGTGCAAAACTGGCCGGGCCAATTCTAGTCAAGGTACCTTGAAATCAGAACTGGGTGTGTCTTTTTCGAGGATGCCTTTTTGTTGGTGCTTGTTTGTTGAGCACCACAAGAACAACCGAAGCCACTTCGGGGGTCCAACCTTAAAAAGAGACACACCCAACTCACCAGGACCTGTCTTGGACAAAGTCTTTCTCCAGGTCTTGTTTAAGGCACACCATACTTCCAGGTCGGTTTTGCACAAGTGGAGTTTCTGTCGGCCCGAACGGGCCTTTTTTACCTGCTGAGATCACCATTTTGGCGCCCAGCAGCTCAAAGGCGGGGCGCTCACGCGGGAGCTTGGAACGCGAATGGTTTTGGGGGGCAAATCTGGGGAACTCGAGGCAAGCCTCATGGGAGGCAGAATCTGGCAACCCAAGCCAAGTGGAACAGGGGCCCTTCGAAACCCCCTACAAAGGAAAGATGCCAAAAGGCACAAGAGAAGTAAAGGCCGCACAAAGTTGAGCATCTGCAATAGCTAAACTTGAAGGGCTCAAACACACCTCAGGCCACGAAAGACCGCTCACAGGTGCTTTGCCAGCGCTTCAGCGACATCACCGGCGGAGGCGATGCCTTTGTCTTTGGATTCACGGGGGGACTCGCTCCTTACCCCAAATTCTGTTTGTTGATCTTCATTTTGCCGAAATTATGGCATGTCAACAGTCTGCAGGGGTCCCTGCTATTGACACAACGCCCAGCTCATTAACCTCTTGTGTTGCAGGTGCTCGACAGCGTTGAGTTCTTCTTTGGACAGCCCCTAGTAGCCTCTTAAAACATTAAGCAGCAAGTTCAAAGGGCACAATCAAATTTGGCGGCTTTTCGGGGCCTTCTGTTTGACAAGATGCAAATCGAGGGATAATAGTGACAGGCTTCCTGCGGATTCCGCGTTGCTACCACGCGCAATGGGGTAGCGAGCCGCAGGCAACTTGGCCGCGGCGTTACCGCTGGACAGCACCGTGGGCACCTACGGTGCGCACACCTACCATACGCAGTGAGTGGTTGTGCGACTGCAATGGTGGGGATCATTCGATTTGTGAGCCATGCTAGTTTGACTATGCTTTTGGTGACGGGACCCAATGGACTGGTCTTTGATGGCTCAACTTGCTGCACATCCTCTGGCTGAACCTCAGTGTCAAAGCGATTTGATAGTGGCTTTCCCAAAGGGTACCCCCGAAAATAGACACCCATTTGGACCCCCTTCGTTGGCGTTCCTAAAACAGGCTTGCATCCTGAAAGTGTACTTGAACGGGGAGGATGGAAACTGGTGAGAACAGCACCAAGGCCCCTGCAACCCAAGCACGTGTAGAATCTGCCATCCCCATGCCCTTTGAAAAACCCAAGCCTATGGAGTGGGAGGTACCCACTCCTGCCAGCTGCAAAACTCCCTGACGCTGCACCTGGACATCACTCGGCCAGTGTTCGTGGGCACCTATGTCTTGCAGCTAGGCGGGGTTCTGCCACTCAATGGGCAATGAGTGGGGGGGAGCAGAGGTGTCGAAAGGAACATCACGTTTTGTTGGCAGGCAAATCTTTTCCCGACATCTTTTGAACAAAGGTCGGTGTTCTCTTTAGATCTGGGTAAACATGACGTCAGGGATTCAATCAGCCGAATGAGGAGGCTCGGTTTCAGATTCCGAGTTGATTTGTCCCATTGGCCACCAGCCCCTCCGGTCTCGGGTTGTCAGGTGTCCTGAACCCTGGCATGCGGGCAGCCTGTGCCTCAGAGCCAAGCGAGCGAAGCGAGCAACGCGGAGCGGAAGCGCCCCGCGGGTCGGGGCCCTGACAAGAACTGGTGGTCCGCGTTGTGGGTTATGTTTCTAGAGGGAAACCAAGCGGCACCCATTGTTGGTCTTTGTTGGACCCATTTTCACTGCTCAAATGCAGCAAGGCAGATGGCACAGAGCGATCAGAGCGTCTCTGCCCATTTCTGAGGCGAAGGACTTCTGGGGAGTGGAGCTGATCAAGGAGGCTGGTGCAGATTGGCATGAGGTCATCTTAAGGATTGCACCATAGGTGGTATCAAGATATAAAGCCTATGATCCATTTGGGAGGAACACGCACGTTCTCGCGCTTTCTCTCTTTTTGTTTTTTGTTTTCTGTCCCTCCCGAGCAAGGTCCTAGCCTGATCCTTGTCGACCATTCGCTAAACCTGCGTGTACATCCGACTCAAAGGCCAGCTTTAGTTGTTGAACTGTCCGATTCGTGGCAATGTGTTTGCAGTGTTTAGGCTTCTTAGTGGCCGAGTCCGCCCAGATTGAAGCGCTACATCATCATCGGGCAATGTCATCATCGGCCCATCGTCAGTTGTGATAGTTTCATTCGGGGGCAACAGCAATACTGTCCGTGGCAGGTGTGAATAGCCAGTTGCAATTGTTTTCCTGCCTGGTGAGACGCGCGACAGGTCCTGAATTGGCGTACAGCCCCGGCCTCTCGGCGGCCATTTAGCTCACGAGCAAGCTGCTTGCCTTCCAAGTCTCATTTGATCGGCTTCCGCCTGATTCACAAAGCCGCTTTGTCCTTCGCCTGCAAACCTGATACGGATCTCATTTTGGGGGTCGACCTATTTCGACACATAAGCGAATCAACCAGGGTGTAATGATCAGACCAGGTTTCCATTGCAGGTGGCCTAATGTATACACGGCAGAGTACTGGGCGGCTGCGCAACTGCAAACAGGGCAGCGAAAGGGATGACAGGAGACCAAGATGCTGTGTAGTGCTTGGGCTGTTTGTTGACCTCATTCAATTCTTTTCCAGCAGCCTTCAGTGAACAGGACGAACAGCCCCAGAAACATCACTGTCGATTTTCCAATTGGCAAATACGAGATCCATGTGCCCCCTCAAGTCGTTCACCGATACACGGGTCAGCTACTTCAAAAGCGGATCTAAAGCTTTGTCAATCCTTCGGTGAATTCTCGATTTACTCTCCTACAAATCAACATGGAACCCAGCAAAGGCGGTCACCAAAAGAAGATTCTTCCAAACATGTTTTTGTTGGGTTCCACGTGGATCTGCAGCAGTGTTTCGTTTGAGGAATGCTGCTTTCTGTGCAAGTCCAGGGGCTTGCAACATCTGGCAACCTTCCGGGCTGCGAAGATTCGATGTGAGGCAGTGCTGCACGTGCAGGTCAGCGGCTTCGGTGTGTCAGGTGGCCCAGGTGTCATCTTTGGGAGGCCAGCAGAAAGGATCTGAGGCGAAGTGCAGGGGATCCAGGTCATGGTTTGCCTTTCGTGAAACAATTTAAGCAGTTTCCCTTGAAGCCCTTTTCAAGGGAGGCTGCTCAGTTCAGTGGAAAAGGTTGAGAAAAGGCTGGCAATTGTTTTGGTCTATAGATGGGTGAATGTGGCTTGTCATGAAGTTGTTGTTGGCTTGCTGGATAGCAAAAGCGTGTACGTTTGGTCAGGGTCGTTAAAGTGCCCAAACAGTCCAGGAGAGCAAGCTCAAACATGCCGTACTTTTATTTCCTTTGGCCTTGCTGTTGCTTCTGGATCTGACATCTTTGACCAATCCTTTCGTTCCAAGCTCGGGCTTTATTGGAAACGCCGGATTTTCCTGGGAGCCCTGCTTGATTCGGCGCGGGGAAACGAAGCCTCGAGGTCGCAGCCCTTCGTGACCGAGATCGAGCCGGTGGCCGGCGGAGGCGCCACGTCGAATTCCGCGTTCGCCGGGGCCTCGTTCGGCGGCAAGCGCGGAAGCCGCGACCGATACGATTCGGTGTGTAGATGGGTGTGCGTGTGTTTTTGTTTAATGGTAACCTTGTTGGGGCTGGTTCTGAAGGGAACCAAAGGGTAAGTCTCCAGATGTTTGGATTTGGCTTTTGGGAGAGTGAGAGAGAGAGAGAGAGAGAGAGAGCTGCAATGAGAACTTGGGAGAGCGAGAGAGAGAGAGAGAGAGAGGGAGAGAGAGAGAGAGAGCTGCAATGAGAACTGTGTGAGGTCACCAACCTCCTGATGCTATTGTTTGTGCTGATCACACGTTGATGACGAGGCGGAAGAGGCCAGAAAAGGCCAGATGCGTCACATTGTCATCTGACAGTCGTATTTGGATAGCATTGAAGCACACACTTGCACAATCGCACATTACCAACTTCCCGAGAGTCAAATCGGCAAATCTCATCTGCTTCTTGGCCGCCCATCTCGGTGCCAACCCTGGCAGGGCGCGGGCACAAGGTGCATGGCACCATGTGGACAAGGTGCCCGCCGGCGCGATTCGATGCGTTTAAGGCCCGGGCATTTGCCAAAGTTCTCCTTCTCCCCTTGGGATCGAGATTTGACACAAAAGCCTGGCAGATGCAACCATGACACTGGGGTTTGGCTACTCATGTGCAGTACTGGCTAGAGATGATCCACGACCAAAACGGATGCCTCTTTTTCCGGAACCCGTGAGGGGCCATTTTAGGATGCGGTTTTGCCCTGCTGCCAGGTGCCCTTGACGAGGTCAAGGCAGGCGTCTCGGGCTGGGCAGCAGGAGGGGTCCGGATGCTATGCCTGGCTCATTGTCAGGGGTGTTGTCTTAATGCGTTAAGAGACTCGTGGCCTTGGATCGGAGTTCTCTCGCTCGCTTCCCCATTGCCTTCAGGTGCTGACGCGGAGAAGTTGAGGCGTCCGAACGACTCTGAGCCCATCTGAGATCCGACACGATGCACGCGACCTGAGACCAGCGCGGCCAATCGGCAAAGGCCGGGCCATTCGCCGCCAGTCGAGAGACGTCACAAGGCTGACAAGTTAGATCCGACCCTGCGCGACTGCATGAGCTCGACTGCGACCGACGACGGAAAACTGCTTTAGGCTTCGAATACCCAACACGGCACTTGCATTTGCAATGCTTCTAAGCCCGGCGAGAGGAACTAAGTCTTTGACTGGTGCAGCCAAATGGCTGCCTCATTCTTTGTTTTTCGCGGTGTGCTTAGGTGAGGAATGCTTTGGCTCATTTCGGCTCAGCTGTGCGGACTGATGTCCAGGCTTTGACGAGACCAGGCCGACCTTGCCGCATAGACCATGTAGTTGCACATGGGTGTGTCGTTTTTAAAGGGACGCGCCCCCCCCCCCACCCAAATGATGGTTTCCTTGTTGGTTTCCCTTCAATCCAGAAAGAAAAGGTACCATCAAAAAAGACACCCCCACATTGCTGTTTATCCTGCCATGAAACAGAGATCAACTGGCCCACAGTATGTTGGGGCTGATGGTTTGGATTGATAGTTGCGAAAGCGAGGCATTTGTGTGTGTGTGTGTCTGTTCTCAAAGAGGCTAAATGAGGTACCTTCTGCCCTGAGCTGCTTTCGCTTTCCTTCGCCGGTGGTGCCCTTCTCAAGCCACCAAAAGGGGAACAGGTTCTTCGCATTATCGACATCCAGTCAAGGGATCCCCTAAAATTGCCCTGTTGCTGCGGTGGACATCAACATACGGATCAAGCGTGTCCGTCTTTGTTCTCGGGATGCTAACCTTCTGTGAAACATCAAAGCGGTTCATCTGAAGGAATCGCGCCGAACCTTTTTCACGGGTATGACTTAGAACATTTAGAACTTAGAACATTTAGAACTTTGAATTGGGAATCCCTCTTTGGATGGTTTTAGAGGGAAGCAAAAAGGAAACCAATCACCAAAGTACCAAGTTTGGACCTACCGAGCCTGGCAGGCGCGATGGCGGGCCCCGACAGGGCGCGGGGGCCGAGCTGCGCCTCTTTCGCCCGATCCGATCCGATCCGACAACCGTTTGCGGGGCGTTGGCTTCGATTGGGAAGAGAGGGTCTAGGTTTGGCCCCTGACCATAGGCGTGCGAATAAAAAGCCAGCGGATGGCTTTTCGGAAGGCCCGGTTGGAGGCCATTGCTACCGACAAGTAGTGGACTTGAACCCCGACGCGCTGGGGGGAACTATAAATTGGAAGCCTTGCAAAGGGCCCATAATTTGGACCTGGCTTCAGAGGGTCATGTTGGGGCGTCCTGTTTTCGCAACGAATGGGCACACTCCTGAGAACTAAGCACGTAGCTTGGGTTGCCCCGTTCAGCACTAGTCCGTACTCGCTTGCCTGGCTTGCATATTCAGTCTTCAACCAACATGGTGCTCTCACCATGTTTTGTCCAGCCACTGCTGATGGACTACAAAGGGGGCTCCAACTTTGTGCCCTGACCAACTTTTTGCCCCTGAGCTTGAGGCTATGCTGGCCCAGCGCATCCAGGGGTTCGGCAATGTGAACCCGCCCCCCCTGGAGGCACCGGCACTCGCGAGAGTGATCGAACACTCACTTGGCATCCACTTTTGTCATCCAAGGGGCCCCACAGCAGAATTCAAGTGACAGGGCTGGCCCCAATGGATACATTTGGGCAGCCGGAACCTTGAAACCCTGCTTTGTGTGCAAACCCTGCAAAGCTCTTTCAATACGCGGGTGTTAGTTACAGGGGGGCCATAGCCTCATGTTTGTTGTTTTGATTTTCCACCCAGATGCACCTCTTTGGGCGAGCAGTAGTTGGCTCAAATTCAATGGGCCAGGAAGAGACCGGCGCCAACATGGCCAAGAAAGTGATGGGACGCTTAGGCGACATGGTGCGGCTTCCCAGCTCGTGCTTTGCTTTGAGAGAGAGACTTGTCGGCCTCTGGCAGTAGCGAAGTTGAAGCCTGGCTTGTGCGATAGGGCAAGCCGAAGTGGGACAGAATCTGAACAGGGGACACTATGGCGGACATCACTGAGTGGGGGGTTATGTCCAAAGCCGCTTTTGAGGTAGTTTCCTGCTAAATTCAGCCGAATGTCGAATGTCGTACAGTCAAAGCTGGGTTCTTGCTCATTTCCCCACGAGCCGCGGCCGGAATCTTGATGGAATGCTCTTGGTTCTAGTGGGAGAGGGCTTTGCCTGTGCAAAGATGGTCGTGTGGTATTTGGGCTTCGGGCTCGGCTGAGGTGGGCGAAGAAGTCATGCTGACCGTTGAGGCCCGTCTGGGCTGAAGCTGGGTTGCCCGTGCATGTGCAGCATGAACTTGGTGTATACTGTCGAGCCGGATTCAAACACATGGTGCAAGGTTTAGCTTTCTAGTTTGTGCTTGTGTGCTTGCTTTGCTGTGCTTAGTTTTGTTTTTTGGCTTGTGTGTTGGTGTACGCGCTTGTTTGTGCCCGTTGTTGCCTATGCGCACATTCGACAGGACTTCAAAGAGAAGGGTGCGGTGGGTGCGGTGAAAGATGCCGTGGCCGATGCCGGGGACATCCTCATTGATGGCGTCTCAGGCCAGGACAAACCAGTGAGTAGCTGGGAAGCTACCCACCAAGCCCCAAACCACAAATCCAAGCCACCAACTAGAGTGCAGCTGATGTTTGACAACCGATTCCCATTGTCCATGTTTGTTGGTTCTACCCGGCTTTATGCGGGTGGTCTATTCAAGTCTTAGCCATTTTAGTAGAACAAAAAGTCAATGGTTTTGGGCACGCTCGTATATATTTTACTGCTCAAGAAAGCCAACTGGAGGTTCATGATTGATTTTCAGCCCTCTTATGAATCGCTCCAATGCGCCCCGAGAGCGACTGACGCCTGTGATCTTGTTTCCCCACTTTACGGCATTGAATGAAAGGCTGCGATGTGCGTGGGTCATACTTTGAGCAAGTTGCTGGATGAACATGGACATGCCTGAACCAGTTGGGAGGACCCCTGCTTTTTCATGTTTTTGTTGACACAGCTGGTCATGCCTCTCAATCAACAACACTCAGTTTTGTTTGCGTCAAACCGAATATGGGGAAGCTAAATATGGGGACCCTCAAAATGGTAGTTGTCTCAAATGTATCCCTTCGAACTATTCTGAACAGGGTACCAAAGCCACCGAGCCACGGAAAAACACACCACTCAGATTGCGCATCGCAGAAACCTCCGAGAGGCATCTTTGGATGGATCCGTGGGGACCCCCCACCAGAGGAGGACACCGAGAAGTCAGAGGACAGCATGGAAATTTCTCCGTCGATTGTGTTCTTTTTTGTTTTGGGTTTTTCGGTTGTGACAACACAAAAGGGGTCAGGAAGTGATTTGCCACTTACCCCTACAAGAACGAGGGGGGTCAAATCCAAATCCAAAGCACCAATCAAAACCACAGAATTAGGGGGCAGCTGAGTGTTAAAGGATTTTGACCTTGGGATTGCCTGGCAAAAAGTCACCCCAAAGTTGCTCGGCACAAGAGTTGATTTGGAGGTAGCCCCCGAAATGCCTCCCTTGTGGGCACCAATGAGGGGCATGTTGTCTGGGCACCAATCTACGGCTGATTCTGCACCCTGAAATACACCTCTCCACAATGCAAAGCATGTTTGGTCTTCAACTTTCTGAATGCATATTGGAACCAACATGTTTTTCAAGATCCTTGCCTGTGTTGCTGGTAGCTGTGCCCTCGGCCTTGCTTTTTCTGAATATGATTGAATGCTGCTTATCCCCTCCTTGCCTCTGAAAACTGTGAATTATGCCCGCCCCTGGCCATGTTTGTATCAATTGACTTGTCGGGTTGCCACATGTTGTGCTACCCTTTAAGAACCCCCTTTAAAGTGATCAGAGCAGACATGTGAATCTGAAACCCGTTGGCTTCGCAGCAAGGGTCACGCATTTCCACAGCCTTTGCAACCAGGATGCCACCAAAGCCTTGGCGTTCGGCCCCAACGGTGCTGCCTATGGCATCTCGCAGGCGGTTGACCGGGCAGTTGGTTCAATCTCGAAGTTTGTGGGAGTAAATAGTTGAGATGGATCAGCTTGGGGATTGCAAAGAGGTCACTCATGTCGAAGGCTGTCGAATGATAGAGTTTTTAATGATGACATGTCCTTCCGTGGCACGTGTTCGATAGGATGAGGTAGTTGCAGCCTGTTCAAAGCACCACAGTTGAAGCACAGCTATGTCACAAGGGCTCATCTCAGAATCCCTTCTTGCCTGCTTGCCTAACAAGGTGCTTCAGGTGTGTCCTTGAATGTTTTAGCCATGTGTCGTCCTCCCAGCCTGCCTGGAGCCAGGCATCTCCTACTGGCGGCATCAATGCTGTTTGGGTGATGCCGGAGGCACGGGCAAGCAGCGGCAGCTCGTTTTGGGTCCCAACGCCTTGACAAACAAACTGTGTGTGCAGATATGTGTGCTTGTCTAGTTTGTGTTTGTCTAGTTTGTGTTCGTCTAGTCTGTGCTTGTCTAGTTCGTGTTTGTGTTTCTGTGGGAGGGATCGGGCTGTTTGTCGCAGGGCTTTTGGCACCAGACAGATGCCGGTGCTGCGCTTTTCCCGTCCATCTGCAAGATTTTGCTTACCCAGCTAAATAACAAACCTGAGCAATTGAAAACAGGAATATGGGAATGATCACTTGATCATTACACTTGTTATTCGAACAAAATTAGGTCAACCGGACGTGCAGCTTGCTTGAGCCTTTGGGTCAGGAGGCCACACAGGGCAGTGTCTGCTATTTGAAGTACTAGTGGTGATGATCTTACCCATGGATGTCCCACATTCATTTTCGTCTTCAGTCTCAATATGGTGTGCTTTAAGGGTATCCGTTCCACCTTGGCTTAAAGGAAATCAGGACCGCCATTTTGAGGAGGTCCCCCTATTTTGGGACTTACCCATGTCAAGCACCTCTCTGCGTGTCACATTTTCTCGAGACAGGAGGCGGACCCGGCCGCGATGGCCCAACTGGCCTCGCAGGGAGGCGCCGTGTGCAAAGCTCCATGTGGACGGGAGCCAACCGGAGGCTTTTCAGCTTGGAAGTCGAAGGCTGTCCAGTTCTGAATTCTGAGGACGGCCATTTGGAAGGGCTCCAGCATACCGGTTTTTCATCTCCCAATGGTGAATTCCTCGTTCTGCAAGGGCCCAGAAACATCCAAAGAATTAACAGAACAACAGAGCGCAAGCAATAGGGAGTTGGGACCGGTGTGGAAAAACGAACGCAGCTGGCTGCCCTCCCTCCCGATGTTGGGCTCTCCTGCTGGTTTCAGACGGGCCGTGAGCAGATTCCATTTCAACCTCTTGGGAATTCCCAAGCAGACCGGGGCCAACGGCCGAAGGTTTGTTGTGGCTTAGATCGACCCGGACGGGCCAGCTCCCAAAGGATGTCCTTGAGAACGGGTACGTCTCTACGGAAACCCCAATCATCTGCTGGGTGCTTTCCCTCTACTTTCCCCTTCAACCAACACACTAAACCAGCATGGAACCTGAATGGGGGTCACTGGAAGACCACTTTCCTCTAAAAGTAGTCGTTTGGCAATTTTATGTTGGCTTCCCTTTAAAACACAAATCCCACATGGCTCGGGCTTCGTTCCACTTGTTCAGCCTTCGGGTTTGCCAGTCCGCCCTGTGAACGCTGTAAACGACCCGCGCGTGCCAAAGAACATCCAGCCGGGCGCCTCAAACACCAGATCGAAGCGCAATGTTGGCTGGTTGGTGTGTGTGTGTGTGTGGGTGTGGGTGTGCGTGTGCGTTAGCGCAGGGCGGAAAGTGGTGCAGGGCAAAGGGGTAAAGATGTGTGTATATGTTTGATGGGCCATATGCTGCATGCGCCAGCGGAGGCCAGTGCGCTGGGCACAGCAAAGGCTGCGCGCCACAGAAGCGCCACGAAGACGCGCGTCACAGAAAGCGCTGCCGGCAGGCAAGCGCTGGTGGTGCGCTGCGCGCCGCTGCGTTCGCTAGTTCGCAGGCGCTGGCGGGGCCACAGAAGGCGGCGCGGGCGCGGGCGCGCTGGTGAGGCCACAGGCGTTGTCTGTAAAGGTTGGGCAGGCGTTGCAGGCACATGGAAGCGCTGCAGCGTGTGCGCGGTGTGCGTGCAGCACTGCGCAAAGTGTGTGCGTAGTGCGCAGCGTGTGTGCGTAAAAGGCAGGTGTGCGTAAAAGCATGCAGTGTGCGCAGTGGGCAGGGCGTAAAGCGCAGTGTGCGTAAAAGCGTAAAGTGGCTTATGTGCGTGTGTTGGAAAGACGTGGAAAGGTGATATGGCACAGGCGTTGAGCAAGAGCTATGGGGCGTGGGCGTGCGTATGCAGGCAAGGGCATGGGCATGCGCATGGCGGGCTACGTATGGCGGCGGGCGGCGGGATGGCGCGTATGCGGCGATGCATGTATGCAGGCATGGGTGTGTGTGTGTGTGTGTGTGTGTGTGCTGTGTGTATGCGTGTGCGTATGTATGCGTATGCAAGGCATGCGTGTGTGTGTGTGTGTGTGTGTGTGTGTGTGTGTGTGTGTGTGTGTGTGTGTGTGTGTGTGTGTGCGTGCGTGCGTGCGTACGTGTGCGTGCGTGCGCGCGTGCGTGCGCGTGTGTGCCTGTGTGTGTGTTCTGTGTGTGTGTGTGTGTGTGTGTGTGTGTCTGTGTCTGTGTCTGTGTCTGTGTCTGTGTCTGTGTCTGTGTCTGTGTCTGTGTCTGTGTCTGTGTCTGTGTCTGTGTCTGTGTCTGTGTCTGTGTCTGTGTCTGTGTCTGTGTCTGTGTCTGTGTCTGTGTCTGTGTCTGTGTCTGTGTCTGTGTCTGTGTCTGTGTCTGTGTCTGTGTCTGTGTCTGTGTCTGTGTCTGTGTCTGTGTCTGTGTCTGTGTCTGTGTCTGTGTCTGTGTCTGTGTCTGTGTCTGTGTCTGTGTCTGTGTCTGTGTCTGTGTCTGTGTCTGTGTCTGTGTCTGTGTCTGTGTCTGTGTCTGTGTCTGTGTCTGTGTCTGTGTCTGTGTCTGTGTCTGTGTCTGTGTCTGTGTCTGTGTCTGTGTCTGTGTCTGTGTCTGTGTCTGTGTCTGTGTCTGTGTCTGTGTCTGTGTCTGTGTCTGTGTCTGTGTCTGTGTCTGTGTCTGTGTCTGTGTCTGTGTCTGTGTGTCTGTGTGTCTGTGTGTCTGTGTCTGTGTCTGTGTCTGTGTGTCTGTGTGTCTGTGTGTCTGTGTCTGTGTCTGTGTCTGTGTGTCTGTGTGTCTGTGTGTCTGTGTGTCTGTGTGTCTGTGTGTCTGTGTGTCTGTGTGTCTGTGTGTCTGTGTGTCTGTGTGTCTGTGTCTTCTGTGTCTTCTGTGTCTTCTGTGTCTTCTGTGTCTTCTGTGTCTTCTGTGTCTTCTGTGTCTTCTGTGTCTTCTGTGTCTTCTGTGTCTTCTGTGTCTTCTGTGTCTTCTGTGTCTTCTGTGTCTTCTGTGTCTGTGTCTGTGTCTGTGTCTGTGTCTGTGTCTGTGTCTGTGTCTGTGTCTGTGTCTGTGTCTGTGTCTGTGTCTGTGTCTGTGTCTGTGTCTGTGTCTGTGTCTGTGTCTGTGTCTGTGTGTGTGTGTGTGTTGTGTGCGTGTGTGTGTGTGTGTGCGTATGTTTCTGTGTGTGTTTGTGTGTCCGTGTACGTTTGTGCGTGGGTTGTTTGTGTACTTGCTTGCTTTCTTGTTTGCTTTCTTGCTCGCTTGCTTGCACGCACGCCTTGCTTGCCTTGCTTTGCTTTGCCGGCTTTGCCTACCGTGCTTGCGTGCTTGCTTATTTTGTTTGCTTGCTTACTTGCTTTGCTTTGATTGCTTGCTTGCTTTGTCAGTTTGGTGGTTGGTTTGTTTGTTTTTTGCTTACCGTCTTGTTTGCTTGCTGTTTGGTTTTGTTTGTTTGTTTGCTTGTTTGTTTGTTTGTTTGTTTGTTTGTTTGTTTGTTTGTTGTTTTTTTGTTTGGCTGGCTGGCTGGCTGGTCTGTCTGTCTGCTTGCTTGCTTGCTTGCTGGCTTGCTGGCTTGCTGGCTTGCTGGCTTGCTGGCTTGCTGGCTTGCTGGCTTGCTGGCTTGTTTGTTTGGTTGTTTGTTTCAAGCTTTAGTTGCGTATGCGTCTTGTTTGTGTCCATGTCTGGTTGCCTTGTCTGTCCATGTGGGGAGTACCCATCATTTGACATGGATCAAAGCCACAACAAGGGTTCAGCTGATTTGACCCCACAAAATATCATAGTTGTGACCAGGTAGACCCCTCACCTCTCCCGAAGTCAAGTGTTTTTTTTCTTTTGCGCTGGCGAGGCCCTACCAACCCACCGGCGCTTCGAGAGCAGCGCCGGCTCCGAGCTACAACCCCATGCAGATGCCAGGCGGGGACAGCCCGGAAGATGTGGTTGCAACATGGGGCTTCTCAATTTGGTGGATCGTGTTAACTTCTGGAGTAACTTGAAACTGAAACCATGCCACGACCTTTTCCATGTCCGGAATCCGAGGTGGCCCCGTCATTGCCCCGTACACTCCAGCGCCCGGGGGGCCCACGCGACCGCCGCCCTTCGTGCCGGGCGGGGCAGCATATGGAAGCGGCACGCAACTCAGAAAGCCGCAGCTCTACGGATTCTACGGATTGAATGGACCCCTTCAGCCCTTCGGGTTCTAATCGAATCAGTTCACGTCACTTGCACAGGACAATGTGCTCTTGTCCTTGTTTTTTCCGCATCCGAAAGGAACCCATTTGTTGGACCCATTTAGGGTAACCCCATGGATGAAGAAGCGAAAGTAGAGGCTACCGCACTCAACCACAGAGCCATTCTCAAGTACAGTGAATTAGGTGTTCCCTATTTCCTCATTTGCGAAATATGTTGGGCAGCCGTTAGCAGAAAATTGGTGACGGCCTGCTTCTGTTCCCTTTTTGGTGGGCGTTTCTCAAATTGATCACCTCTAGGATGGCTGGTGTCCTTTTGTGTCCCTTCTAAAACCATCCACAAGGTTGTGTCCGCCTTTTTGGTTCAAAGGTTGTATCCCCAGACCCCTGAAACTTCCCCCTCAGGACGAGCCACAAGGTAGACTTAACAGGGGGCACATAAGCTCTGAATAAGGCTCGGTCCTATTTCTTCTCGGGGTCAGTGGGGGAAGTGTTTGGTTGGTTCGAACTGCAGGCCCAGGACCACAGGGTCCGAGTCGCTGGGGGCCGAGCGGCTACAGCGCAGGATCGGATTCGGAGCAGAGAGGGCGGTGCGTGCGGTTCGATTTTTTTGGGGCGCACCCATCTTCTTTTGGTTTAAAAGGAAACCAAAAGAACCGCCGCCATTTTGGGTGGTCTTCCTCAGTTGGGTGCGTGTTTTTTTCCTTCTCGGGGTCTTCCTTTGGCGTACCTGAAGCCAACCGCAAGAGGGCACCTTGGGTTGGCCTTTGCTTGGCTGGTTTAAGGGGAAAGCAAAAGGACCGCACTATTTCGTGGGCTCCGATTTCGATTTTGACACATCCTGTTGTTGGAACTAGGATTGGGCCACCCCTTTGTTGCAACATGATGAAGCTACCATTGTTCAAACTTGAAAGTGGGCCAGGAGGTGGTTGTTTGAACAAAGTTTGCCAGACCCTGCTTGGAACACCAAAATGCTTGGACATGCGGTCCAAAAAGCGGTCTCCAATTGGAATTCACGCCCAGGGTGGTATTGGCAGGGTCGGATGAGCAAGTGACAAATGTGTGGTGGGATTCGACGCAGGCGCAGGTTTGTGAAGTGAGGGCCCCACTCGAATTCCAGAGGAGCCACTGACACAATTGTTGGTGGTTTGTTGTTCGTTTGGGGTGGCACAGGGGCTGCCGAGGGTGTAGGTGTTGTTTTAGCCAGGCAGAAGACACTTTTTGGGACATCTTGGTGATTGAAAGTTCAACCCTTTGTCGGGCAGTCACCCGAGCGATGCGTGTTGCAACTTCAAAGCAAGTGGTGCACGAGACGGTTCGATAAGGTAGCGGACCATCCACTGCAAATCGGCAAGGTTTGGGTAAAGAGGCTGCGTATCCGTTCCGTCATACTGAACATGTCCTTTGGCAGTCATGGCACCCCCAAAAAGCAGCCATGGTTTCTAGAGCGGCTCGTTTTTGGGATCCCTTCCTCGGGCGCATGCGTGAAGTTGGCTATCGCCAGGCTCCAGCAGCACGCCGCCCGCCGCCTCGGGCGCAAAAAGTGGTGGACTCAGGGGGAGCAACGGTCAAGTGTGTCTCAAAATGTGGGACCCCTTTCGAGATGGTCGAAGCGGAACTGAGAGCCAACAATCTGGAGAACCCCTTTTGTTTGTTTGAGAAACACCATTTCATTGCGGTGGTTCTATTTGGGGTTACTGAAAGGCCTGTATGCACCTTCACAACCATGTTGGTAGAAGCAAAAGTCACTGGGTCTTGGGTGCTACTCAAATTGGGAATCTCAAAGGGATGGTTTCTCTTTTGGGTTCATTCGAAACAATGCCGGAAAAGGGTGCCCTCAAAAAAGAGGCATCCATAACTAGTTGCTGCAATCTATGTAAAGGGGATAGCATGTGGCACAATCACCAACATGTCATCAGGAAATTGGTACTCGCCACATTCCAATGTCACCGGGGCGAATGTCGACCATTGCTGATTGGGTGAGGGAAATCGTAGCCTCACCCAGTAGCAAAACTGTTGGTTGAAGGTTCCCTATTTGGGACTCAGTCCCAATTTTAAAGTCAGTACAGGAGCGTGACTCCTCCAGAATACTCAAGCATGTGGGATTTGGTCAGTTTGGTGGCCAAAAAGACATCCGCCGGCACTGGAAGAGTACCAACTTAGAGTGACAGCCAGACAGAGAATCTCATTCAGTGATCCGACGGGTCAAACACCAACTTTTCAAGGCAAAGACAAAGTGGGTCTGTCCTTTTTGAGGGTAGCCATTTCTTGGTGGCTTTAAAAGGAAACCAAAAGCAAACCCCAAGCCTTTTTCGGGGGTTACACCCAAGTGGATTTTTTCGGCCCATCAAAGCACCATACCGGAGACCGGCTGTTTGAGGCTTGGTGGAGCGCATCTCAAAGGGAGATGTGCTCGTGGGGCCAGATGTCGCCAAGAGATTGGCGCGGATCCCAGGTGAGTCCGACGGCTAAGGTCTACCTTTGGTGCAGTCGATGGGTGCTAAATGGGTGTCCTTTTTATGGGACCCCAAAATTGTGGTTTTCCTCTTGGTTTCCTTTTAAAACCTCCAAGAAGGGAGTACGCTCAAAAACAGATACCCAAATAGTCCATATCGTTGAAGAAAGGAAAGTAGAGCAAAAACATGGTTCACACAAGGGCGGTTGATCGTGGCACACACCTCTGACACGAGTCGGGAGCGTAGTTCGGCCGACCAACCAAACCTAGGATCCTATTTTGCCATGCATCCGGGATCACCCAACTTGTGGTGGAATATTAATGTTTGAAGGTGGGATGGGCTTGTGCATGCTGGATGCTGAGGTGTCGCAATGCAATCACTCCAAGACCACTGCGAAGCAGTTGGCGGAGATGGCCTGCGGGGAAGGGTCTAACTGAGAGCAGACCAGACAAATTGGGATGTTTATCAATCCAAATGTGAAGCGAATCTTAGTGATCCCAATCTTCGTTTGGAGTTTCTGGGCCTAAGCCAAACGAAATCAACAGGTGTTTGCAGGTCCGGATCAGCTCCTCGGAGATGCCTGTGCAGGTGTGCGAGAGATCACGACGCTTATACCTCGGCTGGCTCCTTACGGGTGGAGGTTCTACCTACCCCAAACTGACATACCCGCCACCCATATATAAGGATGCTACTTGGAGTACGTGCCCTGGACGGCCCCTGTACAACTCTGTGCAGCCTAATTACCAGTGATTGGTAGGTATGTCCATTTGGGGTAGAGACAGTTGATAGGGTCATTTTGAACAAGTTGTTTCAAGTGGAAACCCAAGGCTAACAACACATTGTGAGGGGCTTCCCCCTTTTTTGAAGCCATGAGAAAAAGGAAGGCACCCACAATGCGTAGCACAGATGTTGAGAATGACTTTTTTACCAGCTGATTTGGATCCGCATTGCTTGAAACGGGTCTTGGGATCCGTGTGTTGCCTATCCCAGGGCGAGGTCAAGCCCTGCAGCCGTCGGCCGCGCCGCTTTCGAGGCTTGGACGGCGACCCAGTGGAGGCCGACGCCTCGCTGGCGAGGCTGCTGCACTTGACAGCCGATGCCTCGGACGAGAATTCTTCGGGTCTGCCTGGAAGGCCATGGTCCTTTTGAGCGGCGAAAAAAACCTCCGTAGATCAATTTAGATGAAACTGGAAAGTACCCTTGCGGTCGTAAGCGTTTTTGCGAGATTCGCAAGCAATCGGAAGGTCCTGCGTAAGCTGCATGCATGAGTCACTCGTCGTAAGCTTTGCGTAAGCTCTGTTTGTCAGACCCGTTTTTCGTTCAGATTGTTTGGTAGAAGTTGCTTTTGGTCCGCGTAATGTTTTTTGGCGTGAAAATGGGATCAGATTGCTGGAATGGGTTCTTTCGAGCAACAAGGAAAGGGATTCTTTCAGTGAACAACTTTTTCAGGCTCAGACAACTGCTGTTTGACCGTTGGGTTGCTTGTGCAAACCTTTTGCAATGTTCCACGCACAGCGCGCTGGCCAGCTTGAACAAAAAAGCTCGCGTTTGGAAAACAACTTTTCGAGCCCCGAAAGTTTTGTTTTGGCACCTCACCTTTGTCGTTGAGCGGGCTTGGAAAACAACATGTTGAGCCCCGGGCTTGTTTTGCTGCGGCTTTGCCTTTTCACCTTTGGGCCTCGGGCTTGGAAAGCACAAAAAAACTTTTCGAGGCCAGAACAGTTTTTTTGTTGCGAGTCACCTTTTGCCACCTGCAGGCACTTTTCAGGGCCCCGACGCCCAAAAAAGCTCGCAGGTTGGAAAAAAACTGTTCGAGCCGAATGTTGTTTTTGGGGCCTTTCCATGCGAGTTGTTGCTCTGTCGTGCTGGCACCTCTTGCTCAGAGGACCCGCGTGCTTTCTGCAGAAAACAACTTTTCGGGCCCCGAAAGTCTTTTTCCGTTTGGCCCGGGTTCAATCCCTAGTGTGCCCACGTCAATGCTGAGCTTGCGCAGCAAAGCCTTTGCACCTTTCCGTGCAAGCTGTTGCTCTGTCATGCTGGCGCCTCTTGCTCGCGGAGGATCCGCGCAGAAAACAACTTTTCGGGTCTCGAAAGTTTTATTTCAGCTTTTGTCCCTCCATGTCTGCATGCAAGCTGTTGCTCTGTCATGCTGGCGCCTTGCTCGTGGTGGATCCTCGCAGAAAACAACTTTTCGGGTCCCGAAAGTTTGACCCTCCATGTCACTGCTGAGCCTGTGCAGCAAAGCCTTTGCGCCTTTCCAGGCAAGTTGTTGCTCTGTCCTGCTGGCGCCTCTTGCTCGCAGAGGTTCCCCGCGCATGCTGCAGAAAAAAACTTTTCGTGCCCCGAAAGTTTGTTTTCAGCTTTTGGCCCTCCATTGTCTTGCTGGGTCTGTGCAGCAGCCTTTCCATCTGCAAGCTGTTGCTTTGTCATGCTAGCGCCTCTTGCTCACGGGGGATCAGGCACGAGCAACTTGTCGTAAGCTATGCGTAAGCTCCATCTTCGAAAAATAGCAAACGTAAGCGACCTTTCGGTTGGCGGAAGCTTTCCGCAAGCGATTGTGGAAGCTGGAGTAATTTCCTTTACGGGTAACAGGTTGTTTTTTTTCACTGCTCTTTTGAGATGGCCATGGGGCATAACCTATGGCTCCATATTGGGGTTTGTTGAACATCCAGTTGCCACCTATTTTGAGGTTCACCACGGGCACAGAGTTTTGACCCACAGCCAGATCACTTCCTGAGTTCCGTTGGACTTTAAAAACTTTTGGGGAAGACCATTGTGATGGTAAATTCAAGTTCAGACTGGTTTTTGTTTACCAATCACTCAGGAAGTGAGTTTACCGGGATCCCTGTTGGTAGTCAAAAATGGATTGGACTGGATGTGTAAACAGACTTTTTCATCAGGTAACCCTCAAGGCTTTTGGATTGGTTTTGGATTGCACCGCTGGTTCTTGTAGTAAAGGTAAAGCGAAGCGAGTCCTAACTGCCAAACCACCCATCCCTGAGTTGTTGGACCAGCTTTTGGGTTTTTTGACGATTTTGGCACACAAAAAGTCCACTCACTGAGTTGTCTGTTTCGTTTGTCGGTTTCGGTTCGGTGCCCCTTTCTTTAGGTTGCTTTAACGGGCACCAACAGGACAGCCGCCATCTGTTTGGAAGCTTTAAAGCGTGGCCAATTTTCACGGGAGTGAACATGCCCAAGAAACATAGTTGATGTTCTTCAAGGTTCATAGTCATATTTCAACCATGGCCTTGGTGAGCTCCAATTGTGTTTCATGCCGTGATTAACCCATGAACCAGGGGCGCATGCCAAGGGTTATTTACCGGGTGTCTTTCGGGAGGGAAGGCATGTAAGGCATGATCCGCCTTCTTTCTTGGGATGTGCATGGTCGGCCATCAACGCTTGAATAATGCTGAAAGCACCTTGGGAGTCCTGTCAAGAGATCTGTGACCATCTTGTCAATGAGTTTCACCGTGGCTCAAATGCAAACCCACTCACTACGGGCACGGTGTCCATGGAAGAGCTTTGGCTCGCGTGAAACATCGCTGAACAACCGAATAAGATCCAGCGGAACGCAGACAGGCTATGAAAGGCGAGTTCCGCAAAGACTACGAATCAGGGCGTGCTTTCCATGTCCAATTCGGCATTGACCAGCTTGCGGCCCAGGATGTATTGAACCAGAGTGAGTCCTCCGAATTTGTGAAGACTACCGTTCAGGAGAAGCGCTCAAGCTCGGACTGACCCAAAAGGATCCTTTGTTTCCCAAAGTCAAATTGGCCCCTGTCCATGTGTTGCTCACTTTACGGGTGGAAGAGGCCATTTGTGAGTGGCCTGGTTTCAGGCGCACGCCTTGTTGCATTAGCAGATCAGGGGCTTGCAACGGTCTCGGCCCGTCCAGGAGGTCAAGAAAGGTGTGGCAGAGGAGTTCATGTCTTTGCGAAGCAGCGCTAAGCACAAGGACAGGCTGGTGTCCTGGCTCGGTTTTCTCTCCTGCAAATCAGAAGAACGGCGAACACGCTCGCAAAATGAGACCTCAGGCCAAAGCACAAGCATCACCCTAGCCTTCAAGATCTGGGGAGGTGGATTCCATCCTGCGTTTTGGTTGTCAGGTTCAAATTTGTATAATGTATGTATTAATATGTATGTATGTATATATATATATATATGTACATAGATATTATTTGTTTGGTTGATTTATGTATTTGTTCATCTATTGGCGTATGTTGTGTGTATATATATATATACATATTCAAACCCTGAGTTTCAGGCACTTCACTTCACTTGTCAGGACTCGGCCACTGCTCAGCTCCAACGTTTGGGCTTCTTGGGCAATGTGGCCGTCCAGGCTCCTGGACTCATTCGGTCGTACGGCGAGTCGAGCTCACCATGCTCCCTTATCCCTTCAAAATCACTAGCTGGTGGCTTGCAGGGAGCCGTTAGGGAGCTGGGCCAGGGGTGTCCAAACTTGCTGTTGAATAGGAAGCTAAGGAGCTACCAAGAGTTCTGTAAGGACACGGTGTCGGGTGTGAAATTTGTTCTGCAAAAACAAGCATAACTCCAAATTTAACTTGGGTGTCAGGGGGCCGCAGGTTTTTGGTTGTAATTTCCTTTCCACGCCCTGATTTGTTGGTTGCCTGGAGGCATGGTGGATCCCAGCCGAGGCGTCCTGGTTCAGGGTGCATCCCTTCGGCTTCATTGGAAACCTTTCAGGCTCAATCTGAAGGTCTTTTGTCAAACTCGGCGCCTCGCCTTCCTGAATCAATCCAGGGTCCCTTTGGGACGTGTTCAACTTTAGCTCGCTGGGACCCAGGGATATCTCCCCTTGACCAGCCCAGGGTATTCAGTGTTGCTCCGATCTAAAGGATATCGGAGTAGGACAAAATGCTTCCTTTCCTTGAGTGCAGTGGGGCAATCTTCCACCCTGCCAACGCTTTTATGTTGAGGTGAGCCTGAGCTGCTGTTGCCCAGGAAACGGACCTTTTGGGTGGCGGTGGCGGTGGCGGCGGCGCGTCAGCTTCGCAGGAGGCAAGCGCTGAGGTAATTTGGGCAGACGCGATGCCGGACCGTATAGAGAAACGCCTTTCACATGCCATTTGATTGTAGAGAAGTGGAGTGTTGAGCCACACTATCAAACACTTGGCGATCATTTAACAATCTGCAGCGCGCACCAGCGATTTCTCGAAGGTTGATCTTCTTGGTGAAGCTAGTACGTCGACACCAAGCGCATCCGCACCCACTACATCAGCGGATTTGCTGGGTGGAATGGACAGGCGCGAATCGGACTTGGACGGATCCGCTTCCTTGTGACTTGTGCTTTGTAAATGCACCTGGCTAATTGGGCCAATCTCAGACGCTACCTTCAGAATCCGCTAGTTGCACGAGAACCAACCTGTTTGGCAGAATCCTGAATATGACAGGTTAGTTACTTCTGAGGCTGAGACATTACTTGCTGACTGACCCTGCTTTTGTGCCAGTCAACGGCTTCCAGCACATGCCGCAGCCTTGGTCTCTGAACCGCGACTGGGTCGATCGGCCCACCAGGTTTTTGGTTTCCAGGCGGTTCCAGGTCCCTTGCGTCCGAGGATGTGCTGGATCTGCATTCTGGCCCGCATGCCCCAGGCTGGCGGTGTTTCCGAGTGCGGCAGGATGCAGATGGATCCTGATCCTTCGCCACCGGACCAAAAGCCAGTCACGCTCGGTGGAAGTGCATACTCCCCCTCCGAAACAATAGGGAACACCTCAAAAACAACCCAACAAAGCAGGGATGGCTCCACACATGAGCCCGATTTCTCGGGTTCATCGCCGCAGTATTTCCGCAGGCTTCAGCTCTCTCCTTGGTATCTCCTTGGATGTGGAGCCGGCATCGCCCGCACCGGTGGCGCCTGCACCTGCTAAGACAGGCGCGGGTGATACCGGTCTTTGTGACAAAGCTGGGCCGGAGGCTCACTTTGGATTACGGTACAGATGTGGTCCCTTCAATGGCTTCTTTCTAGAGAGGGATTAAGATTGACCCTCCATTTGAACGACCCAGAAAGCACTACTGGTATCTATTGTCAATTGGAGAGGACAAGAAGGGCCCACCCAATTGTCCCATGTGCAAGCAAGTTGTTCTGTCCCGGCTCATGTGTACCCTTCTGGCTGCGTGTCAAAAGGAATTCTTCGAGCATGCTGAGTTCATTGGTATCATCAACCACTGACAAAAAAGCTGACATTGCCATGCAAGTAGCGGAGTGTTTTTCCATGGGTCTCATAGGGGTCTACTTGTCCATGCCTCAATCTGTAGGATTTCTTTCCTCGTACTTGGCCTGGTAAACTCATTGGCAACCGCTATGATGTGATGCAAAACGCTGCGACTTGGGTGAGCAGGTACCAAGCGTGATGCCCCAGTCAAGCGCAAGCTGGGGTCTTTTGTGGATTTTTCAGGGTGCACCAGAGCAGCTCAGCAATTTGAGAATATCTTAATTATCTGTATGCAAGTCTATCAGGCCGTCATGGTCTTGAGGTTTGCTGGTTTCCCGGCACCTGCTTGTGTCAGGCAGCAGCGCGCCGGGCACCTTGGGTGCCGGGGCGGTGCTTCCGAAGGAGTGCGAAGTCGGAGCTCTGGAACCGTTTCGGGGGTCTTTTTAAGCCCTTCGGTTTTCCCTGTAAAAGCAAATAGAAATGGAGCCCCCCCAAGAAAGACCCATTTGGGTCACTGGCGGAGAACCTGTTTGAGGGTACTTTGCCTGTCGCAACCTTGCACGGACTCAGGTGTAACAAGTTAGCCACGCGTCAGCGCACGTAGGAGGTGTATGTACACGGGGTAGTCTAACCTTTCACCATAGCACTATGGCGCAATTGAAGGCCGGCCAGCGGAACGAGGAGATCGGATGCAGCACCTCAATTCGGGGTAAAGCATGTCAGCATGTCCTCTTTCAAGGCTAGAGGCTTGCATTGTCCTGTTCCAGCGCCAGGGTCCCTGCCGGCTTTTGGATGTTTCCTCTCGAGTTTCCCTACCTTACATTACCCGTCCAATCGGGTCATTGGGGGGCAACCTGTGCAGGACAGCGAGAAGGAAGACATCTTCGGTTTTGTTGGCGCGGAGATGTTCAAGGTTGGACGGCTAGTCACAAACAGAACCCTACCAGTCGATCTTGGGAAGAGTCTTATTTGTTTCTGCTGGTGCTGGCTTCATGGGACTCGCCGCGGGCGGCTAATTTTGTGGAACCCCCCAAGGCCTTCCTAAATTAGAGAAGCCAGGGGAGCACACATGCCAGGCCAACAAAAAATGATGCTCCAAGTACCTTGCGGCTACCCAGATCGCAACGTGTTCCTTAAAATGAGAAATGTTCTAAATAATACACTACATTATGTCTGTAATATATTTAAACACAACTATATGAACAATAATAATAATAATAATAAAAATAATAATAATAATAATAGTAATAATAATAATATACATATATATATATATGTATTGCTTTTTCCCCTTGGAGTCTTCAGGCTTGAAGGTAATATGTTTTAATTATAAAATTGAATATAAAATGGTTGGTTGTGAAAATATTGCAAACTCATGGTGGTTTGCTGATTTGATTTGAAACATTGAATTGTATTTAACTTTATGATTTTATATAGTTTTTTTTGTTTTTTTTTTAATATATATATATATATATATATGATGTGTTTATGAATATCTATTAAGTATAATATTGTAAAATTTAATGAATATTTAAACTATGGTAAGATTGTATTAATATTATATAGATAATAGTTATTATATATTATTAATATTTGAATAATGTATATAGTTGTTATGAGTGCGGACTCGGGGTCGCATTTCTCGTGCACCGCGGAGCCGCTGCAGCGGTACCCGGCCGAATCGTCGTGCTTGCGGCGAGAGGCTGTGCCCGTCCCGGTCCTTTTTCCGCGGCGCAAGCTCCTGCCTCTTCGCACGGCCCGGAAGTCCCCGAAATTTTGCCGAAATGTGGGGCGGCGGCATAACCCGGCCAAATTTTGCCGAATTTGGGTCGCTTCCGGCGACTCGGCTCTTTGGTTTCCGGACGTAACCCCCGCAAATTTCTCCAGAATTTGGCGGCTGTCCGAAAACCATAACGGGCCAAATCTTCGAGAAATTTTGATTTTCTCGAAAATTTCGGGCTTTGCCCTTTTTCCCTCTTTCCTTTTTTCCCTCTTTCCATCTTTCCTTTTTTCCCTCTTTCCCTCTTTCCCTCTGTCTCTCTGTCTCTCTGTCTCTCTGTCTCTCTGTCTCTCTGTCTCTGTGCCTCTCTGTATTTCTGTCTCTGTGCCTCTCTGTCTCTCTGTCTCTTTGTCTCTCTGTCTCTTTGTCTCTTTGTCTGTCTGTTTGTCTGTCTGTCTGTTTGTCTGTGTTTCTGTCTGTCTGCCTGTTTCTGTTTGTCTGTGTGTTTGTGTCTGTCTGTCTGTTTGGTCTGTGTGTGTGTGTGTGTGCGTTTGTGTCTGTGTGTCTGTGTATTTGTGTATTTGTGTTTGTGTGTCTGTCTCTGTGTGTTTGTCTTTGTGTGTTGGTCTTTGTGTGTTTGTCTTTGTGTTTGTGTGTTTGTGTTTGTGTGTTTGTGTGTTTGTGTTTGTGTGTTTGTGTGTTTGTGTTTGTTTGTTTGTGTGTTTGTTTATGATTGTTTGTTTATTGTTGTTTTTTGTTATTGATTATTTATTATTGATTATTTATTATTGATTATATAATAATATATTTTTATTATTATGTATTATATTATATGATAATTATTATTTGATTGTTATTGTGTGTTATATTATTTGGTTATTATTATATATTGTGTTATTGATTAGTTAATATTATATAATAATGCATTATATAAAATTATAGTTGGTTTAAAAGGAAAGAATAGATAAATTATAATTATTATATATCTTATTATATAATAATTATGTGTTTTATTATTTTTGGATAGCTCAAATAATATTATTATTTATTTTATGTTTTTATTTTATGGAATGAAATTGAGAAATATATTTGTTATATTTATATTTATTTGTTTATTTTTGGATTATTTTGTCGAACAATCCGGATATTTTGGTAAATTGGTCTGGATTGCCGTGGAAGATGCGATAATTTTATATATTTTATGATTTATTTATTTAAATTGTTCCGGGTTACCCCGGCTATAATCCGAAAGACGAATTTTTCGATAATTGCATTCTATGTTTTTTGTTTTTCCCCCGAAATATTTCGGGAAAACAATTCCCGAAATAATCGGAATATTAATTTTCCCAAAATATCTAAATTATTTCGGAAATTAATCCTTATAAAATATAGAGCCATTATATATTTCGGAAAAATGGTCCGGGTTTCGAACGAAACCGGCTTATTTATAATTATGAAATTTTGGCCTACTTCCCGATAGTTTGGCGATGCGAGAAGTTGTGAGCCGTTTCCGATTGTTGCGAGCAGTGGTGTTGTTTTTCCAATCTTTTAGGCGAATAATTCGGTTTTGTTTGCGCCCAGCATGAGTTCTGGCTAATCGCGTTTTCGCTTATATTTGCAATAATTGCATATAGATGGATTTTTTGAGGCTAATAATCCGCGGTTCCGTTCTTTCCTTGCTTAGATAACCGCCTTTCACCAACTCTTTAGCTTGATTTTATCGCGACCGGCCCGGCCCTCAATATATCTGGCGACTTATATTTGGAAAACGGCATATTCTTCGTATATAAAGAATATATACATTTTGATATATATTATATAATAAAATATATTAGTGCCTGAATTACAAAAAAAAATGTCGACGCGGGCTCTATAGGATTTACTCTGTTCTTGACACGCCCACCACGGCCTGGACCTTGGCCCCTGAGAGTTCGGCTCATGCGATGCTTTGGGAAGAATACATCGTAAGATTGTGTAATGCTTGAGTCTCGGTTTGTGGTGTATTTTTAACGAATTGGAATATATTGGAATCTTTATTATGATTATTTTCCTTTTTTTGGCGCCCGCTTTAATTGTTTAGGGATTAAATACCTAGATTATATTAAAATTAAATAGGAAATTATTTCCTAATTTCCAAAATATCAATTCAAAATTCCAATCCAAACCAATAATTGGGAGATCGTGCCACGCGCTTTCCAATAAGTGAATATTATTTCTCTATTTTCCAATAATTGTGTATTATATCTCTATGTCCATACTAATTTTCGGTATAATTTTATCGGGCCATCCTCAGCGATGCAAGCCTCTTTTTCCAAATATAACAAAACGACCAATCCGGCACTCAATATATCTCGCGGCCTATACTTGGAAAACGACATATTTTTTCGCATACGAATAATTTTAGAATTATTTTAATATATATAATAAAATATATTAGTGCCAAAATTGCCCAAAAACATCTTAATAACATAGGTTTTATAAGATTTATTCTGTTCTTGGCACATCCACCACGGCCTAGACCTTAGTCCCTAAGAGCTCGATTCATACGATATTCCATCAAATTTTCCAAATATTATTTCACCGCTAACCAAGCATCTTCGCAAATCCGTATCAAACACAAAAAACGCCGGCGGAGAAAATAGAGAGAAAAACGAGGGAAGTAAACAAGTAAACAAGAAAATTAGTAAAAACAATCAGAAACAAAAAGGAAAATAAAACGAAAAGAAGTAAGCGAAATTTAAAAAGGAGAGATACGGTATATAGCAGCAAAAACAAACATAGATAAATAACAAACTACAAACAGAAACATATATAAATAAATATTATCAAATAAATAAACACAGACTACGGAAATATACAAAGAGACACAAAAAGACGCCAAAAAATAAAGACGAACGACAAACACGAACACGTAGAGACAAACAGAAACAAACCGAGACAATCCGAGAGACAGAGAAAAACAGACAAACAGATACAGACAAAGAGGCGCAAGCACCAAAAAGAAACAGATTAGGATACTACACAGAGATACACAAAAATAGACAGAGAAAAACAGAGATTACGAAACAAATAAATACGAATACACGGAAACAGACTGAGAGACACAGAGAAAGGCAAAGATGCGGAAACACCCGATACGAAATTTTCGAGAAATTTCGACTCGGACAGGTCCCTAAATTTCCCCGAAATTTAGCCCGTTAATTTTTCGGAAAGCCATCAAAATCGGAAGAAATTTGCGGGGGTAACGTCCGGAAATCAAAGAGCCGCATCGCCGGAAGCGATCCAAAATTCGGGCAAAATTTCGGGGCCTTCCGGGCCGCACGAAGAGGCGGGAGCTTGTGCCACGGAGAAAAGACAGGCACAAGCATAGCCACTCGCCGCAAGCACTACGATTCGGCCGGAATACCGCTACAACGACTTACCGGTACACGAGAAATACGACCTCGAAGCCGTACCGATTTATTAAAAATGTTAATTTATTAATAAAACATATAATAGTATAGAATTTATTCAATTATATAAAACCAAATATATAATAAATTAATTTAATTTTATATTCTAACCCATTAATTATATTACAGAATACAAGAATTATATTATAATTAAAATTATTTAAATTACATTTCCAATTTAGATCAAATATCTAAATACATATATTAATATTGTTTCATTCAAATTATAATCCTTTATATATTTCTAATAATATATTTAATAATATATATAATTATATTATATATATATATATATTAGAGAAAATCCATTATTTCCAATAACAATTCATAGTAATGCTAAGCAATAAGACCAAGCAGCAAGACGAGGCAAGAAAAAGCAAGCAAACACAGGCAAAGATAAACAAAGGCAGGCAAAAATAGGCAGAGGTAAGTAGAGGCAAATAAAGGCAGACAAAGACAAATAGAGATAAACAAGGCAAACAAGAAAGACAGAAATAAGTAGAGGTATGTAGAGGTAGACAAAAGCAAGTAAAGGTTAATAGAAGTAAGCAGAAATAGGTAGGCAGAAATAGGCAAAGATAGATAATGGTATATAGAGGTAAGCCAGCAGAATTAAGTAGAGATCAACAAAAATACGTAAATAAAGGCAAGTAAATAAAGGCAAAACAAATAGAAGCAAACAAGCCGGTAAAAACAGAAGTAAACAAAAAACATATAAGTAATCAGAAATAAACGAATAAATAAACAAAAATATGCAAAAACAACAAGTAAAAATAAATAAAAATAAACAAAAATAATTATAGATAAACAAATAAAAGCAAATCAAGGTAGGCAGAAATAAATAGAAATAAACAGAGGTAAATAGAGGCAGACAAAGGCAAGCAAAGCCAAACAAAAACAAATCAACACAAAAACATAAATATATAAAGCAAGCAAAAGCAAACAAAAACAAATCAACAAAAACAAATCAATTAAAGGACCGGATAACCCCACAAATCTATGTTTATTGAAGTATACGACACTTATATCTGCCGAGCAGCGAATAATCCCAAATCCGAGATATGTAAAAACCTTCATATGCAAAACCTTCATGCAATCAGCTATATTAAAAACTCTCACTCTAGCAAATCAATAAGTCGCATTGGCATCGCCAATGTTATATATCAATAGCATATGTTTAACATATAATTTTATCTACCAGTCTCGCCCCATACATCCTACGCTATAAAGTGCTAAATACTTCAAGACAAAAGCCTTCCAAGAGCGGAACCCCATTTCTACGGGCTTCTTTGCATTACAACTGGTTCTATAAGCATATATAGGTCGTTCGCGCCACCGCAGATGCAAGCAACTTCACAAATCATCCACGCATCCGAATCTTTCGATTGGGGTGTCCTAAAATGCGGCTCGCTAATATGGTCTAGCACGGCTGTAGATGCTGCCATTTAAACAGCTGCCAAATGCTGCCCCTACCAAGCAAACACATGCTCAGATATGCAGAATGCTGCGCCTGCCACGATTTCGGCAATGGCATCTCCAAAGTGCTGCGTCTGCCATAATTTCGCGAGTCCCGAGCCGCGCGCGCAACAACATCCCAGCCCTCTAGACAGCTACCAAATGCTGCCCCTACCGCGTAAACACATACTCAGATGCACAGAACGCTACGACTTCGGCAATGGCATCTCCAAAGTGCTACGCCTGCCACGATTTCGCGAGCCCCGAGCCGCGCGCGCGACAACATCCCAGCCCTTTAGACAGCTGCCATATGCTGCCCCTACCACGCAAATACACACTCAGATGCACAGAATGCTGCGCCTACCACGACTTCGGCAATGGCATCTTCAAAGTTCTGCGGCTGCCACGACTTCGCGAGCCCGAGCCGCGCACGCGACAACATCCCAGCCCTTTAGACAGCTGCCAAATGCTGCCCCTACCACACAAACACACACTCAGATGCACAGAATACTGCGCCTACCACGATTTCGGCAATGGCATTTCCAAAATGCTACGTTTACCACGATTTCGCGAGCCCCGAGCCGCGCTCGGCAATGGCATCTCCAAAATGCTGCGCCTGTCACGATTTCGCGAGCCCCGAGCCGCCGCGCGACAACATCCCAGCCCTTTACACAACTGCCAAATGCTGCCCCTGCTATGCAAACACACACTCAGATGTACAGAATGCTGCGCCTGCCACGACTTCGGCAATGGCATCTCCAAAGTGCTACGCCTGCCACGATTTCACGAGTCCCGAGCGAGCCGCGCGCGCGACAACATCCCAGCCCTTTAGACAGCTGCCAAATGCTGCTCCTGCCACGCAAACACACACTCAGATACACAGAATATTGCGCCTGCCACGACTTCGGCAATGGCATCTCCAAAGTGCTACGCCTGCCACCTTTTGCGCGCGACAACATCCCAGCCCTTTAGACAGCTGCCAAATACTGCCCCTGCCACGCAAACACACACTCAGATGCACAGAATGCTGCGCCTGCCACGACTTCGGCAATGGCATCTTCAAAGTTCTGCGGCTGCCACGATTTCGCGAGCCCCGAGCCGCGCGCGCGACATCATCCCAACCCTTTAGACAGCTGGCCAATGCTGCCCCTGCCACGCAAACACACACTCAAATGCACAGAATGCTGCGCCTGCCACGACTTCGGCAATACAACACGACCCCAATCCTTTAAACAGCTCCCAAATGCTGCCCCTGTGAGTGAGTGAGTGAGTGAGTGTGAGTGTGAGTGAGTATGTGTGAGTGAGTGTGTATAAGTAAGTATGTGTGAGTGAGTGTGAGACAGTAAGTGTGAATGAGTAAGCGGCGGGGGCGGCGGGGGCGGCGGACGGCAAGGCCGGACAGCGGACAGCGGGTGCGGAGCGGTAAAAGTAAAAATCCCATACAAAGATATAGGGAACAAAAACATAGAAATAAATAATAATAAACAAATATATCAAGAATTAAAATAACAAAAATAAATAAAACCAACCATAACAATATTTAAACAAAAACAAACATATAAATAAAAACACATATATAAAAATAAGCACACAATACCAATCAATCTTGCAAAAAACAAACAACAACATATAAACAAAACTAAATAAACAATAATATTAATAAATAATAAAAAAAAATAAATATAATTATATAAAAAAACAAAACCACAAACAAACAATATCAAAAAGAAAAATACAAAATATATAACATCAAACAAATAACAAAAACAAACAAAACAAAACAAAAAACAAATACAAACAAACCCAAATAAAAATAAACAAAAAACGAAACCAAGACAAAAGACAAATAAAGCCAAACAAAACAAACAATACATAATAAATAAATAAAGAAAACAAATAAATACAAACAAAATAAACAATTAAACAAACAACTACAAATAAACACAAACAAAAATAGACAACAACAAAAACACAAACAAATACAGACAAAGACAAACAAAGACAAATAAACAAAGACAAACAAAAATAAACAAAGACAGAAACAAACAAACAAATAGAAACACACAGACAAACAGACAAACAGACAGACAAAAACAAACAGACAGACAAACAAAAACAAACAGACAGACACAAACAAACAAACAAACAGACAGAAACAAACAGACAGAAAAGCAGACAGACAGACAAGCAGAGAGACAAAGAGACAGAGAGACAAAGAGAGACAGAAAGAGACAAAGACACAGAAGAACACAAAGAGACAGAGACAAAGAGACACAGAGACACAGAAGGACACAAAGACGCACAAAAACACAGAGAGGCAGAGGGACAGAGAGAGATAGAGGGAGAGACAGACAGAGAGACAGAGAGACAAAGAGGCAAAGAGACAAAGAGGCAAAGAGACAAAGAGACGAAGAGACAGAGCAACAGAGAGAAAAAAAGAAAGAAAGAAAGAAAGAAAGAAAGAAATAAAGAAAGAAAGAAAGAAAGAAAGAAAGAAACAAAGAAACAAAGAAACAAAGAAACAAAGAAACAAAGAAACAATCAAGAAAAACAGAAAGAAATAAAGAAAGACAGAAAGAACTAAAAAAAAGAGAGAAGATCTGAGAGCCGGGTGGCCGGAAGCTACCCAAAATTTAAAAAAAATGGCCAGGCTATGCCGCGAGAACTCTGAGCGAAGATCTGAAGAACCCCCCTTGCCGCAAGCACGGCGGCACGACGATTCGGCCGGAGTGCCGCGCGAAATGCGACCCCGAGGGGCCGCCTGCGCGGCGGCATGGCAAAGAAAGCCGAGCGAGGAGAGGTATTGGAGCCTGCGAGCACGGCAGTCCAGGCAAGGGCATGCGACAAAGCTGAGAGCCAAACAGCAGAAAAGCGAGAGTATGACAAGAACAGCCGGGTTTCAGCAGACCTGGGAACGAAGCCCCATGCGCATGGACCCCCGGGCGTCGCGAAGCGTAGCCAAGGTGCTCGCGACCTGAGCTGGATGCAAATCGACTGGATGTAAACACCACGCGCCCGGCATGAAATTTTCCGGAAATTTCGCCTCGGACAAGTCCCCAAATTTCCCGAATATTTGGCCGGAAGGCCGCCAAATTGTGAAGAAATTTGCGGGGGTTACGTCCGGAGATCTGAGAGCCGGGTCGCCGGAAGCGACCCCAAATTCGGGAAAATTTGGCCGGGTTATGCTGCGAGAGCTCTGAGCGAAGATCCGCAGAACCCCCCCAAATTTCGGCAAAATTTTGGGGACTTCCGGGCCGCGCGAAGAGGCAGGAGCTTGCGCCGTGGAGAAAGGACCGGGACGAACACAGCCGCTCGCCGCAAGCGCGACGATTCGGCCGGGGTACCGCTGCAGCGGCTCCGCGGTGCATGGGAAATGCGACCCCGAGGCCGCACCGGTTTATAGGAGAATAATCAAATATCAATTATAATTTCGAATTTTAATTACTAAAATATTTCCAATTAAATAAAATCGATAATACTAAATCGTTCTGTTTCAATATTTCAATCATACCAAACAATAAACCTTCCAACACTAATTCCTTTTAACCTCAAAAGCTATGATTCCAGAAATCTGAAAACAATGGTCGGCCGGAAACAACAAATGTTATAGTTTGCTTTAAAAAAGAAATTCTCGACAAGCTACTCCCCTTCAAGTCCTGGTCCGGCCCCAGAATAGCACAAAACCCCCTCTCTAACCCTAAAAAAATGGAATGTTCTTTTACTTTCAAATTATAGTCCTATTGGCCCAGCAGGGGTCCACATAGGAAAGGACCGGAAGGACTGGCCAGGTCCAAACTAATCCCAGTGGACCAGGGGGACCCTCCAAAATCCGGTTGAGGGGCTGGGGAGGTTTATCAATCATGTTCCCCCATTATGTATACATATATATATATATATATACATACTTATGTAGATGTTCACGTTTTGAATCGTCAAGTGACTGTAAGTTAGCAATGACCTGGCCCCGGGCATATGCAGGACAATGTCCATACGTGCAATCTGAAGAACGTACTAGTGTTCATTCACAATCTCAGTATGAGATGCTAGTCCTCTTGGAGAAGAGAACCTACGTAATGTCTGCTCATGTTTCATGTCCACAGCGGGGATGGCAATGCTGGAGCAGTGTCTGATCAGGTTGGGTCATTGCACGCGTATGAATCCTCTGCCATTCGTGGGCCTCCCGCAACTCAATGAAAAGATAGACAGAGAAACAAACACACACACAGACGTAAAACCCCCTCGTAGGTGGAAAGCTATGGGGAGGGGGTGCGGGGCAGGTGCCAATCCGGAAAGTTCACAGATTTTCTGAGAAGGTTGTGTGGAATCTCTTTGGACCTTTCCTGAGGAATACAGTTGTTCCGCAAGCAAGGGCACGATTGTGTTAACTTAACCGGGTGCCAGCATGAGCGAACATGCACATACGCCAACTTTGAACTTTGTATGCCTGTATATACCTGTAATGACGCATTACAAGGGACATCCTTGAAAGGGAAGATTGGGTGGTTCTCAAAATCGGGGCGTCGGACTGCAAATCCGGCGTCGGACCTGTGCTGGCAGGAAGAATGGGGGGGGGGGCGGGGGGCTGCATCAAAACTGAGGACCCTGTCAAGAAAAAAGGAAACCAGCAGGGAAACCAGGACAAAACGGGAACGCCAGTGAAATAAAAAGGGGTGTGATGTGCTCCATGTGAGTTGGGGTCCCTCCAAAACGGCCGTTTTTCCACGTTCGGTGTTCTTGCTTGCTTCCTTCTCACAAAAAAAAAAACATCAAACCAAAAAGACGACCCCCCCCACCCCCAGTCACATCCGTTCGTCCGGAAATGCGTTCTCCGCGCATCGGCTCGGCTCTGGCCTCCTTGGCCTGCCGCCTCACCTCAACGAACGCTGTGCCCGGCCCATGGCCCGACCATGGGTGGTAAAACCAGAAAGCCGCTTTCTGTTGAAAGGTTGCCAACGTGAAGCCCATCGTTTTGTTTGGTTTCGGTGAAAAGGCCTTTCTTGCTCTTTTGAAAGGACTCAATCATGAAGCCTAACGTTTGGAACTTTGTTGTTTCACATGGCAGAGCTGACATTGAGCCCACGAGTAGACTCCTTTTAGAGGAAAGTGGATCTCCAGTGACCACAGTCAGGTTTCATAGTTGTTTGGTGGGTTGGTTGAAAGGTTAATTAGAGGGACACCACCAATTTCAGGGGCTCCCATATTTTGAGGCAGACCCATGCAACCCGTATCAATTATAGAGGTGAGGCACATGGGCGCGCGCGCGCGCGCGCCTCGGGCACTTTGTCGCCAAGGCAGGCGGCCACGTTGCCCACAAAGGGCCTGAGACGGCACCATCACATGGCTTTGGGGGACACGTGCCACACATCTAGGCGACGTAAACCGGAACAAAAAGAAGAAGAAAAAAAAACAGGTAGCCGCCCCCTACAGTCTCCTTGTGGAAAAAGTGGAACATGTTGGGCTAGTTAGTTTGCACCAAGCATGGCCAACCGCTACACGTGCGTGGTTCCCAACACCAAACAGGTCCGTGGGAGGAACAGCACCATGAAAACATGTGCAAAGCATCCATGGAAGCACCCTGCCTCAGCATGGGGACACACACACACACACGCAATTGATGCACGAAATCCATTTCGCGGACCAGCTGGTGGTTTGTCCCAGTCTTAGTATGGTTTATATAATCCATCCCAACTCGCGTGAAGTGGATTTTGTCTTATAGGTTGCAAACAACCTGAAAGTGCTTCACGATTTAGCTTGCCACTCACTTGCTGCTGTCAGCTCTCTGGTCCGAGGCGTCAGCAATGCAGCCTCTCCGACTTTGCCGAGTGCCTCTGGCTGCACAAAGTCTAACTCTCGGGGAAAGCAAGGGTTTTCTCAGCTCTCTCAGCGGAAACTAAGGCTGTTGAGGGCAGGCAGGCAAGCAGGCAGGCAGGCAGGCAGGCGGGCAGGCGGGCAGGCAGGCAAGCAAGCACGGACACAACAGCATGCTCAGTTTCAACTGCTAACTAGAAATCACCGGTCACAGCAAGCGCACAATGAGTCATGAGTGGAACAACCGGACTTCCTTCAAGTCAGTCCCAGGATGCTAACGCTAAAATCGTCCAGCGGTCAAAGTCCGACCCTCGTGCAGCACATCCCATCAAAGCAGCCCGCCTGCATTGCGTTGCAACGCACATACCTGGTGAGGCAGTTCAAGTCATAAGAGCCACACTCATCCACTTGGGCAGGCCTTCGATTTCCCACGTGTCAAGATTCAATTCAGGCACAAAGTCAATTCTGCAAACACCAATCCTGAAACTCAATTACCCACCCAAATAGATCAAGGCAGGAACACAAGACTGCAAAAGCTGCTGCCTTCAGCCTCCATTCCCAACATAGCTGCACTCCAAAAGCAAACGCAATGCTTTTGCTTTATCTGGCAGTTCAACGGAGTGGGTTGCCCGCTGGTATGCCATCAAGTCACCATTGAAAACTCAAGGCCTCGGCCTTTCACCAATTCAAAGTTCTGTGAAGAGGCCAACTTACGAAGATCACGGCCTGGACGCCCTTCTTGGAAAACCCGTCGTGAAAAAACCGGGCTCTACAACTCGTTGCGTTTTGGAACTGAAGCGATGGCAACCGAACTTCAGAAAAGCGGTCGACTCGGGACTCGGTGAGCGCGCCAGTCGTCGTCTTTTAGCGCTTTGGCCAAATCCCCCACGTAAGGCGCTGCCAGGTCCCCTGGCCGCGTGAGAATTGTTGCTTTTCGATTTGGGCCCTCACAAAGGTCGCCTCACAAAAACATACCCCCAAATAGGTGGCCCTCTCATTTGGTTGCCTTGAAGTTGCCTTCGTTTCTCGGAGGCCTCCATGTTTTATTGTTCCATGCCTCCCAAGTGCGAATGACACCTGCAAACAGAAGCCTCAAACACACCCAGCGACTCCTAGTAACCTGTATAGCTAGTAACTGGCCGTTGGCGACTGTTTTTTGGGGAACCAGGCTTGGCGGGACTCTTTTTCCGGGCCTCTTTTTCACGGTTCCGGGCCTATTTTTTACGGTTCCGGGCCCAATTTCACGGTTTCGGGCCCTTTTTTTGTGGTTCCTGGAACCAGCGCCAATATGGCAGGTAACCAAGCTGGCTTTGCACATGCAGGTAACTGGAAGCACTGGGACAAACTTTCCCACAGCTCAACTTCAGTTTACGTGGGTGATTCAATTCAGGCTCCAAAAGCCAAACGCCATGGAACAAACACAGCCCGGACGAGAACTGCTCGCGCCTAGCTCCAGCAAGGCCTGGGAGCCTGCGTGTCGCACCCGGAAATCCTGGAGCAGAGCAGATCCGAACGCACCGCGCGATCCGGGCGCGGCTCTTCGCTCTGAAGGGTTTCTATCAGAGACACACCCAAGTATCAATTGATGTTAAAACAACAATTCCAACTGCGACACGTCAACAGAGGAAAAGGATCACAATCACGAAGGTATTTTGGTGTGTTTTTTTTAGGGAAGCCAAGAGGAAAGCCAAAGCCATTTTGGGGGGTCCCTAAAAAGACACACCCATTTTGTTGTGACTAAGCAAATACATTCGCACACATCATCGTCCGGCCTCGTCGCTCATTGCGGCCACAAAATGCTTGGCCAGCTCAACCTAAGCCGGCGGCTTTGCTCCATGGACTGTCTGTCTAGAGACGTCGCGTTACCCAAAGCAGCAAATAAAACTGGCTGCTTGATTGTTTGGAGCAATCAACTCAGCACCGCACAAGAACAAGCTGTGGTCACACCATAGTCAAACGATCTCAACAAATCATCTCGAACATCTGAGCGGCACCCGTATGCCTTGGAATTCAAATACGGCCCATAAGGTGCCCTATGGTGCCCCTCTTCGGTAACCCTTGACTCGAGGTTGCACCACCTGCTTAATTCGATTGCTTGACAGGGCTTCATAGTCCGATCAGCCTTCCCCATATATTTATGCGCGTTTCTCAAAACAGGGGTCCCCAAACATGATTGGTATCCAGGAAGGATCCACCCAAGTAGAAAGGGCTTTTCCTTGGACCACCCTTTTTGGGTATAAAATCAGCCGGGCTCCCGCGCTGAAGCTTCACGGCCCCGTGCGCGCACCTTGCGGCTAGCGCTTGGCAGCCGATCACATGCGATTCCTGTGGCACTTTCCTTCGGCGCTTGATCCAAACGTTAGCTCACTGTGACTCACATGGCCATGGGTCAAAATCCAGTACCCCCAGTGAACATCCCAATCCCCACTAAAATCGACTAAAATGGGTGGTGCACCTACCCCAAAATGGTACCCTTGGTTTGACCCACAGCCGCATCTCTTGCACCTCTGGGGAATTCAGAAGCTAGGCTGCCGGCCACGTGCTTGTGCACAGCCGCTCGCGTCAACGGGTTCGGACTGGCGAGCCACAGCACGCCGCAAATGGTCAAACATACCACCCTTCATCGGCTGCTGGTTTTATGCAAGCACTCTTCTCCTACACAGGAATCTAGCACAAGTTGTCTCAGATGTACACGAGTCAGCCTGATATGCTTCTAGTAGATTCAGGAAATAGCAAGGCAAGAACGCCGTCTTAAGCCCTGGCAACAGGCTTCTTGAGTTACCTATTCAATTTGTGCGCTCTACGCTGGGCATTTGATCCCAAACAGCCATACCCGGCTTCCAACGCCCGCACTTACTGAAAAGATCGTCTCTACATGGCCCACAAAGGTCCACGATTCATTGTCTGTCACGTGGAAATTGAACCGGCCAATATTGCGAACATGTCGTGGCCAATGCCTCCTACGGATTCCTCAGGGCAGCCAAGAGCAGCCAATGCCTGTCTTTCTTCAACTCCATACTTGTTAGAAGAGTACTTGTCTGTGGACCACGTAGGCTTGGCCAAGCCAGACCAATGCGGAGGGTGTACGTGTATCAAAGCAGAGGTATGGTGCCATCAATGTTCCGCAGCGGTCTACACCAAGATGCGGTGAGATGATGTGTTGTATCTGTCTTTGTTTCATCTTGGACATTTTGGCAGCGATTGCATTATTGATTTGGCGTGGCCATGTTGCAGAAATATGAGGCTGCATCACAATCGTATGTGCAGAAGTGGGCAAAACATATCAATCATTCTTGGACAAGTTTCTTCAGGCTTTGCTGCAGGAAAGCCAACTTCCAAGAACAAATCATCATGCGCGCCGTGCGTTTGGTGCTTGGAAAACACGCTTGCCCTCACATTTGACAAATACTTCGAACACCTGAAAGGGATCACGGACCTACCTGAGCTCGTTCCCCCTCGCAACTCAGGTGAAGGATATGCTTTCCAACAAACTCGCAGGTGGGACTCGGTCAAGAAGTCCTCGATAGATCCAAAGTTGACCACCACCTGCCATCAATGGTGCTCCAACTTCGGTTGGGATGGGTTGGGTGGGTGGCTTGGGTGGCTTAGCAGGGTTGGGTGGGTCGGGTCAGTGGGTTGGGAGAGTTGGTCGCGTGCTTGCCTGATTTGGCGTTGCAAACACGGGGATCAAGCATACACACATGCCCAGGCCACTTGAATTTGCACATTACCCAGGGTGGGTGCATCGCCCATCTTCGTATGAGTCCTTTGCACTCTGCAAGGAGAGAATCTGCCACTGGTGCCATTCACGACTGCTTAGCATGCAATAAGTGAGCGCTAGCTTTCAGCTTGGCCAGCTGTGCATGTTCCGGTTGGCAGGGATGAGCAAGACCAATGAAATTGTCACAACATCATAGAGTTTGTCCTCTCGGGTATTTGGTAGTATGGTCCCCAAGAACACGCGCTGTCGCTTTTTCTTCTTCAATCACGCTGTCCAGCTCTTGCAGCATCATCTCGTAGATCCTCGGGGTGCAACGCAAACACCTTTACCAGTCGCTCAGCCGGGCGCATTGACTCTTAGGTTCACTTGCTGCAGCAGCACTTCACGTACACATCCAACTGCTTTGAATGTCCAGACTGATGCGGTGATTCCAAGCAATCCTGCCTGCCCGACCTGCGATTCGCCTTTTCAAAGCATTCAGCATACTGTGTCACCCGCATTCGGTGGACTCGAAAATAGTAGGCTCTTTGAACAATGCTGTCATGCCACGTTTCAGGCAACCCGGTCTTTCAGATATAATATAAGAGATCAGGTTGGAAGATAAGGAGACAATCTTAGATAACGGAGCAGACCAACCACCCCCATTCTTGCCGGCGTTGACACGCTGTATGGTGCAAACCGCATCTGGCATTGTGCCCCTCTTCTTGCTGAGTGACGGTGTCAATGTGAATTCACTGTTGGGTCAAATGGACAATGGATTTGCCAAGCTGTTCCAGTAATAGGAACCGTTTCGCTGGCCTTCAAGTTTAGACTGTTGGTTGAGCATCCCCGAAACAGGCTCCGCCCTGCTTTCGCGGGCCCAGTTGGTGAGTGTAAATTAACCCCTGCCACTGAAAGATGGATGGGGCAAACAATGGCAAAGCACCTGGACCTGTTTGGGTAGGCTCAAGCCTTCGCAACAATGACACCCTACCGCGCCTACCCTCACCCCCCCCAAAGTGCCCCCAGCCCGGGAGAAGCGCCGAACGCTTCGAGGCGCCGCTCGGGCAGCACCGAGCGTTTCACCGCCTCCCGCAGCGTCCACCTCGTTGCGTTGCGGCGGGTGACGTCCGCCCGGCACTGCAGCAGCGTGCGCAGCGCCTGGACGTTGCCTCGGTTTGAGGAGCAGCACTGCTAGCAAGAGGCAAGCCCTTTCGAGATCTGAATCTTTAGTGACTTTAGTGGAGCACCCTCATGGGCTGGACCTAGCGCTGGGATCCATCAAACCAAGCGCAAGGCTTCCCCAAAAGGAACATGATCGTTGGAGGGTGGAACTAGACGTCCGGGCGCCCTCGTGGCTGGTTGAGGGAAAACCACCCTTCAGGAACACGATGACCCTGCGTTCGCCACCATGAAACACATGCATTGTGCCCTGCCCGAAGCTTCAGACTTGCGCTCCTTCCGCAAAAGCACACTTCGACTCGGATGCCGATGCACAAAACGTGGTCAACCGCACCTCCGCTCAACTCTCAAAAGAATGGTTTTTGTCTTGACTCATGGACATACGTCAAGTCCGCGAAACCGGTTCGAGGACTCGCCTCGGTAGACCGCGCAATGCAGGGCTGTGCCCCCGTGGATGATGGAATAGTCGCGGCGAAGGGAGGCATCCCAGAAACTGAAACAGACGGGGCTCGGAGACCAAAACGCCGGGTTCATCTCTCTACAGCTACAGAAACACAGGCCTAACATCCGACACTCAGCAAGTCGCGGTTCTGAATTTTGTTTCCCCGCTTCATCTCGCGCAGGATTATTCCCTCGCCACTGACATCTGGAACGAAGCCTTGCTGGCTTGAAATTGGCTGTACCAAGCAGCACGTCTAAATAACTTGTTCCGATGCCGATAATTGCGATGCCACCGATTGTGCCCACCTGAAATGAGGGAACCACACGGGGACATTCCGCGAGCGAGCTCATATGTGCAAACAAACGTTGGGATGATCTCTCGCTTTGTGGCAAGTTCAAGAAAGCGACTCTACAAACGTGACTGGCAAACTGCTTGCCTGCGCACTTGCTGCCGTGCCTACTCAGGAACAAGTAGAAGCCAACCAACGTGCGCTTCTTCACAAAGCAGTGCGTGTCGACCTGGATACGAGAGACACTTCGAGTTGTGCCATGTGGGTGTGCCGCTACGCCTCATGCATTCAAAAAGCTCCTCACTTTGGTCCTGCGCACAATTTTTGGTTCATTGTGCCAGCTGACATGGAAACTCCCCCCCCTTCCCCCCCAATTCCTAGATCCTAGTGGCTTGGCAATTCATATCCCCTTTACCTTAGATAATCATTAGTATCGGAATGGGGGCGAGCTGTGACAACTCTCCCCACCGAAACCGAACAGATATGTCCAGTAAAGAAGCCGAGGTCGAAACAGGTGGCCTAGAGTACAACCCTCACAGATAACGTCACTGGGAAAGCCCTTTTCAGAGCAGCCTGCCACCCCTGGCCACATGCTCGTGAACGAATCAATGCTTTATAATTGCATGAGTATACAACATGGGACAGAGCAAAAGACAAAAGGCCCTCTTTCAACTAAGTACAGTACACACAACATTACACAACCACTCCTAGTCCAAAAAACAAGCGCCAGTGTCTCCTCCGGTACGCATCTACTACTCGCTCCCAAGCACCTCGGCGCAGCGCAATCCAAACAACAGCATGTTATCCTTTGCTCTGCCTGAGTGTTCGGCCAAAACCAGTTACCAGGGCCTGAATAATTTGAATTCTGTTGCATCATGATAGATTATGGTGGGCGTAAGCAACTGGACATTTCGCCCCCTTTTTTCCGTGGGGCCCCCGTAGCCCCTTTACCGGCCTCTAGGCCCTCCTCCATGAGCCGCTGGATGGATCGGCAGGTCATGTCGCTCTCCGCGGCTGCGCAATGCATCAGCCCGATGCCAGCCCAGCTGCAGTGCGCGTCCGCCTTCTTGTCCTCAGAGCAGCCCAGCTCCCCAGCCACCGCCCGTCTTGTGAAGCCCAAGCTGCAAGCAAATCAACTGGCGGCTTCTCGATGGGTCAAGAGACCAAGTTTGTACTACCTTAGCGCTTTCGGAAAGTCGCAACTACGCGCGACTGGCTTCACCGAAGCCAAAACTTCTAGCGACCCACAGGGAGCCAACCAGCCAACCGAGACCGATGCGACGATGCGACCGCTAGCCAACACATCCGAGAAGCCAGAAGAAGATCCAACAAGTCGGGGTGGTTGGAACCCACCGCGATGAAGATGGGCGTCATGGAGATGTCATCCTCAATGTGCAATGCTCAAGAAGGTCGCAAGAGCAAACGTGTATCTTCCAGCGTCAAGCTGCTGCAGCGATTACACCCACTTTTGTTTGGCTCTACCAAGATGGTTTGCAAGATCTATCTTGGCCTTGCTACCTCAACAATTCTTGGAGTAGAACCACGAATTGCTTCTATGAACATGGAAGCCAAAGGAGGGTCCCCCCAAAGGAGTCCCCCCTCTACAATTTCTGATGTCTTGGGTTGCATGTCAATCTGGGGGGGTTTGGGCGTGGCCGTCCTTGGCATTCACATCTGCGGCCAGCTCAAGCAGCGTCCTAGCCCATCTGCGAGCGGCGTCAAAACCGTGTCCGTGATTCCCCGAAGTATTCTTCTCGGTGAATCTATGGGCCGCCCCATACATGGCGTCTTTTTTCTGGGGAACCCTTTTTTGGGATGGCTTTAAAGGGAAACCAAACGAAAAACCATGCTGGGGGTCCCCTAAAAGTAGACACACCCAAGGGATGTTTTATGCCAAGTTGGAGACATGAACAAATGGCATTTGATATCAAGCTCTTTGCTCAACCAGCAACAAGCAAGTCCCCAACATCTGTTGTGGCGGCCTCCGACTTTGGCCGGATTCCACTAGCATCTAGTTTTGAACAAGCACATTAGCTTCGAATCAAAGCAATAGAGTCATCATGGTTGTCTTTTTCAGTCGTTTTTCTCCCACATCATACAATAGCATCCAGTCCACCATCATCGTTGCACCTGGAGTGGGATTCTGCAACGGCAACTCTGCGGCAGGGCGAATATAACAAAGACATGTGGCTTGGAAAATGCACCTGCGGCACACAGAGCCAGCTTCAAAGATCCAATACTACGCATACAACATCAGTAATATGTGAACCCTTCGCGTGATACCATGAACGTGTTAATCCTCAAACTCTGCCTACCATTTGTGGCAGCCAAGTTCCAGAACAATGCATTCCTAGCATGAAAATGAAAGCTGCGCACTCCAGAAGCCATCACTCCGCAAAGGCTTTCTGCAGCTCGGCGCTGTCAGGGCTTGTCTCGTTTGATGCGATTTTTCTCACCGAATTTTGGGAATGCTGCGTTGTTCAAAAACGCCGAATCCTAATGCGCAAGCCGAAGTGGAACGCCATTACAACAAGTGAAACTGCTACCAGCACCCTGGCATGTGGAAGGATCGATGTTGACATGGGATCTGCAACCACAAAAGCAGCAACAGAAAGCGCTCAGAGTTTTGAGCCTCTCCTGCAAGCCTGCTCGTTGCCCATCTGGCAGCTCAGCATCAGCGGTGTCAAAGCACCCTCGTCGCCCTGATCCACCTGCGAGGCAAGGGGGCCTATAGGGCTTCTGGAAACTGCCAGTGAATCCTGCCAGGGGTCATTATTCTCTCCCACATTGGTGACTCAGGTCGACGTTTAAAATTTAAACACCATGTCAGCCCGGGTTGCCCATTCTTTAAAACAAACTGATCAAAGGCCTGAAGTCTGAATCATTCGACCTTCATGAATCACTCCCCGGGCTTCAAAACAGGCACTGGCATG